GTACAGCTGCAATGCCGCCAACCTAAAATTAAGAATGTCTGGCATTGACGGCTGGTGCCGCTCAGTACACCGATTACTTCTTGTGCTGACTGTAGTCTATCTGGTTATGTGATTTTGAATTTTGGCGCCGGAAGCGATATGCGCCGTTGATTAGTCCGTACTTTATCCGGCTGACTTAAAACCGTCGATTGTGGGTCCCGGCCTCGCCTCCTTCGGCGAGGTATCCTGGCTCGAAGAGTCAGTGGCCTGGTCATGATAGTTCAAGCGACGAGTTCAGGCAGCGTGACGATCTTGCCTTAGAGGAGGCTTTCTCTGTCGGCGATGGCTGGCTATAAAAGTCCTGAAAACCATGGAATCCTACAAAGCATTACAACATGGATCTGTAAAAAAACTATCGTTAATGTCTGGCGGCCCCATGCGTACGTCGTTGCTGAGATGTTTACGTTCCAAAAAGTCTCCGGTCACCACACTGCAAGCTCTAGACCGACCAGAACAAAATGAGCCAGCCCTTCGTTATAAGTTCAGACCATGGGTGCTGCTCCTAGATTACAAGCTCGCGCACGTTTGATCGTTCTGCCTGCCATGCACGGTACATGTGATTGGCTTACCTTCTCTTCTGCAGCAGCACGGGGCCTCTTCAGCTTGTGGGGTGACTTGTGCTTCGAGTCGACACCTCCCTTCCTTTTCATCATGTTGCAGGTGCTTGCATCGTCACGACTGTGCGCACCCCGATTGCCGATTGCAGAAATTGAAAACATGATCTCCGAAGAGGCTTATCCGAGTGGAAAGTTTTCCTTCTGCTCTCACCCTCGCTTGTCGACACTGCTTTCGTTGATAACCGAATTCATTAATGATTCAGGATGCTACCTGGTAGCACAGACGCCACAGAATCTGTTGATCTTGCGATGCTCAATTTGTCTTGTCTCAGAAGACATACTGACCAGACTTCTTCAAGAGGTTTGAGCTGCCTGATTCCAGATTTTTGATTTCCTTGTTTTCAAGTTTCACAATCAAAGTCAATCAACTGTTTGAACCGTAGCTTTTCAGGTTTGCGCTAAGATTTCACTGCAAGGTTTATCGTTAGAATCCAGCCGTTTGGTGATGTCGTCGTTGAATCAGTTTGAGGGCACGCTAGGGGCGACACCCGGCTCAATCTTGCGAGGCGGCCTGCTAGCTTGCAGGCAAGTTCTACTTATGTATATGGGAATTGATATCATTCCGTACTTCAAATGACATGCCAGACGACCCTAGTCACCCGACCGTACGGGGTGCTCTCACCGAAGCAAGCGCTGTGTATGCGGCAGTTGCTAAAGCTTTTAAACGTCAAATTACGTGAAGGAGCTTACGCGGATACTTCTTTGTGATCGAATCAAATGAAGTAGCCTAGATACATAAGTCTTGTCCTAGCAAAGCCGGTCGAACACTTGCTAACGTCCTTTCCAACAACATACGTATTCAGTACCCTTGAGATTCCTCGACACATAAGATAACTCAGACTAGCTGCTAATGAGCTTAGGTTTGACTGCACTCAACCTTATGAGTTGCACCTGAGTGATCAGCACTACTGAAGCCTATTTGAACGTACAACTAGGAGCTATAGCCTACTTAATGTACCCTTTAAGACAAGACCTTCACTACAGGCTACTAGTAGGTACTACCCGTGGATCAAGGGTCAGTCCGCAGCTAACCCTCCAAACCTTCAATCAGCTTGCTCGAATACGATCACCAATTAAATATGCAGGAGCACCTGATGCCCTCTCCCTATTCAATCAGTAATTACACGTGACCCGCATCGAGCGCCTCCATGCGGATTTACCAACTCAACGAGCCGGCGCGACTCGTGATCTCACACCAGAACCCGCGCCTAGCCGGCGTGCTTGTGCATCATCTCAATGGCGGGCGGCGCCTTGCCGTTCTCCAGTGCGAACTCCTTGGCGGCCACGCCGGGGTTGTACTCCTCCTCGGTGTACCCGCTGTGCTCCACCAGGTCGTCCTCGCCGTACGGGATGATGAAGTTGAGGATGATGCACAGGAAGCCGCCGATGGAGAACCCCGTGCTCAGCACGATGATGATCGCGTCGCGGAAGCCTGCACGCGCCACGCACCACCGCGTGAAACCAGGAACGCGAACCTCGGTTCAGCTTTGTGCGTCCGCCCTTATGAATCGACAGCGGCCTCGATTTCGAGCCCAAGCTTAAGCATTCAATCTCAAAGAATGGTTGATCGCGTTTTTCGAAAGCTACACCTTTGTCTGGGATTCTCTTGTTTCTTCATTCAGAGACGGCCGCAGTCGGCTTTCTCCAAGCAGACAACCAAGTTTCTGGCTTCGACAAAGCAGCCCCCACGAGCCGAACCGAGGTTCATATCCCACTTTCCTTCCGCACATTTGTCTCATCCACAAACAATGTATTCCGAACTCCAAAATAGGTTCCTAAACGCAGTTCGGACGTGCCCCGCGCGCGCGTGTGTGCGCGCACCTCGGAAGCCGGGGCTCCAGGAGTCGCGCGTGGGCCAGAGCGGCCCCTGGCGCGGGTAGTGCTCTTCGTCATTGCCGACGTTGACGAATGCCGGCACGATGGTGACGCCCAGGCCCACCGCGAGGGACATGGCCGCGATGAAGCGCGTGCGGCGGGTCAGGCCGCGGCCCATGGTCAAAATCTTGATGCCGCTCACCAGCACGTTCACGAACAGCTGCGCGAACAGGTTCATGCCGCGTTTCATTGACCTGGTTGATTGACCGTCTTGGAACGAAAGGGCATGCCATCCACCCGCAACCAGCGTGAAGCAATCAATCTTTCAATAGCACTTTCGACCTGCGCCAGCGTACAATTGGCCGCACTGCAGGCCAGCCCAAGTTGAATTCGTGATTTTCGGTGACAATTGGAACGGAGGTGCGAGATTGAGGTCGCATCACAGTCAGGGGCGTCGGAGGGCTTTACGCTTGAACCCTCAGCTTGGACCCCTGAACCTCGCACCCAACATGTTCTTTTCAACGGATCGTTCGATAGTTCCCACAAAGGCCGAGAGTTCGATATATCGTCGATTTCCGCAGAAGTTCCACCTAAAAGATTGCAGTCTGGCCGTGCAACATCTGATGCGAGTTTAAGGTGCCCGAGCAGGCGTCAGCACTGCCAGCCTGGGGAGGTGCGGGGGCGCGCGCTTACGAAGGTGGTCATGCCCCCGAGGACGCAGTTGGGGATGGTCAGGATGATGGCCGAGAACTTGCCGATGATGCCCAGCAGGATCAGCCACGCCGCGCACGCAATGCCCGCGCGCCGGGACGCGCAGCGGGTCAGCGCAATGACGCCGTTGTTCTGCACGGCGAAGACAGGTGGGCCGGGTGAATTTGACCCGAGGACGGCACCTTTTATGCAGGTTAGGCATTGAAGCTCGGGCTGTTGGCCGCCTCTCGGAACAAAACTGCCAAGGAATCTTCGACGGAACGAGACCTTAGGGCATCGGGTCAGACTGTTTGTTCCGAGCAACTAAAGCGGCCAGACAGAATGAAAAGGATGCGGAAGCATGACGCGCTGCCTGCTTTGAAATTCTCTAAAGGCCCAAAGTAAGCAGTTGAACAATGGCGCCGTCAGACCGTGCCCCCTGTGCCACACCGTACCCGGCTCTTTCAGCTCTTCCGAGTGCCCAATTACCACTTGCTTAATGCTCCCCTTTCGTCTCATGAAGATGGGCGGTCTAGATGGCCTACCCGATTCCAATTGCTTCACGCAAATGCAAGCGGTTGCACTTTCAGAAGTCAAAGCTACGAGGTTATAATTATCTGACAAATGTTGCGTCCGAAAGGAAAGCCAAACAGGCAGGCCAAGGTCTTGCAACACCTCAGTGGGGAGCGACGAAATCGAGATCAAATTCCCAATTAGTTCGAGTGCCGAAGTAGCGAAGGCACCGCCCTTTCTCAGCTCCACAATTCGGGACGCTGGTTGTACAGAACCACGAAAGGAAGACTCCGGAAACCTGTGTTTTGGTTTTCTGCACGCAAAAAGAACTGGCAAGAATGCAGAGATGGAATGCGTGATGGAATGCGTGAACGGCAAGGACTACAAGGAAAGACGAGGCGGGCGTTGGCTTTACCTGCGCGAAGGTGGTGACGGGCATCATGGTGCCCAGCGCGCCGAAGAAGCTGTTGAGGCCGTCCGCCAGCACGCCGCCCTGCACGTTGGCGTCGAACTCCTCACCTGCACCACACAGGGGAACAGTGAGTGAACGGGTGAAAGTAAGGGAAAAGGCGGGCCTACTGGGCGCTGCCGGATGCAGTCGTTCAGGGGAGCCTTTTCTGCAGACGCAGCCAAGCATTAGGCTGCAGACTGTACGTCGAACTTAAATAACCTTGCGGCATGCTATCGGACACGTTCGCCGCTTCAGCGAACGCCGCTTCAGCGAACGTTTGGGCCATCGAAAGCCGAGGCCCTCTCGGCCGCTGCTGCAGGTCCTTGACCAGATATCGCAACCACACTCCACATCCACGAGCAACCTCGCTGCTCCTACTCCTTTAAAAGTGGGCGTAGGCCATGAATGGACAAAGCCAATCACAGGTTCCAAGAGCCTCACAAAACTGCCGTCCGAAACCGAGACCGTTGGATTTTTGAAGCCGTCGTGAGTAACGGCTGCCGTCAGGCAAACCGCGACGCCCACTTTAAAGGTAAAGGCGCGCGCGCGCGCACCTGCGACGGGCAGGTTGGAGGTTTCGCGCGTGGCGGTGACGTCGCCGATGCACTCCATGGTGGTGACGAGGTAGCCGAGCAGGCACGGCAGGATGGCGGGCGCGTAGAAGCCGATGGGGAACGTGTGCACCCACAGGAACTCGCCCCACTTGGCGCTGCGGATGACCTTGTCGGTCACGTACAGCGTCTTGCTGCAGTTCTGCGCGCACACACGATCGAGAAGGCGTCAAACGACCGTCCAATTTGAGGCAGAACTGGGATGAGACGCTTCGGATTCAGTAACTTTGAGGTGGTACTCCTGACGACTGAGAAGGCGCTTGTCCGGCAGGCAGATTCGCACACAGCCCACATGGACAAAGCAGAGAAGGAGCGAAACGATGATTCCGGTAAGAGAAAGTCACTGAGGCGGCAGTGGTCCGTTGGAAGAGCGCTACGCGAGGCGACGAGGCTCAGCATGAGAGAAAACGTTTACTTTGACGCTTCCGAAGATGAACACCGTCCTTGAAAGCGGATCATTCAGCAGCTCCGATCAGAATGCGCTGGGGAAATACAGATGACCCTCCACGGTTTCGTTTTCCACAAAAACCACGACATACCGTGCTCTGACCAAAAGGAGACTTACTGGCTGAACGCTGACCTCACACAATCTGGATGTTTTGGTCACCCGACCCGCCTAAAAATTGAATTCAGCACGAGAACAAACAAGAGTCAGGATCACCCGAGAGCTCACCCCTTCTTTGTCGCAGCTAGTGACGTACGTGGCGGACGCCACGATCATGCCCACCAGCAGACCAATGACCACCTGCACAGCCAGGCCACCGGTTGCTACTCGGTGAACGCGGCATCGAGACAGCTGCGACTGTATCCTTTGTGAGTCATCGTACAGTGGGGTCGCTCAAACAAGAACGCGACTCATCGCATGTGTTCACTTATTTCATATCTGAGGGGCCACCGAAAAAAGGCAAAAGATGACCAAGCTGAAGAGGAAGTAGAAGCAAGCCCACGGTGAGACGACTAGCTCGAACAATCACAACAAGCGACAGCAGGCGCAAAAGATGCAGTCTTCTTGACAAGTACGGGGTTTATCGAAGTTCCTGGCGGCCCTCCTCGCTTTTGAACGAGCACTGCGCGGGCCGCTCCTCCAGAGCCTGCAGCAGCTGACAGCAGACACGCAGCTCGTATGAGCGCACCTGGATGTTGCGCATGAAGGGCGACCCGAAGATCTCGACGATGACGAGCGTGAAGAAGACCACGAAGCCCAGGCCGACGTAGCGCCAGTTGCCGAAGTTTAGGTTGGTCTCGCCGTTCCCGCTGCACGTCGGGTGCGTGGTCGTCGCGTTCTCCGCGCAGAAGACGCCGCCGCCCCAGTACGAGAAGCCCGTGCCCAGCAGGTTGGCGCCGATCAGAATGACTGCGGGGCGGGAGGGGGGCACTCAATCAGACGAGGAGCGGTCGGTTGGGCACGGAAAAGGGGGGATTGCCCGCACATGGTCACTCAGGCAATGTTGAGGTGATTGCGAAAGGAGCAAGATTCCGAGCCGCTGAATGCCTTGCCATCTGCAGCAGAGACGAACTGCCGAAGCACACATCCGGCAGTCGTGTTTGAGTATGCTGCAAGAGCAAAGAATTCGGCTCCCCGCTTCGACTAAATGAGCGGTGAGGCCCACCGGCGCAAGTACATTTGACTTCGACAAGTCACAGAGTACAGCATACCCTAACATGACTCTGCAGTCTAAGGACTCAGATCCTTCAACAGCAACCAAAAGCGAATGGGCCAAGTGCTCACTTCCTGCCTCTCTCCAGACTGGTTAGGCCCCTTTTAGAAACCTGTATTAGTATTAGTATAAGTCACCTGAGCTTGTCGTTATTTGGCCGGTCAAATAAAAAAGCTGAGGCGGAGGCTGGCTCCGTTGACTGTTGGCCTGATCCTGAGGTGCACTCACCCACTGTGCCGGTGACGACGGGGGGGAACGTGGCTCTCAAAACCTTGGCCGGGAGGAAGGAGAAGGCAATTTCGATCCAGCACGTCACCAGCAGCTGCACACATGCACAGACAGAAAGGAGAGTCAGGAAGTGAATGTGCGGAAAAGCCGCAACTGGGGGGGTGACATGCTTCCAGAGGGCCTGCGTTGTAATGAGCCGGTGAACGGAAGATCCACAAGCGATCGCGCTGAAAGGAGCCTCAGGGCTGGAATGACCAGACTTCGAGCGGTATGGGTGCCTTGCACGAGCGCCGCTTAAGTCCATGCAGGACCGAAGGACTCTGCGGCTCGTGCTGACACTAATGCTGCAGCTTTCGATCGAGTTTTGGACTTTGCTCTTGGTCTAGACCGTTGGTAGTCAGCTAACAGCATTCTGCATGCACCAAAAGCGTTGCTGTCAAACAAAAGGGGGTTGAACTCCGGAGAATGACCAGACCTGTGAACAAGAAAGGACAAGAGTTGGCACAACTGTCCACCCCCAATTGGCCCACAAGTCCAAATCAAAATAGAACGACTCTTCCCGCACTTCTACCGTCGCCCCTCGCTCACCGTGCCCAGGAAGCGGCCGTATGCCTCCTGCCCCGTGTTGCAGTCCCCTGTGAGCGGGACGGCGCACGTGTTGCAGGAGCCGCCCACTCTGCAGCTGACGCCGGCGCAGGCGCAGGCGCGCATGTTCTGGATGGACGACTGGGCAATGGGCAGGAACGTGAAGCTGATGCCCATCACCGACAGCAGGCCCGTCCCTGCCATGACGTCAGCAGCGGGTAAGCAATCAGGACAGGACAAGGGGACAGGAGGGGGGGTGTATCAAACAGGGGCTGGAGGGGGGCCATGGGTCGAAGGAGAGGGGGCTTGAGGGGCGAGGGAGAAAGGGCCAGGAGAAAATGGGCCACGAGGAAGGGAGCTGGGAAGAAGTGGGGGGAGTGCAGAGGACTACCGCAACTGGGATTGGAACTTGGGTGAACAGTTGACGCATTAAGGTCACAGCAGCACAGGGCCTATCTAATGGGTCACGAACGTGGGAACTGCCTTGTCTGCGCTTCTTGCAAGGACTAATGCTGGGATCTGTACTGTAGACCGTTGTGTTGCTTGAGACATGCACAAGGGATGGAGTAAAACGTAACGCGACTGGCATGCAGAATTGACAGAATACACCCCCTGCTTTGATGGGCTTTGCCAGAGGCTTCCCCCATGGACCAAAGGAGGCATCGACGGCTGATGTAAGCTTCGTTGAATGTTACGACGTGCAAGGAAAGGACGGTGCACAAGCTGCCCACTTCGATCTGACCATCCGCCGCTGACTATGCTTCACAATGTCATCCAAGCAGGGAGATGAACAAATGACGACATGACAGGGGGAAAGGGTGACCAAGTAGGATAAGTCGTGACCATGCAGGGTAGGCATATCAGAGGCGATGGGCCCAGCCCCATCTCGTTTGGAGAACCCTCAGCTTCTAATCAAAGTTTGAAGTCCTCCACAGCCAGAAGTGTGCCCCTCACCTAGGTAGTAGGGGGTGAAGGGGATCTTGAAGCGCGTCACTTGGACCATGGATGCAATGCCAGACACAATCAGGGCCGCGGCAATGATGTCTGCACAAAGAAGCCACAGGGTGAACTGAGACATGCGGCTGATTCCCACAAGAGAAGAGGGACATGCAGAAGTGGCACTTCTGAGTTGCACCTCCATACAAGCAAAGTTTCAGTTTACGTCACCAGGCCAAAGAAACTTTTGTAGGTTTGGCCGAATGGGCTAAAAGCGCGAATTTCAGTCGGGGTCTACTTCAGCACACATTTCACATTGCCTGAAAATGCATAATGCAGTGCTGGCAGTATTTCAGGTCCTGGAACGACTCCTCACAACAAAGATCTGCACACCAGTGACTGCTCCCAGATTTTGAATGCACATCGTAAGGGCAAAGATGAGTTGGGGCCAGAGGGGGCCCGGGACAGCACTCACACTGCGACTCATCCTGGGTGAAGTTCCCGTAGAAGCTGCCAGAGATGATGAGGGGCACTGTGATGATTCCCCCCACCTGCGAGCAAGAGCAAGGAGAGGGTTTGCTCTGGCTGACGTGTTTGAATCATAGAAAGGGTGAGCCAAACGAGTTATCACCTATTGAAAGTTACAGATCAAGAGACTGCAGGTTCAGCCCAGCCTAAGCATCTCAGGAGCAAGTGCAGGTGAAGCGGGTTCAGGTCCACAATTTACCTCAGCCCAAGAGATAAATTTGGAAACCAGCACTATTTCATGCTTAAGTTGCGAGAAGGACATCGCAGAAACATACAAGATAAGAGCCGTGTTTACTATGTCAAGCTCTGGGCCAAGCTAGACCTCACATTAGAACCTGGATTTCCTTGATTCAAACAGGCACTTGCAAATTGAGCGACTTGTTTCTCAAGTCTCCATTCCTCCGGAACAAACATTCCATCAAGCCCGCCCCCTCAGCCTATTCCTCGCTGCCTCCTCGTCTCACCATGGCGAGGGCGTGCTGCAGGCCCATCACCGCAGCGACAAAGATGGAGATGGGCTCATCGCGTCCGAAGAAGGGAGGCGCCCGCGACGCCCCCGACTTCCAGAACTTGCGGGGCATGCACAAAAAGCCCCACTCATAGTCGCCAACCAGGGTATTCTTCCAGGACGACATGGCTGCAGACCCGGGGGGGGGAATTCAGCCGTGAGGTATCTGCAAGGCAAACACAACGGTGGTGAGGGGGGAGGAGGTGTGAGGGGTGAAGAGATTTCGAAGTGGAGGCTTGGGGAGGGGGAGATGGCAGTCTTGCCAGCCAGAAATGTGACTGACGCGAGGCGTTTCCAAAAACTCCATTGAAGCCAGCTTCCAGAAAGACAAACAGGGCTTATTATGTTGAGCTGCTGTAAAGAACCAAGGACTTGGGAAGCCTTTCGCCCTTGTCGTGAGCCTATTCTCTGGGCAATCTTTCTGAGCAGGAAATAGTTCTCCCCCCCAAACTGGCTCAATTGACCAAGGGGCTGCTGGATTGGGAACTTCCTCAAGTGCGCCCGCTTAGAACCTGACAGCACCAGCCTTTCCATAATCTGAGAGAACAGAATCTTGGGGTAGTATCATCTAGTCAGCTAGCAAGGGAGCAGAGTGAAGGAGCGAACACAGTCGTTGGTGCTAAGGTGACTCTGTCTTGTTGCACTGAGCAATGCCGCGTTACAGCATTGAGAGCCTTGCGGATTTGTCATAGACAACACGAGAAGAAAACATGAACACAAGTTGAGAATGCTGTTCATCAATCACACCTTTATACGGGCTAGCAAGTTTGAGTGTGCACAAGTTTTTAGTAGGACCTTTTCAATGCTATGAAGAGGTGTCGTAAACCCACATATTTGCAGGCTTAGGGGTAAAGTAGGATTGAGAAGCAATCACACTACACTAGCACTGAGGAACCTCATAAAAGAACTGAGGTCAGCGAGAGGAAAAGAGATGAGCTGCACCCTGAAGCACATTCGAAGCTCCACTGACCAGCACTCAGCTTACCTGGCAATGCTCGCTTCAGCAGATTGTGCGCAATGTGCCTTCAGCGTCTCCAAAATCGAAGTGCCGCTTTGTGCGCCCTTGAAGAGACTCCAGGCGCTCAATACTTGCCTTAGCTGCTTCCTAGGTCGGAGGTCAAGCTAGAGGCAACCCTTTCAATCTTCCTTCTGACTGCTGCCAGTGCTGCTCATGCACTGCTCTAGCCGGTCTAGTACTGAGGCTCTAGCTAGCTCGTCTCCTCCATTGCAATCTGCAGCCGCAAGCAAATCAGCCCATGTCGCACTGTCAGATTTCAGAACTCGACTCGAGACTCGAGTCTCAAGAGTCAAGACTGGCAAATGTAATGATGACTGCGTCGATGCGGCGCTGCGTTCGCCAGGCTCGTTGGGTACTGCCCTGTACCAAAACTGTACGCGCCTCGGTAGGTACCGTACAAGGTTCGCCGGGCTGTGCCGTACGAAGTACGTACCGTGCACGCTTTTCGGGCCGAAAAGGACATTTGCCACTGCTCGCGCCGCTCGGACCGAGCGGTATCGTACCCAGCATGAAGCTGCGGTCCCGGATGGCATGAGATAAAGGCTCCACTGAGCTCTCATAACTTTCAAGGTACCGGTAAATCTCACGGGTACACTGCTGCAACAGTCTGGCACGGCAGCTTTTATGAAGTAAACCGCTGACGCATGACATGTGTCACCAACTTAGATTTCAGCCTTCCGATCGAAGTTGCATGTCAGACACGGACGTTGAAATTTTCCGACAAGCGGCTGAGAATTGAATGCGCTGGATTTGTTTTGTGAAGCGGCGAAACTTTTCTAAGTGGATGATCTCGGGTCTACCTGACGAGAAAGATGTACCGGCTTTCGCTGGTCTGCTACCAGGCGGCGATACCATACCGTTTCGTACATATACCGGTCATGTGAAGTCGTACCGTAAATTCGGTAGGTACGGTAGTCTAGACTCTACATACCTACCTAGTACAGACTTCCAGACTCTACACCCTACAAGTTACAGGACTTGGCTGTGACTTGGCCACCAAACGTGCTACCTTCATGCCCACACGAAATGGGATCAATGGGAGCCTACCAGGCTCCAGACGTCAAAGCTCATTGTAGTGCAATTTTGAAGGCGTTTTGAGAGGCACGAAATCTGAAGGGAAGCGCGAGGCGCTTGCAAGATTGAAAGCGATACGCAAGCAATCATCGGATTCGGCTTCGCTTTTGCAACGTACAGAAGCCGCTCCGTGTGGACCATTGGGTCAACCTAAGTTTTCAATAAGCGACCCCTACCGATGTTTGTATATTGTTACTCATACTCTGCCCGTGTACTGGTGAAATTGTCGGATCTTAGGTGTGTCACGTACATTCTTTGTACAATGGTCTTGGCAGCTGTCTTGCTTTACCCGGCTGAATCCTTGATCTGACTCTAGGCACCTAGTCTGGTAACGACACTGTTTACAGCGGGATGAGACTAGCCCACCTCCATAGCTGCAGGCTCCTCTTGTGATTGCAGCGCAGCTTGTAGCTTTTCCTTAAAGTCCTCGTCCCCCACAACATCGACCGCCGTTTTCTCGTCGTTATTTTGGATGTCAAGCCGGGCGCCATGCCGAAGAAGGAGGAACGCTACCTGTAGGCAAGAACGGTGACGGAAAGTGCTCTTTCGTAAGACAGACCTGCTTGGTGTTACACTGATAATTGAGGTTGGGACCAGTATCGACGCGGATTTTCAAATCGACGTGTTCAGGAGTCTCACGAATTAGGAGAAGGCCCAAAAGGAGTCACGTCCATCCGTAGTGACCCGGCTCTCTTCCCTCTCGTTTTTCAAGCTCCGGAAAAGCGGCAACACACAGTGCGCCATCTATTCAAACTGCCGCCCTTCAGTGAACCTTTTCAAATCGAGCCCCTCTGCAACCTCGACATGTCCGGACTCGTCACACTCGGCATCCGCTGAAAGCACTGCACTCTCAAGGAAGTCGTCGATTTGGACGAGGGGCCTCCCTCAACAACATGATTTGACGGTACTTCTGAAATGCGAAGGCGTGCGATACGCCCATCTGATGTACCCATCCATTCGTACTGACGCGCCTGCTACATTGAACCAACATCTTATGACTCCTTGCAATACCTCCGTCACCGACAGGCCTCATGCACAACGACGACTACAGGCAAAGCACCCAAACGAAATGCGTCCGGGTGATGGGCGCAAAAGGGTAGCTCGCGGACTCGTGCCCCGTTAGGCCGCAAGGTGATCAGATTCACGTACTAATGCAGGAAAGGTGTGTCTGTTTCTACGGAATGCCACGAGTCCTAATGCATCAAGGTCCTGGTGACAGGTATTTGAAGCCGCCTATGACACACGAAGCGGATCGGCCAACTTGTCGCAACAGCGCGGTCTTCCACAATCCCCCGATTTCGAAGCGGCGATGAAGAGCGGATGAATGCACGGACCAAAAGGTTCACACAACAGTAACTCTGAGGCATTCTGAATTACGAATCGAGACCGCTATTGGACAAGGGGCAAAACGGTTGTCGAGCGTTGAGGAGCCCAGCTTTACTTTGAACGAAGGTTATGGTCGCGTCTGCAAACGCACTTTCTTTGGTCACTGAACGGGCGTTCGTGATCTGAGTGAACGAAGATGAAATGAGGGGCGTCTTTTTGAGCGGGGCAGCTGACACGTTCCCGTGCGGCACCCACCTCTTGGTGGCCCGACGCTGCGGCCAGGAAGAGCGGCGTCTCGCCGTGCTTGTCCCGCACGTTCACCTTCGCTTTGCCATCGCGTATCAGCACCTCCGCAGCCGCCAGCTGTCCCGCTCCCGCGGCCCGGTGGAGAGGGGTAGCACCCAACTGCAAGGTTGTGCGAACCTGGCCGTCACATCCAGATTCAAACCGCCTCAGATCATTTGCGTGCACCTCCATCACGAAGCGGATTCGACGTTCGTTCGGGCTTTCGTACTGTTGACATCTGATCCTTGCATCTTTTTTCTTGCAGCATGCGAAGCAAGTTTACAGGCAGATTAGAGCCAGCTTTGCGAGGGCAGCTTGACAGGGGAAGGCCCCGGGGAGGCAGACAACCGATAAATGACGACCAAGCAACAAAGAGAGCGGACTCCAGAGCCAGCGTTTGTCGCGACGAATGAGCACAAGCAAGTCCGCTGATTGTTCCTGCGTTCAGCTGAGCTGTCCGTTTGTGCTCGAACTTGCAAGAGGACCCCCGATAAGGAGAATAGGACCCGAGTCCGATCTCAACGCTTCTCTGAAGTCTGAAAAGGATCTGGCTGTCAAGTTGTCTTCCGGCGCTACAATTGAGCTAGACAAGATCGGAGGGCTGGAGCGAAAGGCTTGACTTGAACTTGACTTTCGAACGCGAAGGGCCACCAATGAAAATGAGTCAGGAAAATGTAAAAAGAGGAGCGTCAAAAACAGGTGCCTGATTTGTGTCCGAAGGTCCGGCCCTACATTTGAAGGCCCAAGATTGCAGGCACGAGACGAATTATGCAGGACTTACTCGAACAGCAGGCTGGAAATATTGGTATGATTTCGATGAGACGAAGGAAAACATAAGAGCCCAGACACTTGAAACGAACAAAATCCGGAAAGAGACGTAGCGAGGTGATACCTATCAACTGCAAGGTTGGGATACGATAGATCTCGAGTTTGTGAGTCGCAAAGAGCCTCTTTTCACCCAAAACATCGAACATATCCAGGCGGGTGCGGGTAAGAAAACGAGTACTTCCAAGGTGCTTTCCAGGCGCAGCCAGAGGGAGTGCAAGAAGTGGAGGTCCGTATTTCTAATCAACCTCAAACAGACACTGCGCCGAGAAGACCGTAGCGGAATGCCTATGGTAAGCTTACAAAGAACGAACCCCCTGTTGATATCAGAACCAGTCACTGCTGACGCTCAGTATGTCCCTCGACTCGTCAACGTCGATCGCAATCAAATTAGCTCAGGCAAAGCAAAGCTACTGCTGTACACACGCACAGACAGCCTTTACTCACAGGCCCCAACTTTGCGGGTCGTATCCTCGGTACAAACAATAGCCCGCTTCTAACGACTCAGTCTCGACACATATGTGTTCTTTACTGAGTACTGTGTCCAAATAGCACGTGGAACAGAGTACAAGGTCTGTGCGGAGTCTCACCGAGTCTTTGGCTGCTGCGCTTGCGCCTTTCCGCAGGAGCGCGGCGACAACTCCATCCCGCCCCTTGCTCGCTGCGTAATGCAGAGCTGTCCTCCCACCTGGCACGGGGGGCATCAAACAAGATACGTCAGACACATTTCGACAACGCGAAACGGCCACATATGAAGCCTAACAGTCTGAATAAGGGAGCAGCTGCAAGGTTAGAGGCGCTCAGCCACTATAGCTTCAACGAGTCCAAAAAAAACTAGTTGTAAGGCTTGGTCCTTGTGCTCAAAGATATTTCGCAAGCACAGAAGAGGCAATCTGGGATTTTCGAGGTGAGGTCTTTCAGGATTAGGTCTCCGTCCTCTAATCTTTCAGTTCAAATACACGCTCGTACGTTTGTTTTCGCTTGATTTCCTACTGTTTCCTACTTTTTCTACCACACACTTCATCACAGCGTTCGTTCCAGTTCAGAGGTCGGTAGATGGGCTCTCAGCCTTGTCAGTTGAGGCAGCACCAAAGGGCACGTCCCCTTCCCAACGAGTTTTCGCCATGATGATTACGAAATGTTTCCATAAACCTTACGCAGGACGTGAGGCAGTATGTCCACCCCAGGCGGAGATTGTTGACATTTTCGATAATAAACTGTCTTTGTACTTTTGGAACTCGAGTTTCTCCCCCCCCCCAACTCGTGCCAGGAGTGGGCGAGCTCAAAGGAGCTGAACCCTCGACAAGACGAAAGTGAGCAGTGGTTCCCACCATGGAGAGTCCCGTACCCTAATAATTGCTGAGGAATCTCATCATTCCTGGCCACCTGACACACTCTCTGGAGGCACACTTTGCCAGGAGAGCCTCTGAGAAGCCCTCAGGCCGCGAAGTGCGAGTATGGGTCCAGCATCCGGGTTGAGGAGGGGCCTTCTGGAATTGGATCTTAGCATTTGACAGACTGTGCCCTGAACCCTTTTCAATACCCATCAGGTGCACCAAAGTAGTTGTGGCCCCGGCTCACAACAAGTTTGGAAGGAGGACCGGCCAGAGTGCCGGCACGCCGGCTGCTTTGTGTTGCACCGTACTTACCACCGTAGCATTGGCCAGAACATGACAAACATAGGCCGGGCCAGGCTTTGTAATGACAGTTTTTTCAGTGGCCTGCTGCTGGCTGTTGCAGATCAATGATGTGAAGGGCAGAAGCGGGACTCACTCGAGTTTGTGGCGTCGACTGCTGCCCCCAAATTCAGCAGCAGATCGACCACAGCGTCGTGCCCGCTGCTGGCCGCCGAGATGAGCGGCGTCCAGCCGTCTTCGTCGGACACCGACACATCGGCCCCGCCGGCGCTAACAAACAGGTTTATCAACTGCAACACACAGTGTAAGGTCAATGATCAGTATGATGTCTAACCTTATAACGAACAAATTCCAGGATGGCTGGATGAAGTCAAGAGCCTGGAAATTGTCTAGATCAACCAACCCGAGCTTCAGAACAAAGCAAATGTATAGCCACAGTGTTTAGAGGTTTTTTGAAGGAGCAACAAGCCTAATGATCCCCGAAGAGGATTAGCAGAAGCCTAATGCCAGTTTAACATGTGCCTGTCAAGTTGCCAAGGTTTTGCCGGCAGACGTCTAAACCTGGATAACAGGGAAGGCCCAAAGGCAGTCAGAGCATGTAATAAATGATGCCGCTAGAAGGAACCATTTGAAACTTCTATACAGCTTCACTCACACTTACCACTAACTCAGAAAAGGCAAGTTCCAGAGAGAGTCCTTGACGACTCTTTATTTTGACATTGCTCATCTGAAACATCTAGTCTGACAGGAATCAGGATGCATCACGAGGTTAGAACAATGCTGAGTGGCACCAACAGTTCCTGAGCTCCCATGTTAGGACATTGAAGATGAAACACTTTGGGGGCGAAAACTGGCTGCCTTGAGCCGCAGCAGTGATCATCTCATTCAAATGTGCAGCTAATGAATGGGGCAATCCTTGTGACAGACGGTTGCAAAGTGAGGGCCTCTGATTGGCCGCCCTATATTGAAGGTATTTTGCCCTTGACCTAGTTGCGCTGCCCGCTCGGCGCACCACCACTGATCGCACTTGCAACAACGGAGAGAAGAGGAAAGAGGAAAGTAGCTATGACCATTCTCAAGATGACCTAACAGCTATCCATAAACCTTGTGGCACTAGTGCAACCAGGCGGTCTTTCAAGAGAATCTTTCAAAAGTGGCTTGGGCTTTTATAATGGTGAGTCAGCAGCAGCAATCTCTCTCGCTGCGCAGTGATCACCTTCTCGGGGAACAATCAACACGAATTGTGTGGCCCAAACCAGATAAAGGCGACGTATTCGAACTGAATTGCTCACGTTTGCATGCCCTCCTGCTGCTGCACAATGTAGCACAGTGCGTTCATCGTCGTCTCTGCTTCTGCATACTTTGCTGAGCTCAGAAGACGTCAAGGATGCAAAAAACTGCTGGTCCCCCTTCGTGGCGGCTTCGAATGGGGGCCCCTGCCCCTCAAACAGAGCTGCAGACATTGTGAGGACACTGACCAGCGCAGATTCGGAGGGGACGTCTGTTGCAGCAATGTGGCCACCATTGTTGCCATGGCGGTTGAGTCATCTGTCCAAGTTAAACTCGATCAATCCCTGAATAAAAATGTCGGAAAGCTGTGCAATATCCTGTGCGAAATATGCGGGCGGTGCATCAGGTTTGGCGACCAGGAGCTTTCAAGACGCCCCGGTTTTAAAGTTTCTCCCGTTATAGCAGCATCCCCCAGTGTCGATTCGTCGCTGCTTCCTGCGTATTCCGGCCATCGACCGCGTGGCGTTAAGTAATACATTTATGCAGATATTGCAGAGGCGCAGAGTCTGACCGAGGGATCAATTAGAGTATTAAAGAGGCATAAAAGCAGATAAGAATGGTGTATACGACTGAGATTGCTGACATAGGACAATCGCAGAGTCTCTGCCACTAGGCCATGGCAATGATTGATAGTGGTATATGCTTGCCTCTCATACGATCTCGAGAGCACGTGCTTATACGTCGCGTGTGAAGGAAGAAGGTGCTCTTCGAAAAGAGGTTGCAAGCGCGCCAGATGTCGAAATGCAAGCAAGGGGAGATCTTCAGCTGCTGCCCCGCCATGGAACATCCTTGGACCTGGGAGGCGCTCTAACAGTAAGGGACTCCCTGCTTCCTTGCAGCCTTATCCAAAGGGTTTCCCTTAGGCTCGAGCGCTTCTTTTTCCAGAATTCGCTCGAGCTTAAGGTTTGTCGCAGTGGGCGAATCTCGCGGCGCGCGTCCTCTCTGGGGAAAGTTGCATCTTTGATGCCGACGTGTTGGTTCTTGAGGGTTCCAAATCAAAGAGCTCCTGAGGGCCTTATAACATATCGTCACTCACTGCAGCACGCCAGGGGGCCAGAATCTTTTTGTGGAGCAATATGCGGTAAAAGTTACTCTCTAGCTCGGTCCTTGTGTCAGCAACACCCAGAATGTGGGGGCCAGCATCGAAAGCATTGACATTGAGGACCCCGTGCTCTTGATTTGCCCAGCATTTGTGTTGAGGGGGGACTGGTCTGCGTCCTCTAGCATCAGCCTGTTCTGATTGGGCTTGGGCAAACGCCGCCATGGGGAGCGGCTCACAAATCCCTACTCCTTGGCTCCTTGACATATAGTCCTTCTGGACCTTCAATTGAAGTTGGCAACAGCGCAGACGGGTCAGGAATCGGAAGCTGGCGTTTGTGAGTTGAAGAGCGTCATGAGAGAGCTGCCATGAGGCAAGGAGAGATGAGGTGTCCTTCACAGTCCTCAGGGAGGGGTTGGACTGCAGGGAGACGCACGCAGAACACGTTCTTTGACGTTTTCTGAGCTCCGGCTTCGAGGGGGGGCAAGTGCCTCCTCAGGCAAGTGTTCGGGGGTGGGCTGGTTATAAGCAACCTATCCAGGGTAGCTCGGGGGACTTTTGCTGGAGAGCACGGCAGCTTGACACAATGCAGGGTTGCATGAATTACAGACTTGGGGGTCTCTTTGCCGCCTTCAAGACCTGTCTGCAGTGGTGGGGGGCCTCACAGCCTGCCCCGGTATGCCTCTCAAGCGCAGAGGCATGTTGCGCGTCTCTTTAGAAAGCGCCTGCAACTAGAAAGCGCCTGGCATGCGAGGTGCGCGCGTTATCGACCTCTGATCGAGCCCCAGTCCATTGCAAATCCACAATGGGTCCGCCAGCGGAAGCTTTGCCTGTAGGGCCATCCAACTTCAGTCCAATTTCACCGGAGTCAAATGGACCTCAGGCCGGGTGGACAAATGAGGTTCCAAAGAGTGCACTTGCGATGCTTCCGGGGCCGTCCCTGCCGTCGCTGCCTGCTGGGGCGCACAAGGAGATTCTGCAGCTCATTGCGGGGTACCTTGAGGTTTGGGGGTTGAGCTTCAAGATTGAGAAGAAAAGCGTGGGGAAGGATGCGGCAAGAGACCAGAGCGAGCGTCAGAGACTGGGAGAGCTGATTTTGGACGGGAAGTGGACGGAGGCACTGCAAGCGCTGGAAGCTTTACAGGTAACCAGCTCAGGAATTAGCTTGCACCTTCTATGGGGCAGAGGGGCAGGATGAGAAGCTTTTGAAGCCACCATTTCTAGTGGCATCAGAAACTTTGAGCTCGATCTTTGCGACCTAAACTTGTCCTTTGGGTTTAGCTCCCAGGTGACCTCCCAGGTGCTTCGCCAGACAAACCCTAGTGTTGCAAATGTAAAGTTCCTGAGGTTGTGAAGCAAATGACTCATGATGTCTGTGCATCAATTGAGTGCCCTGCAATTGGAATCGGTTTGGCTACGGCGAGGCCTCTGGCATTGCTTTCAGATAATGCCCCCTTGGAGGAACATAGGAGGTCTGCATCATACTCAGTTGTCAGCCTGGCAACCAGGGAGACTTTGGTAGTTTGGTGTTGATGTTTTCGCACATTTGAGGTCGTCACGCATGAAGCGGTCAGCTCATAAGCGCTTCGCGCAAGAGACATTATCCCTGAAATGAACCGGAGTCTGACCATAAATGTTACAAAGAAGGAACAGCCAGGTCGTTGGAATTTTCAATCGGGAACAGGCCACAGCTTCTCCACTTTACCTTACCCGCTGTTGCATCTGCGTGTGTGCAGCTTGGGTCACAGTGTGCGCCCCTGGTATTCCTGCTCCGGAAGCAACAGCTGCTGGAGTGCATCAACGATCGTGCACAAAAGGTGAGGCTGTGGCGCGCGTATGCTCAACGGCTTGCACAAGCAAACCTTGCACATGTTGCACCCCTGGCTGGGTGGTCTCTTCACTTTGCTTTGCTTCGATTATGATGGCCCGTTTCAGGAACCAGTCACTTTGATTAATCGGTTCGTGCGTTTATGTTAGAGTAGACGCTGCACATTTGCATGTATTTGGAGGAGAAGATATTCTTATCCAGGTTTGCCCGCCAAGGCATGGCCTGCGCCCACTCACAAGGAGCAGTTCCTAGAACGAACGACCGTAACATCCATTATGTCCCTGTTCTCCTTCTCCCATCGCTCATGAAAGGGGAAGATCGAAACTGGTTCAGATTCCTGCGTTCCCTGTCTGTTCTTCCCAGGCGGGCGATAGTCCGCAGCTTGCGGATGCGGTGGCTGACTCTCTGGCAGCCCTCCAGGGGCTGTCCTCGGAGCAGGAGTTTGACGAGCTGCGCTCTTTGGCATCAGCTGTGGTGAGGATCGAGCCAGGCTCATCTAGATCTGTTCCAATCAGAGACGAGCTTCCAAATGAGCTGTCGTAGCGGGTTTTCTTGTCTGGACGAAGTAAGGACGAGTTGCGCCGCGTTTGTACTTTCAGCGCGTCCATCTTGTTCATCCAAGTCTCTCGTTTTGAGGTATCAATGGTTGTGTTTGGTAACCCACGCAGATTTTCAGGAACGCTTTTCAGCTGGTTTGCGGATCCATCTGGCCTCTGCCTCCTGAACTGGACAATAATCGAACCGTGCTTTTTTCCTCCACAGGATCTTCACGATCTTCCCGCCTACGCGGACTGGACTGTTGCAAGCGGCCGACAAGAGTGCGCCCAAGCCCTTCTAAACATCCCGACCCTCCAGGCCTTTGACACAGCCGGGACAGCTCCGGCCCCTTTCGAGGTTGTTCCTCCAGGAGCAGTGTCAACAGAGAGCCGGCTCGAGGAACTCCTGCGGCAGGCGCTCGCTTTCCAAGCTGTGAGAGCGGGGGTCTCTGTCGAGTCTGCAGAACTGCTGAGCAGGGAAGCGGGGGAGAATGGGCACCGGTCGCCATCTGTTAGCAGCGAGCAAGCTGTGGGAAGCATCGTGACGGGGCTCAAGATTGAAGTGGGGGGGCAGGACCTGGAATCCAGCAGTGCGGGGAGCTCCTTTGAAGGCAACGGCGTTTACACTCCCACTGGCAGCACGCCGGAAGAGGAGAAAGCAAAGGGCGGCGAGAATGGCATCAGCGTGCCCCTCCTTGCTGACCTCAGCGTGATCTCAGCAAACGGGCAGAGCTCGGGGGAGGTCACGCCGGGAGGGTCTGCGTTCACACTGCTGCGCGACGTCGACTGGGGTCTGGCGGCGCAGCGTGACCCGTTCGATGTGGGAATGCCCTCAGGAATGGCCTTCAGAAGGACGTTCATGGAGGACTCGTTGCTGCGCCCCACTGACGCGCCCCTGTCGCGAGCAACTAGCATGGGGGGGCAGGAACCTAACTCTGCGGCAGGGGATCTAGCACTGCCGGTTGTGCCGCGAGTGAAGGCGAAAGTCCACGCCGAAAAGAAGAGCGACGACGAGGGGCCTGGTTTGCGCCTGACATATCCAAACAAGCCAATGAATGGATTGAGTGACAACGAGGGAGGGGGGAGAGAGAAGCCTAGGAGGGAAGGGGGGGGGGGGAAAAGCGGCAGGGCCATGGGGCGTGACAGTGTCGAGCCTGGCGAGCGGAGAGGGGAGGAGCGGCTTGAGAGGGAAGACTCGTCCAAGCAGTGGGCGCGAGCCAAGTCCGAGGAACCAGACGCGGGCGTCTCCGGCCGGGTCGTCGAGCCCGAAGCGAGGCCCGAGACTAAGCCCCGCCGTGCAAGTCCCCCCCTAGAAGAGAGGTTTGGGCCAACGATCATGGTGACCAGCAAACCCCCCCGCTCGAGCAACCCCGCTGCCGCTAAGCCGTCTCCCGCTGCATCCCCCCGGATAAGCGAAGGGCTACGGGCGTCTGCGCCGGCCTCCCCGAACAAGGGCAAAATACCCCCTTGGAACGTAGACGAGGGGGGGTCGCGAAAGGGCACGCCAAAAGGGTCGTGGTCCAATCCGCCGTCGCCGCATGGGGAGGGGGTAGACCCCGACGAATACGACAAGGACGTGCGTGCACAGTATGAGCAAGTCAAGGCGCTATTTGAGGCGGAGAGGGCGGCGAGGGGCGACTACCGAGGGGAGCGGTATGAGGAGGTGGGGGCGAAGTACGACCTGGGGAATGAGCGGAAAGGAGGCGATGCAGACCGGAGCCGGTCTATGGAACGGGAAGTGTCTGGAGAACGGTCGTTGCACCATTCGAAGAGCGGGCCCCTGAGCATAGAATCCGAAGCCTCCAGAATACGGGTGTCGTTAGGCAGCGACCGAGTCCCCTCCCCCCGCCCCGCCAAGACGTCTCCACGTAAACCGTCATCTAAAACGCAGGACTACGGGTCACCCTCGATCTCCCCGTCCAAGCACCGGAGGTCCAGCTCCGCGGAGAAGCTGCACGAGGCGGCGGAACGGGTGCCGCTGCCGCGCGCGGAGAAACTAGAGCGGCCCATCTCGCGCTCGGGCCCGCTGGAGCGTGTGCCGAGCCCGGTGCCGAAAGCGGGCGCGTTCAGTTCTGCGGCCAGCACGCCAAAGGGCATCACGCGCAGTCCGTCGTTTATACGGAGGGCGAGCCAAGCAGGGCGGGCGTACAGGTGACTTTACAAACTCTTTCTGTTTTGGATTGTTGTCTGCTTGACTATGAAAGACGCTTTCTCCTCCTGGTAGCTCAAGCGTTGCTTGATGCGGACCTTTATGAAAATCCATTGAACATTTCTGAATTGAGACCCTCAAGTGCACAGCTGGCAGCGTAAGACTTCGAGCCATAAAGGATCTGAACAAGTCGCTCTTGGATTCTGATCTAAGGAGTGTGCAGATGTCGAGACCGACGAACTGTCTTCGGGAATCCGACTGTATGAAAAGGGTGGTAAGATGGAGAAACAGGGAGATGCTTCCAAAGTACAGGCATTCAAGACTCTGTAAGCTGTGCATGGTTGTGTGTATCCTGGACAAGGAGAAGATGGGGCATCGTGCCTCATGTAGATGAGTACGCAAAGTACAAATGTTCATTAAAACATACTCCCGACGCATGGGTATCAACAACAAAGCAATACAGCTTACCCATACCAACCCTCATGGTTTTCCTTGCAGTAACCTGGATCCAACGGCGGGCTTCGCTTCTGCGACGGTGCTCAAGGACACGCAGCCAGTGAGGACGGTGGCCTGGGACCGGGATGGCAACTTCCTGGCCGTCGGATCGAACTCGCGGACGCTCAGGATCTGCCACGTGTGGGGGGTCACGGGGGAAGAGCCGGGCAGCAGGAGCAGCAGGGAGCACGCAAAAGCAGGTCAGCCCCAGCCCGGTCGGATAAGAGTCTGAACTTCAAAACGTGTGCATCGAAAACTGCCACGTTGTTCACTCTTCGACTAAGATCGTCGAATGCTGATTTTCCCCCCAAGGGAAACCATGATTCATCCACCTGGTAGCTTGCTCGAGTGTCAACACTGCGTTGAACAGCATATCACACCGATTTTGGCGGAGGCACTGAGAGATTTTTATGGCAGGTTTTGAACCAGTATTTTCATGTGAGTCGTGATTCAAGCCAGGACCGCCGTTGACTGTAGGTGTCCCCGGCGCCAAGGTGGTTGTCGAAGAGCGCGACTGGCACATGGGCAGTGTCTATACCGTCGGCTGGAACTGCACGGGCGGCCTCGTGGCCACCGGCAGCAACGACCAGACGCTCAAGGTCGCGTCGGTGCAGCGCGCCAAAGGCGAGGACTACGGGAACCTGTACTTCGGCATTGCGGGCCCAGACGACATCGGGGAGTGCACCTTCGAGGGCCACGATGGCACCATCCGCGATCTGGCGTTCAGTCCTGTTGCAGAGAGCATGGTCTTGTCGGGTGAGGGGCGCTGTTGCGTGGACGTATACCTGTCCGTTTCACTGATTGTTGCTTTCGCAACCCAAGCACGATTGGTCGTTTGGCGTTTGCTCCCTCCGTTTTCGTGCCATGATGGGGCTCAGGCGTTGATCTGCTAGCATCATTTGATTCTTTGATCTGCTTGAACAAGTGATTCGTGGCAAGAGCCTCATTTGTAAGCGGCAGTCCTCTCTATCTGACTTCCTTAAGGCCAGCACCACTTTTTCGTCAGCCGCTTTTAGTGCCTGGTATGTCGAAGCAAAATAGTCTAGCTCACGTTTAAGATTCAGGCGATTGCCAGGATTGCGTTGCACAGGCGAATTCATAGACGACAAAGTTTGGATTCCATCTTTCTTTTAGAGAACCTTGGCTTTCATTCGTCCTATCGAGTCAGCATCCTTTTCAGCATGTCATCACTCCTTACGTGCAGGGTCTTCCGTTCTTTCTTGCGTTCTTCTTTGATCGGGACCCACAGTGAAATCGCTCGCATTTTACCGGATCCCCATCTCATGCAATGCTGACGTCATGCAGGCGGAGCGGGCGACTTCGGCATGCGGTACTGGGACTGCGAGAGCGGGACGGTGGTGTGCACTCTGTGGGGCAGCGCCGCGGCCATCTTTGCGATGCGCATCGCGCCCGACGGGAGGACCGTCGTCACAGGGGGGGGCGAGACTACCTGCCGCGTCTGGGACCTGCGCACTGCAAGCTGCGTGCGCACGTTTGGACAGTACAACTCGCAGGTGAGCCGGAAAATGGGAACCTTCCGAGCCCAAAGAGTGTGTTTTGGATTGATTGGGAACTCCTTTATTGGTTTTGCTATCTAGAGACGACGACGACCGTTTTTGGAAGAAACTCGGTTGTTTTGACATGTTTCTGAACCCTCTGGTCCTGTGAAGGGCAAGGCGCAGGTAAGCTGCGGGACGGGGAGATTGTCACTTTGTGGGGCAGTGCCCTTAATGAATCGGAGAGTTGTCATCGAAGACAACAACGCAAGACACTTGATGTTCTGACGATATGTCCGCAAACCATTTGTCCTGTGACTACACCGTGCAGATGAGTCACGGGATAGGGCATCGTCGCTCTCAAAAAACGTGCTCGTTTACGTTTAAATATCATGTTGTTTCTGACGGCGACGATGTTTCGCACGAAGCTTGGTGATTGGACGACGTGCCCTTACATCCTGTAAGGATGAATTTTTGAGGCTCGACAAATTACGTTCAGGTCCTCCAGTCGAGATCCTGTACAGCCTTCGTGATTTGATCTTTACACGCTCTTCGAAAAGACTTGCTTCGCAGGGCTTCGCAGGAGAACCAGGAGCCTCTCTTGGTGCAAATGACGAGCTTGGGCCCAGGGTGGGGCTCTTCTTGACGAAGTTAATGGAGCACAGCCTTCGTCACTCAGTCTGAGCTCATACACTTTTCTGAAAGACAATCGGATAACCGGAACCGTCTTCTGGTGCAGGTGTCGAGCTTGGCCCTCGGATGGGACTCCCCTGGCGGCCCGCAGGTCATTGCCGGTTTCGCTGGCGGAGTATGCCGGGTCGTCGACTTTGCGAGCGGAAAGGAGACCCGCAAGTTGACGCACCACACAGCAGACTGCCGTAGCGTCGACGTGTCACCAGGTGCGGGCAATAAGGCTTCCCAGAAGCATTTTAGCAAATTTGTGTCGTCTCCCGCTGAGCTGTCTTTTGCCGGCAGAACATCCCAGCTAGTGCTCGCCAGATAAGTCACAGTGCGCTTCTGCCATGCACAATAAGAGGGCATAAAGGCATCCTTGACTAGCTACCTCTCCTGAAGAAGTTCGTCTTTGTTCGGCAATCTGTCCTTCCCAAATGAATCACCCTTTACCGTCGTTCGGCAGGCGGTCGGTGGCTGTTAACGGGCGGCTTCGACGGCAGCATCGGCATCGTGGACGCGCGCACCGGGTGGCGCGTAGCGGGCGTGTACCGGGCGCACGGCGATAAGGTGCGAGGCGGCCTGCAATTCACTTTCTTGGCTCAAGCTCAGACAATCAAAAAGTGCCTGCAACGGATTGTCCACTCACTTTGACTTGTGGCTACTGAGGAATGAGTTTTGGAGCTTACTTGCGCTTCTGCGTCGTCTGAATCACCGGAGTCATTGATAGTTTCCGAGGGCTGTTTGGCAATCAGAGCGTTGGAACGTCCTCGTCCTGGTGCAAACCGTAGATGGTTCGAATCAGTGCAACTATCGACTTCGAGAACTGTGCTCAGGTTTGGTCTCTGTGCTATCCATCCTTCACATTTGCACTACCAGCGCTGATGTCTTTGGTGCTTGTATTTCTGTTTGTCCAGGTGATTCAATCACGCTGGCACCCGGGGGGCGTCGGCTTCGCTACCAGCAGCGCCGACCGGACTGTGCGCGTATGGGCCCCGGCCAAGCCCACCGACGATGGGGACTGACCGAGGTAACATTAGCTTGTGACAACATTGTGGAGCAACTGATGCCAATTCTCTGGAGCTGACATCAGCTTACAGAGGGTCAGCGAGTGGTTAGGTAGGGTCTGTGAGTGGGGCGGTCTCTGTGCGGCGACAAGAGTTTGAACGGGAGGGGATCCGGGAGGATGGTGGCTTGTGTTAGGTTTTCAAAAGTCTCTGTAGGGCTTTCTTTGGCGATTGGAATGTCAGCTGGGAGAGTTCCCTTGGTGCGTCCTGTGCAAATGCGCCGTAGAAGCACATCAGGAAGGTCTCTGCCTCTCCTGAGTGCAGATCTGAAAAGCACATTGGGGAGTTAGCAGTAGAGGTCTAGAGCCCGCGTGAAGCCTGTTCTGGTTCTGCTCGGCCTCGGGCTTCGTTATTGCACAATTTTGCGGCTCCTATCCGAATTCCAGTGCGCCATTGCTAGGCCGAAAATGTAGCATAAACAAATGTTGTCGATTGCTCGTGAACACGTGTGGTGAGGGAACAAGGTTATTCGGTCTAAAGCCAGCAGCCTGCGGCATCTCGTGTGGAGTGGGTGCATGCCGTTGATTGACGAACAAGAGCAAGATTGAGGCTCAATGTAGCTCTTTGAAGATTGACATTTGAGCTCGTTCCACTCATGATTTGGCTCGTGTTAAGAGTAAAAGTTGCTAGTGTAACATATCCAAAATGCTTCAGATTAAAAAGCAGCACTTATTAGGGTAGACCATCGGACTAGCTCGTATTTAGCAAGGACTAGAGGACTTTGAGACATTCCCTTTGCAAAGCCTTTAACATCGCACGATATAATCCACGGAGCCTGGTCCCAATTTGATTTGTCATTCATGCATACGAAATTTCTGATGCGGTGAGGTCTCAATTGACATGACCAGCGCCGATCACTTGGAGCAGCACATGATTAAGTGCACTGGATTTTGTTCCAGCCTGAGCACCCGCAGCTTGATGGCATTCATCCTCAACCCAGAAGTTGACTTTATCGTATATATTGAGCCTCCGACGGTATTTTTCCTCGGAGGAGATGAACCATGCATGATGCATATGATTGGCAGGCGGCGGCCCCAGCCAGGCTGGCGCTGAGCCAGTAAGGGTAAGGTCATTTTGTAGTGGACCCCCTATGTTCAGTCCAGAGCCCCTCGAGACCCGAACGGCCAAGCCCCCCCCCCTTCCCGCTGTCCTCCACTCAAGGATAAGCCGAGCCCCCCCCCCCTCCGGCTGTATGAATATGTGTATTTTGCGGCTATTTTGCCCCTGAAAACAGCATTTTCAGACCGATATTACAACAATTTCCGAGCCTGCGGCTCGACCATGGCGGAAACCCCGAGCCCCCCCCTCCCCCTGCCCTTAGGATTCCAAACCCCCAACCCCCCACCCTCTAACTGAACATAGGGGGTCAGCTTCAACATGACCTTACCCTTAGCCTACAAGATCGACGTATTGCGCTTAAGAACGATCGTTGGCATGCCAGCGCGGTTCCGACGTCGCTCTAGCAGACGTCCGACCCGGGCCGCACAATGCCCTCGGCTGAGTCGCGCGCGCGCGAACACAGAAGCCGCCTTCCGTCTTCGAAAGTGACCGCGGCCGCCTGCAGAATGCCAGTGCACCGCGGCCGCGGCAGGCTCGCGCGGCGGGGCCGCCTGAGACTCGCCGGACTCTCACTCTGTTCAGCGCTAGAGCCTATACTATTACTACTACTAGGCTATAGAGGACGGTATTCCTAGCCTACCCAGGGCCATGGGCCAAACCGTAACGGCGATTAAAGCTTAGGCCTGAGAGCAGAAGGAAGCGGAATCCAGCGTGGCCTTGATATACATGCAAGCAGACGGCGTTTTCTCTAGAGCTATTCCAGCATGGCGACCAGTACAGGCTTTGCTGACCTTCCTTGGGAAGTTCTGGACGTTGTGCTCTCCAAAGTCAAGGCCGTCGCGCCCGACGTGTACCACAATTGCGTCCGGCTGACGTGCAAAGAGTGGCTGTACAGTTACAGAAGGTTGGGCAGAACTCTAGACCTGTCTGATTACAATCCTGCTGGCCTGCGGCGGCTTGGCAGCAAAGTTAGCGTGGTTCAGGTACTAACTCTGAATTCTTTCCACTTGGTGCGAGAGAAGTATCCAGGTCTGGTGGGTCTAAAGATAGACCAGAGTTACCTTGAAGAGAATTATCTTTGCAGTGGGCCTCTCACGAAAGTAGCCTGGGAAATTGTGGGGGTCTCATCCCCCGAATATCATCCATTGGAGAAAGTTAGGGGCCTACCATTTCTTCTGAGCAGCTCGCATGGCAGCCTGAGAGAGTTGTCTTTAAAGTGTGGCAAGGGCGACTACAAATACGTTCATTACTCCGTAAATCATATCCTCCGAGAAGTCTTTATGGACTGCGCAAATTTGAGACATGTTAGTCTTGAACATTTTGACCCGTCGCAGGGTGGCCGTGCAAGATTCCGTGCCGATTCCCCGTGTGCTCCCCAGGTTGTGAGTGTCCGGGTCCGAGGTGCAGTAGTTGGAACTGATCTCTGCCACATTGGAACAATGTTCCCAACTGTGGAAGAGCTCCTTGTCGAAGACACAAACACAGAAGACGTTGCAATCTATCGGAAGGTTTTCTACAAACGCGAGCAGGAATGGCGAGAAGCAATGGACGGAGTCGCACTCAGACGGCTCCGAGTCTTGGAATATAAGCTGAGGTTAGGCGGTATAGATTATGAGACACACTGGGCTCTTTATACCAAGCAAGCTCTGCTTGGGCATGTTCCAAGCCTCAGGGTTTTAATCACAAACGGCCACTCAGCTGTTCTCTCCTTTTGGAACAAGGATGGCTGGGACTCTGTAAGGGTGGTCAAGTGCAGGCCTGACAATGTGTTGGCGCTGTCGGTTATGACCGACATAAACAAGAAGTTGAGTTTAGGAGTCACTGAAATTGCTGAATAAGAATGGAGGGTCTCGGTACAACTTCCTGAGTTGGTAGGAGCTGCGGAGAACTTGACTTTTGGGCAATTTGAATCTTCTACCTCAGAAAAGCTGGCGTAATGAACACCACCTGAAAAGGGATGAAGTAAGTGCCGGTGGCATGTACATATGGAATGCATCCTTCACTTTTCCATCATGAAATGGTACAAATGATGATCATACATGGATCGCATCATTGGGTGTTCCAATTAGATGCAAGATGTTTGACCCTCAATAAGGCCGCTTGCCATCAGTGTACCGTAAGTAATTGCATGAGTCGGATCGATCTATCATATATGCATCTTACGATAAGTATCATATGGAAAGACATATACTATGCTATATATTACTGTAAACATGCTGAGGATCCGAGGTCGGCCCCAATTCACCGGCATCATTGATGTATATTGGATTTTGTTGCGTGCTTCTAGCTTGGCCGAATATACTATATTGATTTGTTTGTTCAACGTCGGTTCGGAGCCGTGATCGGCTAAGTCGACGACATGGTCCTCACTACACTAAGCTTTTATCTTTTCAAAGTGCTACCTCTTCTCTCCATACAAAGATGGAGATACTTGCCTACCGCAATCTTGTCCTCTCCATTCAAGAAAGCCCTAAGGCTCTTCGTGCCCTTAGTATTGTCGAATCATTATGGAATGGAAGATTCTTCTCAGATCTTCGTAAGCTACACAATCATATACGAAGTGAGATTCGTCTTCTATTGCATCTGCGTCGCATACTTGGCAAAGTCTCAGTTTCTGCTCTAGTTATGCCTTGCCACCTTCCTGTTTCGACAGCAAGATTGTGGGAACCTATCCGGAACTTAGCCAATGTGTGGAGAAAAGGGAAGCTACTTATGTTATCCAAATACGGCTCAAACGAGTAACCTTCTTTGACCACCTCAAAGTATGTCTCGTATTTGGTCCCATGATCCTCTCGGAGATCTTGCATGTATAAGCCATCTCGGCGAAGTCGCGCAGCATCTTCACGTCGAGACCCCGCTTCTGTAGTTGCTCGTCGGCCGCTAACTCCCTCGCTTTCTCCATGACTTTTGAGTACCAACCCCCTTGCAGTGACCATATATACAGGCAGCATGCAATCAATCTATAGCTATATGCATGTCGCATGACCGAATCATAGCGCTATTACTGCACGTACTATTGCATGCCCATGCATGCCAGCAAACAATGTTTGATCTCAAAATCATGTACACATCCACGGGCTGGCCGGGTAAGAAGCACCACATGTGCCCCGTTCTTGCGGCACGTGCGTATGAGGCCGGAACAAACAATCGTATCGAATATGCCTGCAATCATTGAATGATGTTGGTTGTTTTCGCTGCGCCTTCTTGCTCCTTGTGATCACAAGATGAGAAGTGTGCGTGCACCAGTCACGCGTTACGGTACGACCATCGAAAGCAATGACACGTAACCTGTAGTGCATGAAACGGACATGCAAGAGATCCACTTCCACCTTACAATGGCTCGATCTTAAGACTCCATTTCGACGAGTACGATCTCGAACCATCAATAAGTACCAGATGTTCCGACCCTTCTATGTTGGCCAGAGCCACCTCTCATGACGTACATGATTGGTCTGACGTCACTAGAAGGCCTCTTACTCACGAGTCACAAGTCCTTCTCAGACTGAGCCTGAGGCGAACTGTTACGCTTAGATTCTTTTAACTCAGCAATCAAGAGTGCTTCTCCTGCAAGGGCCAGTTTTGCGGCGCCCCGCTTCACTTCGAGAAGTTGATGCTATACCCGCCCGTGTTAGGATCCTGGACCGCCTTGAAGTTGTCCACCGACAGCCCGAAGTGGCCCAGCACCGAGTTCCCCAGCTCCTTCAGCTTGCCCAGCATCTCCTCCCTCATCTTCTCGCGCTTCCCGTTCACGATCGGCTCTAAGCGACGGATCTCCGCGGAAGCCTGCCGGTTGGCCGGGTCCTTTTCGAGCACCGTCTTCCAGTCTGCAAACATTCAAAGGCAGCTGACGTGAGCTGTGATGACTTCCAAAAGCACAGCGACGGACTACACACGACGGCTGTTGTTGAACGGGTTCCCTCCGAGTGCGGGTTGCAGAACGTTGACATCTGTCCAATCCGTCCGCACCCGAAACGGACGGCTGACGACAACAAAGTTGTAAGGTCGCACTCAAAATCCACACGCTAGCCGTTTTCTTATCCATATGTGAGACAGGCAGAAACGGCAAAACCTCTGAGCAAATAGTTTTCCAGTCGCAACCGAAGACGCACAGGCCACCGCCATAAAGCTGCGAGGCAGCAGCGCATGACACCAGATGCACACGAACGTTCTCCGGCAAGTACACGCTGCGCTTCGGTGTCAAAAAGAGAGCCAATGATGACGTCACCTGCCAGCGCCTCCTCCTGCTTATCCAGCTTGTCGTATGCTTGCGCGCGCCGTATAATCACTTTCAGGTAGTCCGGCTTTAGCTTGAGGGCCTCGCTGCACTCGCGGACAGCGGCGTCGTGCAGGGCCTGCGCCAGAGGCGAATGCAAGTCTCAGATTCACAGGGCCTCTCTTCGATTTCACAGGGGGGTCCTTCCAAAGAGAATGGCCACCTTACTCGCGGGTTAAGGTGCCGGGTCAGCTGGCTAACCGGCTCCGACTTCTGGCCAAGTGTCAAAATGAAACAGGTGGCTTCAGGTCTAATACTAGTCGTCCTTGCAGGCGGACAGTGGACACTGTCTTTGAGGGGTATTTGAAGGTAAAGCTGTGTGGGTTAGGGGAGACTGGCTGACAGGAATTATATGATTTAAGCATAGCGCGGCCAGGCTGGTGCAATAGGTCACGACGGTACGGTACATACAAATGGGTGTACGACTACTTTGCTGCCGTCGGATTGCAAGCTGGACGGTGTCGAAATTCTGAATTTACGATCTAGGGCAGGGTGAACTTTGTAGTCAGGTGAGTTTGTGGTCAACGAAGTCACTGGTAAAGGTTTTCGACAAATCACAGGACGAATAAATTGGCGTCATTATCGGGCGTACTCGAGATGATAATAAGGTGTCAAAAAAGCTTTCACCTTTCGGAGAGGCATATGTGTGGCGGAAAGAAGGCTCACCCTCTGCGAGAGTGAACCCCTAGGAATGACTGATTGGGATGCACTTCCCACTTCACAGGGTTCCTTCAGAGATGACTCTGTGCACTTGACCGAGGCTACTGAACCAGGAGCAAAGTTCCAATGCAGGCGCTTTTCCAAAAATGAACACTGATGCCGACTCCTTCTCAACAAGTAGTAATGGAGACTCTCTTTCAGCGTCTCTTCTTGTGTTTGTATGGTTCCAAGCTATCAGTCATTGACGGACGGTTTAGCGCCATGAAGGAAGGGCAACAGCAAGGGCTCAGCTGATCGCGATAGGCCCCCACATCAGATGACTGTGTGCTCCTGTATGCCTTCCTTTTCAACGTCTAATGTTTGTTGCTGACCCGTAATCACGAAAGCGACAGGCATGAAGCTTTCAAGGACGTCGCAGTCCGGTTTTCGAGGGCATTCATAGTTGACCCTTCAATTACGAGGAGCCTGCCTCGGATCGAAGCTATCGGAACTCATTCACCAAAACAAAGTAGACAAAGATAAGGAAACAACAACCGCAGGCCCCAATAAAACGACAAGAGCGGTTAAAGAGGCGAAATGGACATAAGAGGCAGATAAAAGAAAACAAGCACGAGACAAATAGAGGGCTTCAGGCACAGAATTACAAACGAAAGCAGAGGCGCTCGAACTTGCCAGCTGCACGAAGCACGCCGCCCGGTTGGCATGGCACGCCGCACGGCAGTTGATTGCCTCCACATCCGCTTTCTGCTCTGTTGCCGGCGCTTCTTTCCCCCCCCCTTCGCCCGCCCCCGTTTCCGGCCCCCCAGGTCCGCTGCCAGAGGGCCCCCCTCAAAGTCCTCATCAGGAACCACCAGCCTGCCCGTTTTTGGATCCAGCACCTTGGGGGGACGAACTCTCCGCCGACCACTCGTCTCTGTCGTACCCCCCCTACCCTCCCCCGTTGTTTGCCCCCCCCTTCCAGGACCGAACCGTTCCTCCTTTGCTTCACCAAAACCGCCCTCTTCCGCGTTCGATTCCAGCCCCCGTCCTGCGTCTGCTTTTCTTTGCGCCAATGGCTCGGTCTCTTTTGTCCCGTCTCCGCTGGTCTCAGGCGCGGGTTCTTCGTTATGGGGGGTTTCGGCTTCCTTTTGGTGAGGTATCTCCTCGTTTGCAGGGGACAACTCTTCGTCTTGGGGGGGTGTCTCCACGTTGACGTAAGCAGGTGGCGCAAGCTCGAGCGCCTTTGAGTAGACCTCCAGCGCGCGCTCGTAATTTGCAGTGGCATACAGTTCGTTTCCACGGGCGCGGGCCTGCTCTGCTTGCACCAGAGCTTGCTGCAGGGAACGAAAGAAAGGCTTGCATTTTGAGGCTGAGGACTCCGAAACGTCCGCCATGAAAGTGCTATAGCGCAGACACTTGCGATAACAGGAGTTTGCCACCGAAGAGCGTGCCAAAGCCCATGACAATGGTTCCGAGTTCTTTTTTCAGACCAACAGACCAACTCGAGTTCCCGGGCGGTTTCGGAAAGTGGGACATCTCAGCCGGTGGTGACTTTCTAATCGAGGCCGACTTCATAATCTGATGCGATCATAGAAAGGAGCCTTCAAAATGTGATCTCAAAAGCCGTTGAAATTGGGCTGGATTTGGATTCTAATTTACGTTCCAAAATTATACCTGACCTTGTCTCAAGAAGCTGTTTTGGTAGGACTTTTGGAAAGATCGACCCTGTGTCATCCTTCGTATCAAAATCCTCGACTGTTACATATCCACCTCGTCAAATCACACTGCATGGAGCCAGATTTCCACCACCGCTTGCGCTCTCGCTTGCTGGCGCCGCAGGAGAAAGTTATTTCATGGACGTAATCATGGCGTCAGCTGCAGCCAGTTACCTTCCTTTGCTGTTCTTCATCTTCACACGCATCATGGAACTCGTCCTCTTCTTCCTCGTTCTCTCCCTTCTCTTCCTCCGCAGCTGTCTCCTCTCCTTGCTTGCCGCTGGACTGGCTTTGCTGGACGACTGAAGTGTCTTTGGTACCGTCTCCATTTTCAATCTTCTCTGCTGCCCGTTCATTCACTTCTTGGTTTGTGCTCTTCGTCTCGTCAACCTTGCTCTCCCGGTCGTCCATTGTGCGTTCCAGCCTGTCTGCCTTCTCCCTATGCTCTTCCATCATTCCTTCCAGTCTATCATTCTCCAAGGCCTTCGCTTCTTCCTTTCTTTCAGCCTTCTCCGTCCGTTCGTTCACATCTGCCTCTCTACTATTTCCCTTATTCTCCCCCTCTTTTGTGACCTTGCCGCCCTCCATTTCCCCTTCCTTTTGGACCCTTTCTTCGCCTTCTGGCGCCCCCTCCTCAGTCTTCTCTTCCACGCTTCCCCCCTCTCCTCTTTTTCCAAAAAAGATCTCTCCATCGATTCCACCTTTTGTCTGCACCTTCCCAGTTGCTTCCTTGTTCCCTCCTTCACTTTCTCCCTCCGCCTGACCAGAACCCCCCTTTTTCTCACCGCTTCTGCGTTCATCCCCATCCCCATCCATTGAATGCCCTGCTTCCCGGACGACCCCTGCAGCAAAGTGCATTTCCCGGAAACTTTCGCCGCTTCCACCGACACTTTCAGACTCTTGATCCGCGGACTGTGAAGCTGCACCTCCCGTCCTGTCCTGAGCCTGCTCCAGAGACTCCTGTGCTTCATGCAGAGCAGCCCCACGCAAGGCGCTCGCTGCCTCCTCATGCAACTCGCTCCGGTCCGAGATCTGCGTCTCGACAGACCACGTGTCTTCCACATCTGCTTGCTGAGGCGCTCCTCCTGTTTTGACCGCTGAGAGACCACTTTCTGAAAGAATAGCATCTCTTCCAGCACCATCAGCATTCATCTCAGCGACCGTCTCAGCTCCCTCCACTTGCTTCCCTCTGCCTTCTTCAGCGCTGTCAGCCACATGATTGCCAGCATGAGCAGTGTCGTATCCGCTGACCTCAGCATTCGCTGTGCTTACACTGCGGATTCCTGCCGTGCTTTGCACTGGAGCCCGCTGCTTCGGGTTGAGAAACCCCCTTGCAAACCCCTCCGCTGACCGACCATGCTTTTCTGCCAGTGGTGGTTGATCAATTGCTTCGGAATCTAGAACTTGGGAGCGCCCAGCCTGTGATGCGGCTTTCACTGGGGCATTGAGGAAACCCTTCGCTAAGCCCTGACTTGATGAACTTTTTGCACTCTCTGCTCTGCGCCCTTCGTCATCAATCCTCTGATCAGCCGTACTTTCAGGGGTACCCTTGCTCGGATTCTCAAATTCAGGTTTGGCAGACTTTGATTTGCTCTCGTCTTCAGATGCAAGATTGGCCTTATCCTCCGGCTCGGCATTGCTGCTCTTTCTCTTTTCAGCTTCACTTTTCTCATCATTTCTAACTATACTAGACTGTGGCTTTGCCCTCAGAAACCCCCGCGCCAAACCCAGACCCTTGGGTGTGGCTTGTGCACCAGCTCCCATCTTGCTGCTCCCCGTAAGTCCGGGTTTCCGTCTTGCCTGCGATGTGGTCTTCTTCTGCTCGGCATCATCGTCGATCTCCTCCAGGATCGCCATGTCTGCAAGCCGAGAAAGGCAATGCCGCACACTTTGCGTGGCTGCTTGTACTGTAATACGAATGCAAGTGCCCTTGCAGAGCCCTCTTGTAGCTGCTCCCTAGCAGTTGAGCATGCTCCAGCCAAGGCTTCACAGAATGAAGACTCCAGTGGCAGCGCGGCGACGCGCCGGCGGCTATGCTAAGTTCAGGCCCTTCGCTTGGACAAGAGGAATCGGACGGCTGGAAGACGGTCGATCGAAAGAAACGATCTCACTCGACGGTCACAACGCAATCTGCGTTGAACTGAGACTTTGACAACCCCTCAACTCTTGTGTCCGGGCGGTGCGCGGGCGCCCTCCGCGCAGGATTCAAAGGCGCAAGAGGTGCAGATCTGCCCAGGTGATGCTTTGTCGTCCTATGCTTCCAATAAAGATGTCGAGCACCCAGGTTGATACCAGCGAAGGAGGGCCTTCAGCTCTGCGTGCAGACGATCATGTCCATAACCCGAGCATGACACAGTTTGAGAAGGAGCTGGCAGACGTCGCTGCTCGGGCAACAGACGAGGGAAGGAGCAGATGTGTACGTGAACCTAACGGAGTCAGGTGTAGACATGATCTATGTTCTGCCCTTGATATTGGTGTTGAACCCTGTTGGTTTTTGTTATTTGGACAATGACTGTTGGACTGAGCTGCCTTCAAATACCCGCATGTTGCTTGCGATGCCACTCTCTCTGACACGCAGTTGAAGTTCTGAGGTAGGCCCTGTTAGAGTGCGAGGCCATTTCTTGAAGACCAGAATTGTCTCAATCTGCACTTGGACTCCCAAGCAGTCTCAGTCTACTAGCTGACTGGTATCGACAGCATTGACTTTGCTTAATACACTAGGGGCCGGCACAGCGCATTGGTCGCCCAAGAAACTTCCGACGGGCATCCGATGATGAACTTTATGACGCATGATGGATTGTCAGTGGCAATAATTTGATGTTGATCCTGGACAAATTCTTTATTCCAGGGAGGAAAATTCTGTCCAGCAGTGCATGGGCCTGAAGAGCTTGTCTTCTATCGAAAAGTGACTCTGGCTGACTTTCCTTCGGAGTGGGACCCCGACATGCTGTTCGAAAGCGCAGATGAGTACGATCGCTACATCAAAAGATACATTGGAAGAGAGTGAGTAGCGTGGGAAAAGCGTGTCAGGAATGATGTGTTGGCTTCTTGTCAGTCGCGGCCAGGCGGCAGATCATAGAGGCTGGCCGTTTGCTCCGGGCGTTCCTTTTTTCTTTTCGCCTATTTTCCGCCCTTTTGAATGCGTGAATGGAATGGAAGAAGTCTCTAGGCTGCTTTGACAAGACTGGCTTTGACACTCAATGGTTTTGATGCACTGAGGAGGTTTTTCGATTTGGAAAAGTTGATCAGTAGATTCATTTCTACCGGCCAACGGTTGAGATTCTGATTCTGATGACATCATAGAAGCAATTTTTAAGCAGCACTGTGCTTACACCAAGTATCTTCAATACACTCTGAAGAAGCCAGCTTTCAGAAGGTTGAGCTGAAAAATCTTGCAAAGCTGGGTCAAGTTCTTTCAAACACGCACGCTTCGTAGCAATGCTTTGTGGGCGAAAAGTCTGCCCGCTCCTTGGAGAAGGGGTACCGGGGGTGAATTCGAAGGGGTTGAGTTCTGATTGTTGATAGCTTTTTGATTGTCTTCAGATAACCGTACTATGGCGCTGAACTGGTCCAAAAAGAAATTTTTTGGATAAAAATCTGGATGAAATGAAAACGAAGTCCGTCTTGAAGGCCTGGTGTTTCGAAATACAGACGTCCAACTACAGTAGTAAGTAATCGCTTTCCAAGTGCAACCGCTCTGAACATCCTTGAACAATATTGTCTGGCAGATTCGCAATGACAGAAAAGAAGAACAAATCGGCCGTAGAGGCTGGCTTTCGGGACTACGTACATGCAATGGCAACCCGACTCCTTGACGCTTTTCAGTGCCATTCGCAGAGGGACCGTTTGTTTAGAATGCTAATGATGAGGATCAAGATAGCTAATGACCACTTGTTGCGCGGAAGGGGCTTCCTTGAGAGGATCTCGAGTAGTTTTTTATCGAGTCGCAATGCAGAGATTGGCTAGTAGTCTGCGCTGTGATTCCATGGACAGTAAATTTGAGTGGTCATTTGCTTTGCATGAAGCTGCCTATTGCATTCTTTTCAACGCGATGAATCGAGTCGGACGTACAACTGCAACAAAAACACATACCGTCAGAACCCGGCCCAGAGCACAACACAGCAAAGTTGTTGGATACGATAATGACATATACCTTTGAATGCTCTATCTGTCACATCTGAACAAGTCGCTTGAGTGAGTCCGTTCGAATCCCATGCATACAGTATGCATACGCGCTGATGCATCAGTGTGCAGAAGTCTCGAATCGACTAGCTCTCTGAGTACGTGACTCGTCAATTCGAGGTGGTGACCCTACCCGCGAGCTAGCGCTAGCTAACTTTAGTACCGCACGAGCCTGCATGTGACGAGGACTTGCTGGCATCAGCGAGGGCCGGCTGCATGCTCACCTCTTGCAGGATCCCCCGGGTCATGAGGCTTGCATATATATTGCATATGGGCACATACGCTAGGGTGCATGAGTCCCGGACACTGATCGTGACAGAAGGATCCGACATTATACCCTATATCGACCGTTCACTGTGCTTGTGCACAATGTGTATGAATTCGCGTTCATGATCGCTATTACTATTGCACCACTGGCAGATTCACTAGGTTGATCCAAATATACCGTATTTCGAGCTATGTATGACTTAGCCGGGTATAATATGCTAAGCTTGGAGTTCATATGATGGCAGGCTGGCACTGAGTGACCTGGCAAAATAACCAACCGCGCATGACTACCGTCAGAATAGCATGTAGGGTGTGACGGACGTGTGCGCGACCGGGCGCATGCCAAGTTTGAATGTTGCATCATGGTACCCCAATCCACTCACACGTACCGCCGTGTGAGCGGCGGCATCTGACGAACAAAAGCTAAAACAGGAACAGAGGCATCCATGTCGCGCCCGCCTGCCTAGTAATGATCGTCAACGTGAGGGGCAAATGTTCAACCCTCAGTCCCTTCAAACCTAGAAAAGCTGCTTAGATCGGGTGCCCTTTGTCGTCGACACGAAACATTTGGAAAGTCGATGTTGCACACTGGGTTGCACCATGTCATACATGAGAGGCAATCAACCGCACGGCCCGATCCATCCAGGCTACACGTAGCCGAAGCTGCGGTCCAGAGAAGCGTTGTTGAGACCTTGAGTAGCAGGACAACATTTCGTTCGAAACAGATAGATTCGCACCGGGGATCTGCGCGCTCTCAGTGCGCGCACGTCGCGCATGCGCGCTTTAAGCCCCGCCAGCAGCAGCCGTCACGCCGCTCGGTGGAGTGGCTGTGCCGGGGCGCCCGCCTTGCATCTTCGGTGCTCCCTGTTGCGAGGCGGAGTTCTGGGCCTGGATACACGAACGCAGTTGCAGTCAGCTTGACGAGTGAACGAAGTTCTTTAGTTGGTGCCAACAGGTAGCCAAGCTTTCTGGCCGGAAAATGGGCGTTTTCCCGACAGAAAGCGGTGCGAGAAAATGGGCAAAAGGCAGTCGAAAGCTGCACCATTGAAGAGAGCTTCTGCCCGACATGGCTCGCGGCGACATGCAATTTATGGGTGTCGGCTGCATGTCGCTGCAAAGCGGACAACAACCACCTTCTCTCCACGTTGCTTACGATCTGAATTGCATGCGTTGCATAAAAGCGGCACCTCTTCGACAAGACTGGTTTTTTCGAAGCTCCTGTCCTCAAACCCCCAGCCAACAGCCATACAAGGCTTTCACAGGCACAGGGAAGTGCCCTCGCACAGCTTCTTCGTGCTTCATCATTGTGCATGTATTTTGATTCATCCTCTATCGTTTCTAGAGCACACGAAACGGCGATAAGTGACCGGTTCGGCTTCTTACTGTCGTTGGGGGCTGTGATCTGACGGGCGACTTGGGCCGCAGGTTCTCGATCTCGGGCGTGCTGCCAACCAGGTGCGGCGCGTTTTCTGGCACAGGGATCCCCCGGCCGCCCGCCCAAACCTTCCCGTCCTTGTCGGAAAACGACTTGATGTACGCCTGCAGAAAGGGATAGGCACGAAATACTTATACGTGAAGGAGAAACTGATGGAGTTCGCTTGTAAAATCAAGGTGGAAGCAAGATGGCAACAACTTTCCATCTGAGTCGTCGTTGCCACATGCCTTCGCTGCCGAAGTTCGAACCGACGGGACTGTCCGTCCAAACCCAAAAGCTGAACCGCGAGAGGAACGCTCTTTGGCTGACCCGCTCTTCCTGACAATCTAATCATTCACCCTTTCCAGGAGCGCTCGCACTTGCCCTTCACAGATTTGATGAAACTTGGATTGCACCCGCTCGCTTGAGGGGGACAGCGAGTCCGAAGACCGGTGACGTCAGCGACCCACCTCCTTGTTGAAGTTGGATGACGTCAGCCCCTTCCCGACGGTGACCCAGCCAGCGCGGATGTTGTGGTCCTCGCCGAACAGCTCCAGCCTCCGCCGCCCTTGAGCAAAATGCTCCACAATGTGGTACAGCTCCTCCGGCTTGCGCGTGCTGCCTGAGAAAGAGGAACATTGGTAACGTCAGGATATTTCAGAACATCTCACGACGTCATAGTGGACGTAGGCACCGAATTAGCAACCGTTTTCTAGCCGCAAGCCGCCCTCACGCAAAGTGCTCCAAAATGTGGTACAGCTCCTCCGGCTTGCGCGTGCCGCCTGGAAGAGACGAACATCGATGACGTCAGCATACTTGATGACCTCAAAGTGATTTTACCATCAATCAGCAACAGAGGTCGGGTTTCCGCCAGTCCTGAGCAAAGGGCTACCACGATGTAGTACAGCTCCTCCAGCTTGCGCGTGCTGCCTGGAGAAACAGAAACGGAGATCCAGTCGCCGCCGCCCCTGTGCAGAGGGCTCCACAATGTGGTACAGCTCTTGGGCTCGCGCGTGCTGCCTGGAGGGAACGAAATTTGGAGACGTCGAAATGGCATCACCATACAAGCCGTTCAAGTGTCGGCCGGGGCTGGGACACATTCCGAGCCGGTTGGGGTTTAGCTTCACCGGCTTCTACATGCTGTCCGGGGAGGAACACAAAGATGAGGCGCGAACCGTCAGGTGTTTCTGCCTTTTTTGGGCGACCGATTCGCCGGGAAACAGCCCAACTACTAGGGCTTTTCGGCGACCCAGACCGCCGTCCTAGGCTTCATCACTCTGGGCCTGCTGTTCATCTTCTTTCCGCTGGCGCTGCCCGTGTTAAGAAAGGTTCCGCCGCTCCTGGTCCGAGAACCAAGAGTCGACAAGCGAAGGGCCTTCCAACCACGTCTTCTGATCCGTGCCCGCGCTACTCTGGGGTGCAACTCCTCTTCACCGTGCCAGAGGGAGAACTTCGATGTAGCGCCGACGTCAGCGCATGGCACGCCGCGTCCTTCCTGTTTTGCAATCCAGTTTACGACGGGTTCCGGCAAAGCTTGGTAGAGTCAGAACCTTGGAACGGCGTGGTTAGTCACAGGTTACGATGGGTGTGGATGCGAAGCACCTCCTCGCTGCAAATTCCCACCCTCACCATTCATCCCGTCAAAGATCTATGAAACGGTTTAGCTCACCGTAGGCCGGCTCCTCCGAGATGATGATGTCAGTGTCCACGTTGGCATGGATGAGGTGGCCGTCCGTGCTCCGCCGCACTGTCCCCCGAATGCCCATCAGACAGTGCTCCTGCGGGGATACATTGAAGGTTCAAAACACGAAATACATATAACACGACAGCTTCAGAGCTTCCGGTACTGGCGCGTTCAGAGCTTCCAGAATCTCAGATGCTGCGCCCTCCGTCCCACAAAAGAGCGTCCTGCTCGAGGAGCGGAAATTCTGCCGTACCGATGGCTATCTCAACTCCATTTAATAACCTACTTGTCTAAGCTCCGGCGTATCTATTCGTGAGATCACGAACTTTGGATGCATTTTGGATGCAGCTACGCAACCGCGAGAATTTGCGATTACAGTATGGACCGCGCTTACCTTGGTGTGTTGCATGATGGTGGATTTCATCGTACCAGGCTCTGGTGGCCTTCTCGACTACGTCTGGAATCAGGATTTACAGACTCTACAAACGGACTCGCTTCTCATTCTGGAAACAGAATCTGATCATTGCGCTCGCTGCTCAAGTTCAGAGGGCAATCAATGGGATGGAATAAGTAGTCACCTTGGTGTGTTGCATGATGGTGGACTCGTCGTACCGCGGCGGTGCCTGGTTTTCCCGGTTGGTCTTCAACCAGCAGATGTCCTCGCACCGCCGGAATCCCCACTGCACGGAACGGAACGGACAACCCTCGCGTCAGGAAGAACCTCTGACCGCGCAGAATCGACACAGAGCTGTATATGCTTGAGTCTCTTGAGTGGGGAGACACTGCGGCTCAACAATCTCTCGGAAAAGACCGGACTTGAAAAAACAATGGGGAGGGAAGTCGTCATGCAGGTAAGAAGAGGAGGTCGTCATGCGGGTAAGAAGCGCCCGTCGGACTCAGTTACCAGACGGGTCAGGTGACACGGCAAGTGGATCACGTGAGATCTGTAGTCTGCAAGATTCCCCTGTATGTATTGTGCACAGATGGAACAAGACGACTTGATGAGAGATGAGTTGTTCCTGTGCACATCAACCCGCAGAAACATCCTCGTTGAAGGAAGGGACATCCGCTATAACTATCACAAGCAGTCTTATCACCAAGACGACTTTATCGGTTCGTGACGAGACCCCACCTTTTTGAGGCAGTGTCGCCCCAGGTCCAGCCCCTCCCCATCGCCCACCCAAAGAAACACGAACGAGGGAGTGTCCGCCAGCGCCTGTTGAAGAACGGGCGCATGATTATTGCGCCATGACACTCTACGTATCTTGGACTCCTTCGCAAACGCCCTGAACGTCTTACCAGTGTTCCGAAGCTCGGTGGGTAGTAATTTTGAGTATGAAAGCAGGATTCGATAAAGCGTAACGACTTGGACTTGAATTTTGGACGTGGCTTCTGCGCTTCTGATTTGAACCACCGCGAAGAGCGACGATCTCTGAAAGACGGAACTAGTGGAGCGGACATCGCGTCTTTGCCTCTCCAGGATTTCCCGTCAACACGTATTAGCGGATTCCTAAGGTTGACAGTGTCGTCAAGAACCTGACGGCTTTGAAAAACAGAAACTACTCGTCACTTACAGCCTTCAAAAACAATCACACCTTTTCTCAAGTTTCCTTCTTGAAGACCTGAAGCAAGGCAACCCCTCACCTTCAGCTGTCAGGTCTCCAATCGTTTTTGGGTACTTGTCGGAGAATTTCCCTGTCTTCTGAGACTGCCGCCCAGAATCTTCTTCGAAACCGGTTAGGCTTGATGCATTCGAGATCGAGTACCACGATACGGTTCTCGATACTCCCACGGACGCCGCTATGACCTCACCTCGATCTTGAGGTTCTCGATCTGCTTCCACGTCCACGTGGCAAGAGAGTCCCCCACCCCCGGCGCACGCCGCGCATACTCCTCCCATGGGGGGTCGATCAGGATGACGTCAAAGCGTGTCCCAAACACGTCAGCGGACAGCTCCGTCTCGAGGAGGTCCATCTGGAGGTACATCGGGGGGGTGGCGCGCTCCGCTATCAAGCGGTCCTTGCGCTGGATCAACTCCTGCACGATGATACCAGCACGACGTCAGCAACTGTTGGCAAACAAGTGCTGTGTCATTCGAACTCTTCACCTCAGCTTGAGGAGGCTTGGATCAGAAACAATGAAGGAAAAAAGCGCATCCTCTAGGGTCGTCCGGTCCTAGAGCCGAAACAATCGTCTGCATATTCTCTGAAGATCATATCAGCACACGACCAATTTCAAAGCCTTCGCGCCACAAAGTTTCGGTGCTGCAGTCGGTAGTTCATTATCTCACAATATCCTGACTCCAAAGTGTGCATCTTGAAAAGGGTCCCACAAAGCTAGTCCTCCTCGTCACGCCCGAGCCAAACGAGAAACAAATGCCTTAAGGAAGAAGACAAATAAGAAAGGAAACCACTCTCACCTTGAGCTTCGGATACTCCTCAAACCGATCCGTCAGATCGACGTCCCGGATAAAGTTCTGCGGCCGCATCCCGGTATCTACAAAGTGCTGCGAATAATCATTCTGCTCCCCCCTCGACGGCCCTCTAACCCCAGGACCCTCCCCCCTTCCCGTTCCTATCATCGGCCCCCCTTCATCTCCACCCCCCCGATCCATAAACGCGCCCCCTCCGGGGGGGAAGAAACCCCGTCCCATGGGCATACGCGGCCCTCCCATTTCCATCCCATCCGGCGGCCCCCCCCGCCCCCAAAACGGGGGCATATCCGGACCCCCCATAAACGGCGGGCCCCCTGCAAACTCCGCCGGAAACATTGGCCGGGGGGGTCCTCGCCCCAGCCCCCGGCCCCCCATCGGCGGTATCCCAAACCCCCGACCTGGCCCTAACCCTCGTCCAGGCCCCCCAAACGGTGCCATTCCCTGGCCGGGGGGGCCGCCGAAACCCCCCCTTCGGAAGGGGCTAGCGGCATTCCGTTCGGGCCCATCTCAGGGGGGCCCATGAAGCCTCGCCGGAAGGCCTCCTCTCCGGGGGGGAACATTCCAGGGGCAAAGTCTCCTCTGGGCCCCCCCCTGGCACCTCCAAATTCGCCCGGGGGGCCTCTCGGGCCAAACATGTGCCCCCCCCTCCCCCAGGACTCGGAACCCTCCCAGAAAGGGGGGGCGCCATGGCCCCCCCACGGCTCCCGCCCCCTCCAAGAGTCTTGCGGCTCGTCCGAGTCACTGTCGTCTCGGCCCCGATCCTCGCGGTGGTGCCTTTCGCCTGTGCACAAAACAGAAAAAGCGTTCGTACACACGCGAAACATTACAATCACTCGGAAGGAAAAAGCAGCGCTGTTGTATGCAACTGCTCATGCTGACAGAGCATGTCACATAAAGTAAAGCCCGATCAAGACTCTCGTATTACAATCCCGAATCGGCTTTGCCTCCAGCAAGTCAGAAGGAGCCACGACCCTTACAACAGTTTGTGCTCAACACAATGCAAATGCTCCTGGAATGACCGATGGAATGGAAGCGAGCTCTAGAAATGCTGGCACACCACAGCAAAGCAAGAAAAGTTGCAAAGCAGACTATAAGCAGCTTTGTCAGGCATGCGCCCACTGGAATTGTTGGTCATATGCTAAGAAAGTTGACTGCAGAAAGTTACACAGAATCCACCGCACAATGGCTCTCGACCATTACCAAGAAAAAGCAGAAGCTGCTTGAAAGTAGATGACGGAATTTTGTTTACGTAGAAGCAAAGTCTAGAACTTTCCCCCAATTTGGGCAGCGACTCCGCACCACTGAGTAATCGCCGCTCACCTTTCTCCTTCTTCTTCTTTTTCTTCTTCTTCTTTGGCCCATCTTCTTCATGCCCGTTCCGCTCATCGCCCGAGTCATAGTCTTTCATCCTGTGGCCACGCTCAGACCGTCCCTCATCACCATGATAGTACTCCGCTGCCCTCCCTTCAAATCTGGCGTCCGGGTACCCTGGAAAGGCCCCATAAGCATCCGGCGGAAACCGGCCATCCATCTACCTAGCAAGCAGCTGTCAATTGTGGCCCTCTACCGTACGGCCAAGGTATGATTCCGAATGCTCAAAAATTGCAATTAATTTACAGAATGCGAGCCCAAATCTTGTATTATTTTCCGGAATCCGACCATAAATCCGAATGATCTGAAAGGTACCCAGGTACCCTCTTTTCCCACCTTTGTAAGGGTACCGGTACGTACCTTCAGTACATATGAGCTTCAATATCGCTTTCCGAACAGGATTTGACCATTATTTTCCGTTTCCGAAAAAGCAGATTCCGAATGCTTATTTGGAGTTTCCAACTTTCCGAATGCAAATAATTATTTATTTATTCGGAATCATACCTTGGTCGTACGGTATTATTACATCAATGCAGCGCTGCTGGAGAAGCCAGCCTTTGTCTTCAAGTCCCAGGGCCAACTCCTGAACTTGAAGCAGGCCACAGCCATTTTCAGCCTGCTGCCTCGCATTCATGACCTCCTTCCGAGTCAGACGACCCTGGCCCTGGATCGAAACGGCTTGTCTGCGCAATCGGCCCCTCATGAGCAGAAACTGGTTTGCCTATAAACCCCGTGGCAGTGTCAAGGGATGAAGGGAGGAGCAACGTCTTTTAGCCTAGGACGTCCTACTACAGCATTTTCAGGGCATGCTTCCCGGTTGCGTTCGATAGATAGGGTGTATTTAGCCTAAACTTAGGCTAAGTTTAGTGTAAGTTTAGTCACATCACAAGATTAATTGACGTCATCTAAGAGAGTGATTGTGACACGTGGAAGAATCTGGCGCGTCAGATGGAACCTGTCCGGTGGTTCTACGGTTCGATGATCACCCCTGTTCTACTTTGGCGGCTGCTACTGCGGAAAGATGTTCGATGACGTCAAAGCAATAGCTGAAGTATAGCTAAAATTTAGTAACTAAATAGACCCTATCTATCGATCGCAACCGGGAAGCATGCCCTGAAAATGCTGTATTAAAGGTGGCGACTGAAACTACAGCTGTTTGCGTCAAACTTGCCATCGGGTTCCAGACTCTCGGAGAGTGGTTCCTGATCTTGGGCCGTTCGAGGCCTGCCTTGTCGTCGATCGAACGATCCAGGATCAGGGACCATGATCGGAGCATCTGAAACCCGATGGCAGGTTTAACGCAAAGAGCTGTACCGTAGGCTTCTCGACGTCTCTGCCCGCTTGAAGAACGTCATGTACACTACCCAACACCTTGACATAGATGGTTATATGTAAACCCAGCACTAGGATTTCCAGCATCTTCGAATCAAAGAATGCCACGTGGAAAGATGATGCAATATCATTGGCTATACTGACCCGCCAGAATTTTAAATTCAAATTTGCCACTGTCAAACAGCACGACCGTCTGTACCTTGGAAAGCCCTATACATAGGGCTACCTAGCGGCTAGCCTAGGACTCGGAGCTGTTCCTAGACTTTGTTGGGTTCTAACTTCTACGTAGGTACCTTACCAAATTCCGCTTTGAGGTGTCTCCAGTTTCCAGAGTTCAAGTGTAAGCCTAGGACGTCTAAGAAAACAGAAGCGCACCACCGCCACCAGTTGACCGACCTCATCATTGGCTGTGAAGTCTGCTGCCATATGCATCATTTATGTCGTCTTCACAGGCCTTGAGCAGGTGCTCAGACGGCGAATGACTTTAATATCGTCGTTGCATTCTTGGTAGACATGACCAGAAGGTAATTCGTGGATCGCTGAAGGGCATACAATCTGAGCAATGAGGGACCAAAGAGCGCTCTTCGGGATCCAGGGATAAGATGCGCCATGGGCTGACTACGTGGCGTGCAATACGAATGTTATCAAGGGTCAGATACACTAGCTACAGAGTCACACTGGCATTAATCAGGGCCTCAAAATCCCTCCCTGCTTTGTATGGTCCGGAGCAGGCTCACAGAGGTCAGGTAGCAGACCCCTTCAGGCTTCAGTAAAGGCAATCTGAAGCGAAAGCTGCCTTGCAAGCATGACTGCCCCTGCCCTGAAAGTAGGGTCGGCAATCCCCGGCTACAAGGGCTGCTTCTCCATAGAATCATTCATCGAGCGGAAAGGGGTCAAGATCGGCGGTAAGCGAAAGCACGTCGTGTTGCGCAGCGGCTCTTCTGATGGACGCTCGGGGTTTGGCGATATGGTGGATGGGAGATCGGGGTTTGTCAGCAACACAATGCCGGGGATGCGTATCCAAGCAACCCAGGCGTCTCCAGAGCTTCTCTTTGAGGGGCCCGGGCAAGCGCAGTATGTCATGAAGGTCAACCAGATCACTCTATTGCGCACAAAGTTCATGCATGAAGGTAAGAGACACTAGCTTTTGGCTATCAATTTGATTGCATTGGAACTGTCTTTTTGGGAAACGTCGATGTGTGCTCTGCTATTCCAACCAGTGATTGCTTAATTGGGAAAAGTTGCTCGAAGAAGATGGGGGTTGAAGATCTGAGCAGATTCTTTGAGGGTTCAAAAGGCAGCTCAAACTCTTGCAGTAATGAAGAGGCCTTTCTCTGCAAAACAATATGTGCGAGGTGCAGCTGGACTTTTTAGGCCTCTATGAACTGGCTTTACACCATCGGTGACAACTTGTGCTCTTCTAGGGACACGTGCAATGTGGCTTTTGTTGAAAGCCAGCAATTTTTGAGGCTTCGTTTGATTGACATATCTGAACTCAGCTTGGCTTTAAACGCCTAGCAAGGGATTCTGGACTTTTGTATGACAAGAGGAATAATGTATCCATTGTGGACGTTCACATCTGAGAATTGAGAACCAGGTGACTATGGAGCAACTACCTTGCTTCAAGTTTTACAGCATTGAATTAATTTTTGCTCCCAAATAGGACCTAAAAGAGAGGCGGACATTTTTGATTCTGCAGGCAAGGCCACAATTGAAACTAAGGACATCAATGTGTATCTCACGACCACAACCCAGACGGACCTCTCCCGCCTCATTCACTGGATTGTGGACTTCAAAGGGAAGAAGAAGCCAGGAGCCACAGACCCCTGCAAGTCTTGCATTGCTTCGCACTCTGGAAAAGCGGCCAAGGAAGAGCAGAGGAAGAGGAAGAGGGACGAAAAGGAAGCCCAGGTGAGGCCCCACTATCCTTAACATCTGGATTAAGTCGAGTGTTTTTTATCATAGTCCCTCGTAGAAAGACTATTCCTGGTAGATAGGCACAAGGTGCATAAGCAAGGGGCGAAAGCATAGAAAGTAAGCTAGCTTGGCTCATGCACACACGCGCTAGATTTATGACGGCAGTATGACCGTGAATCTGTTTCGTGCCCTCAGCGTAAATCGAAGAACCTTCTCTGCAGCCAAAAAAACTCCTGCCAGTCCAAACTGGACCGGTCAAGACATCTAGAAAGTTGTGGCACTGTACAGAATAAGAGGGCCTCCTTTGAAAGTCAGGTGTTATCGAGCATGCAAGGACCTCTGTAACTGCCACCTGAGAGGAGTGGTTCTTCACAGTTCTGTTGCAATGCTTCGCTGGCTGCGGGTGGAGAGTCCTTGCTCCTAACGTCAATTCCATTTACCAAGTCCATAAGGATATCAAAATATTCAGTTGAAGGTGCTTTTGGCTTCTGAATCTCTTTCCAAAAACTAGTTCTCTGAGAATCTTTGTTCGTAACTAGCAAGCTGGAAATTCGAAACTGCAAAGCTTGGTTTGCAGTCCAAGAAAGAATCGTTCCTGACATTAACCCTGTAGTCCGTTGATGTCGAGGAACCTAACTTCAAGGTCCCTGAACAGAAAACGCATTATTCTCAGGGACACTGGAGATGCATCAATTGCAAAGACAACACCTGTTTCGCCTCCGGTTTATTGTTTCGGCGACTTTCAAGCTCTCTGTTGTCAGCAAACCCCGTGTAAGCACGGCTTTACTTGCACTTGACCAGCATCCTTACGAAGTTCGAAAACAACCAACCTCCTCAACGTGTTTATTGACTTGGATAAAAGGGTTTAAGTTTACCGACTTTCATCGGCAGCTGGAGGAGGAGCGCAAGGCCAAGCTGCAAGTTCGGATGCGCAAGGAGGTGGAGAAGAAGAAGTTGGAAGATGAGAAGCGGGTCAAGAAGGAGACAGCGGATCGGCTCAAGAAAGTAGGTTACCCACATGAAATTTCGTAGATCTTGTCTTTCTTCGAGGTCCAAAACGTCTAAGTCTTGGGACTGCGTATTCTGCATTCCTCGTTGCTGGTGTTTGGGGATGTCAGTCCAGCGAAGTTGCCAAACGGTTCGTCAATCATGTGGGCATCCGCGTATCAGGCTCCAATTGCTGCATTCCTGTCTCCCTCTCTACATCAAATGATTATCCCGAAGACACCTGTTAGCTCCTGAATTCTGTCGTCACTCTGTCGCCACTTGTTCGAATCGAAGTGAAGGACCTCTACGTGCCCATTGTGCGTCTCTTCGGTGGGTCTTTCAAGCAGTGAGCAATCGCGGGGGCGACATGATACACGCTGGTCCCTGAATACAGACTTCGAAACCGTCATGGCCGCTGGATTCGAGGCCAGACGGTTTCTCGTTTTTGCGTTGAAACTCTCAGTCAATCTACGGCAAGAATCTTGTGATGTGGTCTTCGTCGGAGGTCTCGTTATGTCCCACAAGTCTTATCATCCCGGCCTGTTTTGGAAGATGACTTTACGAACGGAGTTGGCTGCCTTTCCTGTGTCTCTGACTGCTTCATGAAAGCCGATCAGCCGCCTTTGATATAGTCCTAAGACGGCCCGATTTGAATGAAGTGTTTCTGGACAATCCTCCAAAATGCAATGCAAAGCAGCAGTGTTGTTTGGCTGCCTTCGCGAGCTGATTGTCTCAAATGTCCATGTGCGATCTTTTGTCAGCCACAAAGAACACAGGATCAAAAGCAAACATTGTAAGTTGCTAAAGTGTTGTGGAAGACATGAAAGTTCTTGTAAGCACAAAGACATCGGAACACGAAGAATGGTGGACTGCGGAGGTGAAGCGATTGGTGCCCTTGAGAAAGAGAAGGCCAGCGAGTCTGGTCACGGTTCTCACACGACTTTCTGTGAGGTTCAGATGTTGTTTCAGTATAGCTTGGTAGCAAATGCAATCAACCAGGGAAATGAAGGGGGGGGATAAAGGACGGAGTCCAACTGAAAAATCTATTCAGATGCATCATCTCTAAAACTGAACACGAGCGAAGTGTCGAGATGTCTGGGGAAAAGTGGGATCTACGTGATCCAATTGTGCCAAAGAGGCCTTTGCAGAGCTCCTTCTTGTGTGATTTTTCGAGTGCCCAACGATCCAGTCTTGTTTCATAAGTGATGCATCCATACCAACGCCCATCAGCGAAAACGCCCTGCGGGAACCGTGTCCTACAAGAAGTTCAAGCGCCTGGAGAAGCAAAGCCTTCAGGTTTTTCAGGAGCTATTCTGGTTGCTAGGCAGGGTAGTAAGGCTTCTGAAAGCAGAGTCACGAAGATTAACTCTGTCTCTGACTCTTCCTACGTTCGGCAGCAGGCCAAGGAGACTCCAGATGGCGAGTCGATTCCAAATGGCTGTCTCCATTTGTCAAGTCAGGTCGCAAGCAATACCTGTTTCGGGATTGCTTATCATCTGTGTTCATTCGTTCGTTCTCAGGAAGCGGAGGAAGAGAAGCGGCGGAAAGCCGAAGTCGAGCGCGTCAAGCGGGAAGAGGCGGATCGGATCGCACGTGAGGAAGCAGAACGAGAGCGGAAACGGAAGGAAGAGGAGGAACGGATCAGGTCAGAGGTCGATCTCGTCGTGGCTGGTCTTTTTCCTGTAAACACTTCGGAGGCGAAGACATAATCCGTGCAGCTTCTACCGTCAAGTAGTGTTACTTCCATTTTGAAGTCGTTCTCTGTAAGGTCGCTACGTGTCTGCTTCAGCGTTCGGGCAATCAGAGTTGCTTAGAACGAGTCAAGAATGACTTTATGGGAAATGAAAGAGTCACGAGCATTCATCTCAACAGTAGCTACACCGTACTCGTATGGCGGTACAAGGTTGCAGAGCGGACTGGCAGCGAGAAAATAGGAGCAGAACTTCATTTCAGTTGAACATGCTTACGATCTCGAATCTTCTTGCTGCAGGATGGAGCTTGAGAGGAAGCGCAGGGAGGAAGAGGCGGAGCGGCAACGACTCGAAGCGGAACGGAAACGGAAGGAAGAAGAAGAACGGTTGCTCAAGTTGGAAGAAGAGCGGCTGCGAAGATTGGAGGAATTGAGAAGGTTAGAGGAACTGAGAAGGCAGGAGGAAGAGAGGCTCCGCAAGCTTGAGGAGGAGCGGAAACGAAAGGAGGAGGAAGAGCGGATACGGAAGGCAGAGGAGGAACGGAAGCGGAAGGCGGAAGAGAAACGGCTGAGAAAGCTGGAGGAGGAGCGGATAAGAAAACTAGAGGAAGAGAGAAAGAGGAAACTAGAAGAGGAGAGGAAAAGGAAGGCGGAAGAAGAAAGGCAGCGGAGAGCAGAAGAGGAACGGCAGCGGAACGCGGAGCAGGAGCGGCTGAGGCAGGCGGAGGAAGCACGGCGGAAGCAGGAAGCGGAAGAGGAACGGACCCGGAAAACGAGGGTGAGCTGCTCGATGCGAGGCACGCTTTGTTTCACATGCGATTCTGTTTTACATACTCAAGATCAAGGAAAGGGTTACCGCAAGCGAGCGTGGATCATGAGTGCAGGAGCACTTTCTGATCAGCTCTTTTGTTCGCTTCAAATAAAAGCTGAAGTAAGCGGCATCCCAAGTAGGAAACTTACCCTTTGTCTATATTGGAATGTATCCTGTTAAGCGTGACACTGTGCGCCGTTAGCTAGCTTGGCAAGCCAGTTGTCCCGTGCGAAGTTATTGGCGCTGCTCTTTTGCCAACTTGCCTTCTTTTCGACGATCTTAATCGCCAAAATTTATTTGGTGCCTCGCGTATACCCAGGATGCAAAAAAAAATGACTGACTAGTGGAAGCCTCCCGAAATTCACACGGAAGTCTGCATAATCTCAGCATGAGCAGCTGGTCACGTCAGGACAGACATTATGAAGACATCGTTGAATGTGCTCAGAAGCAGAGGACTTAGGAGCGTCAATGACGGATACTCTCTTCAGGATTCGAAAGTGTGATTTGAACATCGTGCCCCCAGGTTTCTATACTCGCTTTCCAAATCCTGGGCTCTTCGTTGCTGAGTTCGGAAAGATAGACGTCAGCTTGACCCTGTGCTGATCTCAAGCCACTCAATCATTTACAAAGAAATGCAGAAAACAGATTTGTTATCCTTTTGCAGGAGGCGAAGGAGAGGCTGGCGCGCATGCAGGCCGAGGCCGAGCGGCAGCGCGAGCAGACGGCGACGGCGAAAGCTGCGGGGGTGAGCCCCGCCGCGCATTGTTTTACACTCACCGATCGCTTCTCTTCGTGAATGTGCACGCACTTCCGCACTCTTGCTCGCGCACTTTTTGCGAGCAGACGGCGGCGGCGAAAGCCGCGGGGGTGAGCTCCGCCGCTCGTTTCCGCGCACAATCTTACACTAGCCAATCGCATCCTTGCGCGAACCTGCGCACACTTCCGCACTCTTGCTCGCGCATTCCTTATGCCCTCTGAGTCGCACGCTCGAAGGACTCGAAACTTGCGGATTTGAACGCGTTGATGTTTTCTTGCTCGATCGAGCAGACCGGCAATTTTCCCGCTTTTCGGATGTTGGTCTTTGTTCCCATTTTCAAGCGGCAAGGAAGGTGCATGGAAATCTGAAAGCAGTCTTGGTGACAAGAACACAAGGGTTCCTTGCCGTCAAATGCTTGGGGGCCTTTCGCTTCAGGACCTTTTTCGGTCTCCATGACACCTGCTTGACTTGTGAGCTGTTGGCGCTGTTTTGTACCACTTTTCGCGAAACGCACCACTGCTCTTTGTACGCCTCTCGGTCCTCCTTATTGGGTCTTTCTGTTCTGTCGCCTGACGTCGGCCTCTTTGCGCCTCCGCTATACGATGACGTGTTTTTGGCATCACGTAGACCGCACCTGTCATGCATTGATTGGATTGTTTGTAAGCTTTGGAGTGATATAAGCGGAGGATCTATGCAGGCGTATCCGGTTAGCCAGAGATGATTGTCATGCCATTGTCGTGTTGGTTCCATGCGTCAAGTTCTAGTCCCGTGCCTGTCGTGAAAGGGATCTTGGGGCCTCTTTCTTGATCAGTCTGGGAACGACGGAACTGTACTTCGCATTTGTGAGAGATGTACGACCGACTGATTTATTGCAGAAGCATTATGATGGATGAACGGATAATCAAGAAAAATGCAACGTCCACGAGACAGCTCTTTCAAATGGCTGCAGTTCCTCTCTAAATTCGTCCTTGTGTGTTCCAACGAACTCTAAAAGCTGAATTTGGGTACGGTCGCAGGCGAAGGCGGCGGAAGCGGAGCGCAAGCGCCAGGAGGCGGAGCGCAAACGACAAGAAAACGCAGAGAAGCGGGTAAGCCGGCTTCCTCCAAGGAATCCGCCCGTCGAGAACTTGATTGGTTACACATATGGACGCATGCTGGGTTTGCCAAGTTGCATTGCTTGCGGCGTTAGGGTATTGAATTTGCACCCCGGCCAGTATTGCCAGGACAACCGGTCCTCATTCAGTTGTTTGGCAGGCTGAGTCTTACCGTGCAGAGCTTCCTCATCTATCGAGATTTGGAGAAAACTTGCAGCCGTTTCGTACTTTTTCAGTGGGCTTGAATTGCAAGGCCAACTTCGATTCCCAACTTTGAGATCCGCAAAAATTCCACCGATTGTTAGAGGGTCTTCGCGATACGCCACCATTTTGAGATGCTGTGACGAGGAATCATGAGCCCGCAGAGTATCTTGGTGCTCTGAAAGCGAGGACTTTTGCAATAGCTCGATTTCCACGATTTTTCGAACTTTTCAATCTTTTCGAACTTCGCCAGGCGGAGAAAGCGCGGCAGACCGCGCAGAAAAAGGCGACGACCGCGGCCGCCAAGGCGGCACGGGACCAGGCCGCCCGAGATGCGCGCGCGCACGAGGAGGAGCGCCGCGCGCAAGAGGCGGGGCGGGCTCGAGCGGAAGCAGCGGAACAGGAGCGGATCCGGGCGGAAGAGGTGGGCTGCGCTCGCAAACTGTGCACGAAGCACGCTTCAATATCTTTTTATGTCGCTCTTTCGGGATGCTCGTTTGTAGCTCTTTCTTTAACGCTTCTACCAAGCCTGCATGAAGGACTTGACTTGAGGAGGTCACAGGTGGCAGCTTCACGGACATATCTTACCCGTATTCTACTTTGACTCCGGCTCCGTTCGGCTGTGCATGTATTTCGATGCTGGTGGTAGAGGCTTGCTTTTTGCATTGTTCTGGATCTCCTAGAAAAGTCTGCTCTTCTGCTCCACGGCACGTTCAGCCGCGCTCACTGCAATTAGCATATTGCACAAGCTTGGATAAGATAAAAGGCCCGTTCTAACAGCTTCTGAAGGAAGCAATTGCTCTCTGGGATTGGCTGATTGGCTTCTGTCCTCTCCGCCATTCCGCAGAAGCGCCGGGCGGAGCAAGAGGCGTACCGGAAGTTCCAGGAGAACTGGCAGCGCGAGCAGCGCGAGCAGGCCAAGCGCCGCTTCGAGGAACAGCAGAAGCAGCACGCCGCCGCCGCGGGTGAGTACATTTCACGAGGTCTCGTCATGTTCTTCCTTTTGACTTTGTAGTCCCTGTGCACTTCTTCGAATCTCGTCATCTTTTTCCTTTTAAATTTGTAGTCCTTCTACTGCTTGCGAGGTTTTACGAGTGCTTCTGTTGGTGGTTCACCAAAGCGCTGATTGAGACGGACCGCAAAGCAGTCGGCGGTGGTTTGCTAAAAATGCGGGTAGAACTAGGTCTAGAAGCGGGCAAGACTCTCTAAGGACCAGCCCAAACATCGCCCACATTTTCGCAAAGGCGTTTTGCAAAGGCAACGCTACTCGAAACCAGAAGTTTCTGATGTACGTTCAGCTTTAGAGCTGACGGACAAATCACGATCCCGGGGTCCGATCAGGTCGTGGGCCCGTGAAACGAGCAGAACTTTCCAGCACTGCCTTTGGTTGCGTCCTGAGAACGGAATCCAAAGCCGCCCACATTCCTTCTCGCAGCGGCTACGCTGCTGCAGAACCCGCCGTTGCTGATGTACGCCTCACTCAAGAGCCGACGTCCACAAACCCGCTCACAAACCCGTTACCGAACGAATCCATTCAGAAACGAAGCGACGACATTTGAGTGCGTTACGTGGAAATTCTGTCCCGAAATCATCTAAAGCTGCCCACTCCCAACTTTGATACTCAGAAACCTGGCAAAAGCACTGGGAAACGTATCGAATCCTTGTTTGAAAAACGAGGCCTGAAACCCCATTTTCCATATTGCAGCGGCGAATCTGCTGCAGAACCCGCCGGTGCTGACGTACGCCCAGTTCGAGGCGGGGTGGGAGAGCCTGTGGAAGAACCTGAGCTCCGACGCCCCGCTGCGCTGCTCCCAAATCCCCTGGCCGCCGCTCGGCAACCCCGTCTTCTACCTGCAAAATGAGGGGCCAGACGTAAGAACAGTCACTACTTTCCGGTCCTGTTCTATCTGCCGCTGTTGTGTCTTCATTTTCCATTCGCTGTAGTTGTCTTTCTTCTTTTGTTGGAATTGTTGACGGGAGGGACCCCCTCTTCTACCTGCAAAAGGAGGGGCCAGATATGAGGATTGTTCCCCCTAATTGTCGTCTCTTCTTCTCTTGAATCTTTCTCGTCCTTCTCTTCCAAACGGATGTCGACTTTTTCCCCGCCCTTCTAGTACGAGCCGGTCGCGTCCTTGAAATGAGGGGCCAGACGTAAGAACAGTGGCCTCCATCCCGGTCCTTTCCTTGTTGCTGTTGTTCTCTTTCTCTTTTTATTTAGACTGTTTGCAAGAGGGACCCCGTCTTCTACCTGCAAAACGAGGGGCCAGACGTGAGGATAATCCTCCTTATTTTCATCTTTTCTTCTCCTGATTCGTTCTCTTCCTTCTCTTGTTAATGACTTTTGGGTTTTCTCCTCCCTTCCATTACGAGCCGGGTTTAGCGTTGTTGTCGCTAAAGCGAGGGGCTAGACGAGAAGACAGTCCCCTCTTTTCATCTTCTTACCTTTTTGTTGTTCCATTTCCTTACTCTGCTATCGATACCTTGTGAAAGACACCCCGTCTTCTATCTGCAAAACGAGGGGCCAGACGTAAGAATAGTCGCCTCCTTTCCGGTCCTATTCTTTTTGCTGCGGTTCTCTCTCTCCCTTTATTGAAGTTATTTGCGGGAGGCACCCCGGTTTCTACCTGCGAAACGAAGAGCCAAACGTGAGGACATGGATCTGGTTGTTTTGTTTATCATTTCTTCTCCCTTTCGAGTTTCTTTCTGCTTTCTTGTTGGTTTGTTTGGGGAGCTTTACGCAGCAAGTCCCAATATTCTACCCGCAAAAGGAGGGGCTAGACATGAGGGCGAGCACTTCTCCCTTTCTCCTGTTTCTTTCCTTTCTTCTCTGGCCTTCGATTTGCGTTCTTCAAATCTGTAGTCAAGTGAGTCCGAAAACGCGAAGGAGGGTCACACTGTGGGCTTCATGATGTGTAGGACCAGAGGAAGAAGTCCCGCAGAGATCTGCTGCGCTTGCGCCAGTTCGAACGTTTCTTTTGGCAAAATTGCTCGACAGTCTGAGTCAAAAATCTGAAAGGTTTCATGTATCGTTGTACTGTCAGCTTGTAAGGCCTGCAGGACCAGAGAAAGAAGCTCCGAAAGGGATTGCTGCGTCGCGTCGGCTTTTGTGTCTTTCTTTGTTAACATGTTAGATCGAGAGTCCGGACAGATAATCCGCAGATTCACAGTGGTAGCTTGTATGACTTGCAGGACCAGAGGAAGAAGTTCCGCAAGGCGTTGCTGCGTTGGCACCCGGACAAGTTCGGGCAGGCGTGCGGCAAGCGGCTGGTCGACGTCGAGCGTGACGTCATCTTGGAGCGAGTCAAGGAGATCTTCAACGAAGTGCAGGCCCAGAGGCCGTGTTAATTGCGATGTCTGTTTTGCAGAGCCCGCAATAGGTGGGCTGCTGTTTGGGTGACTTCATTGCCTATTAAACTTCTTCAACACCGGAAGTGGGTCTCCGTATGTGTTGGTCAAACATGTCGCGCCACAGAGAGCACGGCCGGCAACGGACGAAAGAAGTTGTACAGACGTCTCGCTCGTGGGGTTGTGTCAGACGTCTCTTGCGTCAAGCTGATTACGAGCACGCGGTGGACAGTATTAGATGAAGATGTAGACGGTCGGACTCAACATGTGTCCTGTGTATATGCCTTTGGAACACGCGGGGTATGCGGACAGTGTCTGGCATGCGTTCCAACGAAACGTCGTGCGCCGTGCGGCGGCCGTGCCATGCGGTGACTACGCCAGTTCTTCATGTATGCACCGACCTTTGTACTCACATCCGGCCATGCAGTGCAGTGCTCGTACGCCAGCTAGTCGCGCTTAACGTCTTAAACTTGCACGCTAGCCTGCCGCAATCGATCTACGAGCTATGCGGCTCAGCTCGAAATGAAGCTAGGTAGTACGTAGTCGACGGATGCACAAAGAATTATGTTGCGGACAGACCGGCATATGTAGTGCAGGCCAAGCCGCCCGCCATGGCAGGCTGAACACTTGTATATACGGTAGCCTATGGGAGGCCGGTGGGCGTGGGACAGGCTCAAGCCTGCAGGACGGCTTGATGGTTCCCCCCTATGTTGCATGATCAAAAGCTTCTGAATGTGAACAGGTATATCTGTGCGTTCCACTACGATTGGTCTACAGGTAGTTTGATCAGGACGTATGTGCAGGCAGGCTGCGCTTGCTTAAGTTGGCCGGTAGACATGCACAAAAACGCGCATGCACAGACCACGTCCAGTGCACTGCGGCAAAGATCAACAGGGCGCCGTCCGCGCCGCTTCAAAATTTAAGCTGAATTATATTGTCCGATCAAACACATGCACGCGTCCGGTCTCAAAAACCGATTGCAGCGTACCTACAGTAAGCCGTAGGTTCTTCTATCTTAGAGCGTGCTACTCCCTTATGTATTTGACGTTAACTCCGCGCTGTCCCAGCCCCAATCTGCCGAGACGGTACAGTCGTACGTACTGAGCTCGGTTGCAAGCAGGCACTTCTCAGCTTACTCTCGACCAAAAAAATCACGGTGCCAGTGTCACGGACCGGGCACTTACGGCCCGGCTACCCCTTGAGAATCCTAAGGAGACCAAATCATTCTCACTCATTAAAGTCTGAGTGCAGCCTTTGCTGGTCAACTTCTGGACGAATACAGCACTTGCTAAACTACTTACACATCTACACACTTTTCAGCCTTAACAATACGCCTCAGATCCCCAGCCAAAAGACTGTGACGATGACGTGCATGGTTGGGTTTTCCCAGACGACCGTCTGTTTTCCTGCACAAGATCCTACTATCGCGCTTCAGTTGGGGAGACCAGCTTAACGCGAGGGCTGAAATCATGATCTTTAGACCTGACCGGACACAGCCCACTATTTCCACAGCCACTCCTGAAATGGGGTACGATCTTGTGGTAAATAGTGCTGAGACTTTAGTCGATGCTTCTCTATACTTTGGAGAGGGTTTTGCTAGCAGTCAGACAAGCAAAAGACAGCCCGCTTGTCAAGGTATACCGGGTTTCTCGATCGGAAAAGTGTCTGTTGAAAGGCAATCAGAACGGTCCTGTCAACTCCCCTGACATACGACCGGCCGCTGTCAGAATCAGGGCTAACTTACACGTCTGCGACAAAAATCATTCCTGAATGTGTCTACGCTTCTGGGTGCCAACACACGGAAGGCAAGTAATCATATATCCGGACCGAACTTAGTAGTGCAGTCTGCCTGTGACGGTTTGGTCGAACTTGAGAAGTTGAGCAGGAGTAGAGAGAAAGGAGCAATCGGTGGAGGATCCACTGGACGAACAGGGTAGCGGAAGGAAAGCGAGTTTCAAACATACTTTGCGCCATCAACCTGCTTTGTGCTTACGGCTGACAAGAAGGAACTACAACGAGGAACCAAATCCAACACGAGGAAGGAGGAAGGGATAACAGGAAAAGTCAATCACTGGTACCAATACCGAAGGGATAGACAACGGAAACAATACCGCAATCTTTGCTTTTCGATCTCGTAGGAACGGGAGGGACTGCGACAGAAGAAATGTGGTCTTCCCCCTTCCAAAGTGCGCGTGCTCTCACAGAAACCAAAGCATTGCCCCGAAAGATTGATATAAAGCAGAAACGGGTGAAGAGGAACTAGAACGAAGGGGAAGATTGCGGGGAACGCACCATCGGTGTCTGGGTCCCAGTAGCTGGTGCACGTGCAGTGCAGGCCCGCTCCCGTCTTCTGCATGATGTTGCACGTCACTGCAGGCAGCGCCAGAGGAGCGGTGCTGACGTGAGAAGACGTAACTGACGTCACAATCTTAGGGGGCGAAATGGTTTGGGTGCTCCTGCAAAGGTTTCGGCTGAAGCCAACGAACTGAGAGCGGAGTCACTTTGGGACAACCGCACAGATTCGGCGTACGCCATGTTTGAACATGAATTCAAGAGAAGCAACTACTTAACATGAGGAAACGGTAGCTTTTCAATGACTTCTGGAGCCAGATTGTGACGAAGTTACTGAAAGAAGAGAGATAAGGCTCATGGCAAACTGATTAAGGTCTCCATGTTAATTCTGCATACAAATGCAAGCCTGAGCGTTGCATGGAAGGCCGTTATGTGAACGTGCTTGTTGGCGCCTGCTCATCATGACACCAAAGAGTTTAGGGCTTGACTCTCTGTCAAGCCTTCGGGACCCTCCTTGACGCGATGAGAAACTGAGCATGCTGACAAGCGACGCTCCTCCCTTGAGGCGGGTATGATGAGGAGACGCGCAGGCCAAAGGACTTGAGTGCAACCAACTTACCGACATATTTGTAAGGCTTCGACAAAGATGATAGCCGCTTTAGGCAGCTCTCCTGCGGAGCCACAAGGTGGTATGAGAAGCAGCAATTTGCTAAACGTCTTGGGCGGACTTACGAAGCATCTTTGCAGCATCGGATGGGAACTAATGGAGGAAAAGATGTTCGCATGGACTGGCAAGTAACAAAGAGATCGATCGGCACCGTAGTGCAAGAATTGTGGATCAATGAAGTTGAGATTGGCAATCAAACGAGCGAGTGAGCTAGAAAATTTTACCACAATGTTGGATGTCCACACATTGAGCTTGTTGTGGATGAAGGCGGTCTGGCCCAGCGCTTGCTCGATGGACTGCAGAAATGTATGCAGATTGAGGACTGAAAAATCCTCACAGGAAGGAAGGCAAGGATGTCACGACAGTAGGACTTGCAACAAGGATAAATTTATTGGATACAAGAGAAAAAACTGTCACAACCTGCATGTGGACCAGTATACAATGAAGTCTCGCACAGAGCTTGCATTCAGACGCAATTGAAATGGTAAAGTGCTGCTCCTAAGAGAAGGGTGGGAGGCAAGCGGTCATACTTCAAAGGCAGCCAGTGAGGCAGTCCGAAGTTCGTGACAAAGAGCGCTTTAGGCAAAAGAATGTCTGCCAGAAGCATGCGCAGGACATAAGACGCCATTTCTCTTGTAACTAAGGCCTTGGAATGTGGTAGTTCTCCAGTCGGATCGACATCAGCAGCTGGATGCCAAGCGTTTGTTCAAGACAGCTGACGCCCTTCGGCATTGCAGATCCGCACGCTTGCACAACCACTCCTTTCCACAGACAGTATCAGTGCTTATGGCACCAGCATTTTTTAATCATAAAACTCATCGTAAAACTAGCGTGCAAAACCACCACCACAGAATCTGAAGGCTCTGCTACGGACTGTGCTCTGCGTGAAGCAGAGCACTAGCGTCGCAGCTTGGAAAACACAGAAATATTACCAGAAATTACCGGACATAGTACCACTTTGCTTGATCAACCATGCGACCATTTGCTACTTACCCTCAATGAAGCAAGCTGATTGTTTATATTGCACCGCTTTGAGCATCGTTGTTCATTTTCTGTTTCGTGAGACAGGATGCAGGACTCAGAAGCCTGACGTTTCCCCAAAGAACCGGGAAACCTTTGTTGTCTCCTTTCGTTTCCAAATAATTGAAACACTGTACTCTTGGCGCTGATGCACACTGGCAGGAATAGATAACATGAATGAGGGTAAGCATTTCTCACCTCTCGGATGACTGTTTCCACTTCCTCTGGCACAATTTCTTTGCTCGGCTCAAACTCCATCCTTGGAAATTGTCTAAGATCAGAGTCTTTAGCTCAAGAGAAGCTCAGTTACTGAGCCATTCAGCTGTACATAGCCCCATTGCACCTGAGTTGGACTCCTAAGGATGCCAGCTCACTCAGAGCTTCAAACTCCGCACGCTCTTCAGCTCCTTCTGACCTACATAGCACCTACATAGCAAATTGCTTCTCGCAAACGTTTCTTCGCTCGGAGAGCTCAGCTGTGGCAATGATGATGCTTCTGACATCACCGAGCTGCTCACCGTCCACAGCTTCTGATGTAGCCCTAGGTTACGAGAGGTAAGCTTATACAGGCTCTCTTACACAGGCTGGACTCAAGGTGAAGTGGCGCTTGGCAGCAGGCCCGACTCTACAGACTACAGACGCGAGGCGCCTTAATACAGGATCGACAGCGTAAAGGAAGCAATTTGCTACCTATACCGTACGGTATGTACATATGTAGGTCAGCTAGAAGGGTTCCAGAATGAACAATGATCCGATCGTGTCCGGCAAACCGTTTCCTGCTTGAGCGAGACTCTGGTAAGCTTCATCGGACGGTCACAAGGGCCAAAGGTTCATCGAGGTTTACGCGAGACCCTCAACCTCAGCGCAGAACGCCTCTAAAAGGCGGGCGCGGCGGCGTGGCCGCGAGTCGCCCGGCCTGAGCCGTAAAATTGTGGCAAAAATTTGAAATCAAGCGCTCTGAGTCTCTGAAGTACCTAGGCAGGTCCTAGGTAGGTAACTAGGAGAGGTAAGCTTTGCAGGCGCAGCTTTGAGGTACTTTCGCCGCCTGCTTTCAATAGTTTCTCTCAAAAGGCTCTTCAGGATCCAACGCTCTCTCTGCTTCAAATCAGAGTTTGTGTGGACACTAGCAGTATCAATTACTAGCAGAAGAGCTGCCGGCGACTCAGAAGTGGAGGGTGAAGCAGCGGTAGTCTCGAAGATGGGTCCACGGAAGAGCACAACGCCAAAGAAGTTGCCTATGCCTGAGCCACTGGAAGAGGACAAACAGCCACCTGCGGGAGAGTCTGATGAGGAGTATGATGGGGATGAGAGCAGCGAGGAGGAGAAAGAGGAGGAGCTGGTAAGGTACCAGCTTATGGTGATTAGCACTGGCAGAACTTTTGTAAAGAACAGCCAATCAGCGCTACAGATTGAACCGTTTTTTCTGAAGTCTGTGATCCCGAAATAAGGTTCTTGGTTGAAAATAATCAAACATGTGCAACAGCAATCGTCACGTAAAACTTTCAAAGGGACTGATGATCATTGCAAGGAAATAGAGCTGATTACAAAATTTCATAGAGCTTAGCGCAGCCAAGTAGTAGAAGAGGTTTTGATTGATTGCAGCATTGCAAAGTTTTGGTGGTGACTTGCAGACTGCAAGCGATTGCTCACATGTTAGAAGAGTGCTTATTGCCTGCAAAGCATGGGAAGAAACTCTCCTGGATTCAGTCCAACAACACAGGCCTGTTCTTGATGACATTGACTTTGTCCTTGGAAGACACTGTACCCATTGATTGATGTTGTTGCTCATGTGCGACCAGATTCTACCAATTCTGGATACTTTCACAAATAACTGCAAGCATTCCTCTCTGGAAACAATGCGACCAACTGCAAGTGCTTGGCGTCAGACACCTTACAGCAACGCGGGAAAATCATTGCTGTGGTCGGGTTTTGGCGGTCATGTTGTGGAATCTGCAAATGAGTCCAACTTTGCAGGGGAAGTGGTTGATGTCGCTTCATAGGTTGGTGTAATACAGCAAGTTCCTGAGCCTCTACAGCGAGCGTGTTGCTGCGAGAGTTTTTTGAAGACTGCGATTGTTACTGAACTCAGAAACACCATTCTGACTTTGCAGGATTTTGCTAGCGCGTTGAGGATGGTCCAAGCAACCAAGCACAAGGCTTGGCTAGAGTCCAAATCTGCAAACAAGAAGAAGCGAAAGGTGACCAAAATTGTGTACGGTTGTTGATGAATTCCTGGGACGATGATCTTGCAGAAGAGATCAATACTTTGGCACTTGAGTGAGGACTTTGTTCTGATGTTAAGAGCGAAGCAACGTTGTTACTACTCTATGGTGTTTGTACTAAGGATTACATGCTAAAGTGATTGCACCGAAGGCCCCCAGACTGACTTGATGACCAGGTATCAGGATGCTTGGTTTGTGATGAGCAACATCAAATCAGCAATGGATATGACAACGCGCAACTTTTGCTCAGGAACTCCATCTTTGTCTTTCTATTGAGAATAGGGAGGGTCGCAAGTAAGCCAGTCCCAGATTGCCTAGCCAGTCTTTCTTTGATAAACTTCTGTAATGCCTGGCAGGCGGACCCAGCTGCCAAAGCTAGCACGACAACCAAGGAGGTCAAGAAATCAAAGGTCAAGCTCTACACTGTTGAGGTGACACCCTGCTCTCGTCAGCCTCTCAGTATTTCGGAGTTACTTGCTCTTGTACCTGAGTGGCATTAGAGTCTTGTTGAAATTGAGGATTGTTTGCTCATGCTGACCAGATCAAAAGCTCAAAAGATACTGCCAGTTCTGCAAGTCCGCTGTGAGCGAGAGAGCGAGAGGCATCTGTCACTAAAGGACGATGTATCAAACTTCTGACTGTCTTTGATGAGGCTCACACTGAGGAAGTCCGCTTGATGGAGCCAAGAGGGCAGTTTGGCATTGCCCGTTGACTTTGGGGTTATGTATGGAAGGAAGCTTAGGGTGGTAACCTTTCTTCATCAGCCTGCTTCTCTACTGCTAGTCTGCGAAGAGTCTGCTCCATCAGGGGTTGCTCGCTGCAGGAACATCAATGTTGGTTATTTCCCTGACTCCCAGGGAAAAGTGATACTTGAATGGGGCAGGCCCTAAACCGTCGGTCAGGGCCTTTACACGCCACCCATGAATCTAGCAACTGACTCTGCCAAACTTTAGCTTAAGGAACAAAGTTTTCGAGACGGACTGAACCGATCAGTTTCTTTCAACGCAGGAGCTCGCAAATGAATACTATGCTTACCAAGAGGATGATGACGTTGGCCCTGAGAAGGTCACCAAGGCTGCTCTAACGAAACGGATGAACATTGAGGGGGACGCGAGCAACCGCGTGCAGGTACGCTCCTCGCTCTGCAAAGTCGGCTGGAGCAAAGGCGGACTGACCGATGCGACAGTTGCTGACGATTCTTTGATCATTGGTGACCTGGATGAGTATCTGTAAGATGAGAGCCTCGAGGATCTATTTACTTGCTTGACGGCGCCAGCAAGCAAGTCACTTCTTCTGGGTGTATCAAGATGATAGAGTCCCGGGAGACTTGAGTCTCCAAGGCTGTTGTGACCCTTGAAAGCCATCCGAGCGCGCTAAAAGAATGATGCTGGCTTGCCACACTTCGGGTGCTTTCAAGCCAGTCAATCTACGCATCAGCAAAGTATCCGTTGAACGATGACTTCGACAAGACTCTGCAGATAGTGCACAATGGACCAACCAAAGTTGCACGATCTGTGCCCTCAAGGTGAAGACCGGATTTTCTTCGTTGACTCTTTTCGTCTCTCCCCAGGCGGCTGAAAAGCACAAGTTTGGCGTTGAGGAGGTAGAAGGCAAGACCAAGAACCCGCAAATACATGTCAAGTGAGTGAAGCGCACACAGTTATTCTATTTAACCGGTTGAAAATGGTTACAAGCACATTGACGTCAGCTCAGAGCTCCTTGGCAACCTTTTGACGTTGGCGCTGTCCTCAATGACGTCGTCAATCTGTGGCATTTCTCTTATCCATGAAGTTCTCCTGTTGGATTAATGGTGTTACTTTCGACAAGCAAAAGGTATCGCTCGGTATGAGGAGGCTCCCAAATTCAGGATCGGCTCATTTTCTTGTCTTCGTTTGTCGGTCGGCAATTCATCCTCCGAGAATCTGTTTGTAAATTTCGTGTGCGTCCACCAAGCTTCCAAATCAAAGTCTCTGTTTTTCTGGCTTCAATTTGCATCTGGAAGAAGACGCTGAAGCTCTTGACATGCTTTTCCTTCCAAACGCGGTCTGCCCTTGCTATCAGAACGCAGCTACTGGATTCAACTTAGGGAGACAAGCTTTTAATCCCAATGCTGGCGGTTTGACGTAAATCGTCAAATCTGTTGCCAGCAGATTAGGGAAGACAGTTCCAGTTCGATTCTTTTTGCGCCGGACTTCGGGTGAAGTCTCGGCTGAGAGGCGTATGCTACCGCATATCTTCTTTCTTTAGGCCAATTCTGATTATACTGCTCAACTCTGTTGCAGATACAAAGGTCTTCGGAAAGAGCTCGAGGAGCGATTGCAGCTGCTGACGAAAGATGACGTAGCAACTGTCATCAGGAACGTCGCGAACAGGGGGTCCTCCTCTCGGCGACAGGGTAAAGTGAGCTGCTTACAAAGACAGCGGAAGGCGATCCGGTTTTCCACTTACTTGGCCTCAAGAAGTAGATAGCTCGATCGTGCAGCTGATTTTGCGAAGAGCTTTGTACGCGCTGAAGGCGTGTGCTATGTATAACGAGACGTTGCACTGGTTGCCGAAAGGTAAGCGATGCTCGCCAAGAACCTCCTTTTTTAACTTTATTGGGGGCTTGCAACCATGGGAATGGTGGTGCTTTCGAGCAGACAGAGTCGTCCAAGCTTTGAAAAACACGAACCGCTTTCTTGCAGTCTAAGCATCTGCTGGAACCCCTGGCCATGGCTAAACGGAGCCCGACTCTCTTCTGGTGAGCAAATTCTCGTCGTTCTCCGGCTCTCTCCCCAATTGTTTCTTTCCAAATGTGATACAAGTAACAAGGTGGTGAACAGTCGAAAGGCGTACCTACCTGGCACTATCTGACAGCAATGTTGCAACGGGCGTCATTCCTATGTTGTTGTCATGATGATGTGATGAGCGGAACCGCTACTCTACTGCAAGCTGAGTCGAACACTTCTGTTTTTGGCGCTGACAAGCTGACATGAACAGCTTTCCCCTTTGCAAATCTATTGAGCATGTACGAGACGGGGGTTGTTGATCACAAAGCTCTGCTCCTCCCTAGGGCACTTGCAAGCTGTTACTGTCATTGACAGTCGTCTTCATGGATTGCAGGAACGCTGTGCACCATTACGGATCAGCACAAGATGCTGTTAAGGAGGCTGTGCCGAGCTGACCTGAACGTCCCAAAACCTCTGCTTGTCTTGCACCCTAGGATATCTCTATGCGTTTCCGCTTTCAATTCACTGAACAGACTGTCTGTCTAGCAACAAGAGGTTTATCAGAGGTAAGGTGTACAGCCCTGTACATAACTAGGAACCCGGGTTCTCCAAGCTGGAGCTAGCATAGCCGAGTAGGTAGCGCCACAATAGCTGGTCCAGGTATGCGTCCATGAGTTGTCCAATTTACCTAACCTTTCGTTTGACTCAGTGAAGGCTTCCCTTCACTTGCCAGCACTGACTCTGGATATATGTTTGCAGGCGCTTGTAACCTCTGCATCCAACTTGCAAACTCCTGGGCCCTGCGGCATACTAATGTTGCTGAGCTGTTCGCCGGTCTTAGTTTAGCCGGTCAAAACAAGCAGATTAATCATAAATCTAATCATGCGTGCAGATTTAGTGCAATATGACGTGCTCTCGCACGATACGGATGATAGGCTCCGACATCACCGTTGTACGCTATACAGAATGTTCGCATGCAAGCCTGAGACATATGACACTTGATGCCAGCAATGACTGAGTCGCCCACGACCCTTATGCATGTATATGCTTCGAGGTTTCAACATGCTCTGTCCGATCGAATGACGCAATCATGTGCTTGAACATAGTATAGGCAAGAAGACTTGAACTTCGATAAACATGGTCACTGGCAGATCCGACACCGCACCTTATGATTAAGCTGCTAAAGTCACTGCAACTATGGTTTAGCTCATCATGGCATTACGCATACTCATGTGGTGTATGAATGAATCCGCCATTCGCTTCGAGTACATGTGACGTATACCCTCCCAGATCGTTCAACATATACAGTATGCGCGTGATTCAGGCGCGCATTGGCCGCGGCGTCTTGCATGTTACGAACCAATCAACAAAGTGTCGGATTTGTAATGTCAGGAAATAAGCCTGTGCTTCGTCATGGTGACTCTCCAGCCGCCAGCCAGCCATGCATGAGCCGACCTGCGCAATCTCATTCAGACGTTACGTGCTCACCACCTTTATAGAAGCGCTTCGGCGCGTCAACCCTGCAGCTCAACACAAGGTGAACCGTCCATGCACCGAGAGGTTCGTCAGCTCCCTATAACGGGTGAGACCCGCCCGAAAACATTGATTGCGGCAAAAGTGACGAAGCGGCTCAATTCCTGCTCTGTCGCACCATTCTTGTGACAAGAGCCATGCTTCAAGACAGGCTGTCCGCCCTTATAATCAAGAATATTTCCCTTTCAGTTTCTTGCATCAGGTTGGCCTAATCAGCAGCCTTGAATATACTCATCTAGAATCGAAGGAGCTTGTTGACGTGAACGGCTTAGAGCGACAGATCCCTGTGAGATTCCCTCTGAAACAAGCTTCTTGCCTGTTTTGATAACTCAAGTTGTTGACAGTCGTGGCTCTGATCTGTCATGAGCTGTCACAGCGCGACGAAGCAGTAACTTCGTCAATCGTTCTTTTGACATATCCTGCTTAAGCCATGCGCGCGGCTGCTCATCTACATGCAAGTCGAAGAACAGAGACGCTGCCGCTGATTACAACCGCAGGCGACGTCGGGCGATGAGTGGCTGCTTTCAAAGGCAAGACCTTGCAGAGAATTTTACCAAGTCAAAGATTTCTATCTTCTGTCAGCAAAATTCGCCCACAGTAGGTCTCGTTACCCCGATACGACGGAGCCTCGGAGGCTCACAAAGGTAGATGCAACATCTGCTTCAGAGTTCTCTGCCATTTCAAGTTGATTTTGAAAATTTCGCCAAAGAAACGAAGATAACATTCAACCCAGTGAAGCTTCCTTGTTGCAGACGCGACTTCTCTTTCTCTCCCTGAGGCATTTTCGGACACGCTTCGAGCACGTCTTCTTACCTTCCTCAGCTCTTTCCCTGTTACAACGCCTTCGTCTCTTCCTTGACCTACAAACCAATCCATGGCTGCCACGTGGTTCCCCTACATGGCGTCTCTCTGCGCTCTGCTTCTGCTGACCGTCTCCCCGGCGCTCGCCTCCGCGCGCGCGCTCCAGCAAGCCCCCCCGGGGCAACTACCCGGGACAAATCTGCCGTTGCTCGGCGCCCCGCCGGTGCCCGGGGTGGTTGCACCGGGGCCCGCAGCAGTCACCATTATGGGTAAGTAACACCAGTATGACAAGCGATGTGCTTGTGCGAGTCCTTTTGTAATGGACGGCAGGTGTATAGCCATTCATCGTCAAGAGAACGGGAGCAGCAACCCTTCAAATAGAAGGACAAGCCTCTTGGGTGTCAGCTAGCCGAAAAGTTTGTTCTCAGTCTGCCTCTGAAAGGGAGGTTCTTTCTTCGTGTTGCACCATGTGCTCTCAGAACTTCCTTAAAAGCCACCTTTCCGACTCTGCTTGTGGTTATCACAGACTGCCCCTTGGTCTCAAGACCGTCTCAAGTGCCTCGTTACGACCTTAACTCATCTACAACTCCAGAACTCTTTCCTTCAGCTTCTCGTTTACTTCACAACCACTGTCTTCCAAACCATGAGGTCATGACGTCCTTTGCCAACGATGATGTCATGCCCTTTCCTGCAGCCGGCACGTGTCCCGGGGTCAGCTTCAACGCCACGGGGCTGGGCCAGGTGGCTGCCACGTGTCTCGGTACCAACCACCCGATCTCGTGCTGCCTCGCCGTGAACCAGCTGTGGGACAGCGCCGCGCTCGAGTCACCCGCCGCCGCGCAAGTAAGACATTCTTTTTTCTATGTCTCTGAAACTGTTTCGCAAATATTCGTTCCCTTTCTCTCGTCATAACTTTCTTTCTGTTCCCCCGCTGCTACGCAAGTAAGACACTCGATAACGTCTGTTCGAGTTGTTCGAGTTGCCTGACAGGTTCCGGAATGCACCGGTTTCATTCTGTCCCTTTAACTTCCATTCCCGTTCTCCCGCCGCCACGCTAAATCAGACACCGTTTTCTCCATTCAAACGAAAATTTTCTTTGCGTTGTCTTCATACAAGCTTACGCTCTCCGGCCCCTGCCGCGCAAGCAAGACACATCGTCTCTTTGAACTCCTGAAATCGTTTCAAATTGTAACGTCTCCATTTTCATGGCTCTAAAAGTTCTTCGGTTCACCCCAAGAAAACACTACAGACGCTCTTCTGAAGCGTACGCCTGACGCCTGGCGAGGTACTGAGCGTTTCCGAGCTCTTTCCAGTGATCACGTTCACAATGCTGTCAACCTAGCTATAGTAATGGGGAAAGTTCTTACTAGGTTTTCACTTCGCTCCGGCGTTTTTTCGCTTCATCTTTCCCTGCCCACCTGCATCTCTGTCCTTCATTCATTGCCTGCCTTTTCACCATCTGAAGTCAGCTTCCGCTCATAGCATACACTCGTGCTTTTCATATCGTATGCTTCTCTTTCTTTCGAACGCTCCGGCCAGCCTACGTGGATCCCGACGCCGAGCAGGACTGCCTGACGTTGACCGCGCAAGTCAGCTTCCATTCATAGCGTATACCTCTGCGCCTGTATACTTATGCTTCCCTTTTTCTCCAGACATTTGGCCAAGCGAACGCAGATCCCGTCGTCGAGCAGGACTTCTCCGTTGCTAATGGCTTATCCCCCAAAGTATCATCATCTGGACTCGGCTTCCGACATAGCGTATGCTCGTGCGTCTCATACCTTATGTTTCCTTTTCGTCCAGACTCTCGGGCAGGCGTACGTGGATCCTGACGTCGAGCAGGACTGCCTTGCTGTAACCGCTCAAGCGCTCCAGGGGCTGGGCCTGCATTCCGCTCTAGTTGGGCTGTGCGCGGTAAGCCTTCTCGTGACCGCAGGTTCGATCAAACCTGGCCACCTGACCCTGGTCCGGTTGCAGAACCTGACCCGATGTGCAGAACTTGGGCCGTTCGATGGGGACTCGTGGGGTCATCGAAGGGTCCAAGTTCTGCCTGTTGGGCACGTTCTGCAACCGGTCTGGAACGGACTTGGGTCAGGCCGTCAGGGTTCACCGAAGCTGCATATTTCCCTGTTCCCTTTTCCCTCCTCCCTGCATCTTGATTTCACGATGCTAGCAAGTCTGATCCTGATCCTTTTTCACGTGGTTTTTGTGGAGTTTTGCCCTGCTTTCAGAGCTCCTTTTAAATGTCTCTTCGTTTGGCAACTCGACGGGGGCTCCCTATCGTATCTGAGTTCGTTCTGCACTCCATCCTCCGAACGTACCTGAAGTTCTTGAGAGCGCGCTTTTGTTCGGTTGCAATATTTCCTTACATCCCCCCCGTCCTTTCCACTTTCTCGCCTCTGACCCTTGGCTGAAGATTAAAGCTGACGTCACATACTCCGCAGCGCGGCTTCACGCTTCCCCCCACACTCCAGCGCGGCCCCAACCGGTGCCCCAGCGTCGACGTGTCGGCGCCGCTGATCCAGAACGTTGTCAGCGCGTGCCAGAGCGCGCAGACGTAAGCGTGACGTCCTTCAAATTGTCCTTAGCTTTGCCCGTCTTTTGTTCGCAGTCTCTGCTACAAGTTAAGAGCGTTGTGGGCATTTCGGAGCTCGCAAGCAAAGCGTAGTGCCTCCACGTTTTTTCTCCCGTGAATCGGCTTGTTCCGTCAGTCTGTGCGCCCACGAAACACTTTCCTTTCACCAGTGAAGACTCTTTCAACTTCTCTCAGGTTGGATTTGTCAGCGCCTTTAGAGCTCATTTGAGGCATTTCGGTTCGGACGTAATGCTTTCCTTTGGACTTTGGCAGACCTTGGCAGACTGCACATTTTTCCTTTTCACATGTCTGTCGCGCACGCCTCGGTTTTCGTCCCCGTCTGTCAAGAGACTTTCACCCACCGTAGTACGTTCGAATCTGAATCATTTCTCCGTCACTTTCTAGCTTGGTCAGCGTATTCGTCAAAGGCTTTGATCGAACGAGGCGTGACGAAGGGTGATGCAAACGGAAGAGTTTCAAAAGGATCGTGAAATACGGAAATTGATAAGATGCTTCACTTTCTCCTGCAGTCCCAACGACGCATGCGGCCCGTGCTTCAACGCGATCGCCCAGTCCGCAGTTACCCTCCTCGGCAACGCCGTCAACGCAACCCAGGTGCGTATCCTTTTTAAGCGTGAGCTGACAATCTGACTCCGAAGAACAGCGCTGTGCAGGGCAGATTCGGTATATTATATATGTTGGTGCAATTTACGTCAATTGTTTGTGAAGTTTCTGGAGCACGCCAACGAGCTTTCTAGGAATTCAATGATGAAAATTCTTCCGTGTTTCCACCCTACTTGCGCTTCTTCTGAGAACGCGAGAATCAAAACTTTGCGAATGTCTCGGTAAGAGTGCAGAGCAGTCCCCGTTGCATGATCAGAACGGTACTCAGATGACAAACTGCCCACCCGGAAAGCAGTGGGGATTCCGGGCTCGTTCTTGATTTGGAACATCAGAAGAGCTGTAGGCGACTGCGCGCCACATTCACACTTCTTTCAAGCTTTAAGTGATTCGCATACCTTTCGTTAGCTGATATGATGTAGTGTTGCTCTCTTGAGCTTGTCGTCAGTCAGGCTTATCTTCTCGTCTCAACGAGCAGGTAACAAGTTTCTCGTTTCTCTTGACCCTTCGTCAACCAAACAGTAGCGGCGCCATCAGAAACACGACCATGCCGTTACCCTCGTTCTAACGTCACGCTCTCGTCACGCAGGCGGTCGCCCAGGCGCAGGGCGTGCCAATCGCGGCCGCGGGCGTCGCGCTCGCGGGCGGGGCCCTGCAGGCGGCCGCGGACTGCGTGCAGCTGGTGAAGCTGCGCGTGCTGGAGAGCAACCCCGGCGTCTACAGGGCCTTCGCGCTGCAGGATGTCGTCAGCAACGTCGGCTGCCGCCCGCTGGTGGGAGAAAAAGTCGAGCGGTTTCGTTTTGGGGGGTGGTGATTTTAATGATGCCTCTCTCCCTCGTTTCGAAAACTTGTGAAGCGACTCGGAAGACGCCTTCGTTTCCTTTTTGTTCAGTGCAAAGACTCTTTCCTGTAAAAAAAGGAAGGCCCAAATGTGGTAGCACGTGGAATCGCGGTGGGGGCAGTCGAATTTGATTGTCTATTAAAATGGATATTCAATTGGCGTGGTACAGTCAGCTTGTGAAGCGATCTGGGCCCGTTGTCTCGAGGTGGCTTAGTTTTAGTTTAAGAGGATTGTCATTGTGAGACGGTTTCCCTTCGATGGTTCTGACGACAGTCAGTGCTGATGTCAAACAAAAGTAAGGGTTAGGACGTCCTGAGCAACGACAAAACCTTAGTTGAAGCGATACACCAGTCTTTTTTCTTGGTTTATGCTCGAATATGAAAGAACTCAGAAAGAACCCATGGAAAAGACCGACGAATTTATATTTTGATCAAGTGTTTGCGGAAGGAGAATGGGTGTGTCTGTGTCGAGTTTACTTTAGGAATGGTTGTTCTCGTTGATCCTTACTTTTCCAGGCTTCTTGTTCACGGTCAAAATCAAAAGCAAACAGTACTACGCCAGTAACGTGCACACAGCTCCTCTGAGTCTTCCTCTCCCATCAAATCAACCTACCAGCAATTTGAAAAGCGACTCTTGTGCGCCCACAAGGTAACCTTTATCATCGTAGGGTGCGACTACAGCGTAACCTTTATAGAATATGCGATTGAAAACCTCCATTTTTTCTTTCCGCCCGTAGCTCGGCGCAATCCAAGCCGTGGCCCCGGGTGCTGCCAGCGCCGTCGGAGCTGCCGTTGCTGCCGTCCAGTCCAACGGCCCGACTTCCGGAGGTGGCAAATAGTTTCTAAGTTGGAGATAGATTGGACCTTTGTTTGGCGCTCATGTTGGAGACCGACAAGACCTTGTGCTGAGAAGAGAGTCCAGTAAAGCATACAATGAATTTGAGCCACCCCTATGCTACCTGCGTTTGACGCCTTCGGTTGTGCTACACGGTTCCAACCTTGTTGAAAATCTCAATGTCTCAAACAATCTTGTTGAATTGATTGACTTTAGCCAAATGTTGCAACATTTGACTACCTGACTGGCAGCTAACGATGCATGCATCATGAACGTCTTCAGCACCATGACCCTCTTTTGCAATCCGCGCGGCAGCTTGTGGTGAAACCACTCTTGTCATGCAACGTCGGGCCAATCAGCCCAGCATGACACACATCTTATGTACCGTACTTTATACTATGCTTCTAAGCCGATACCTTAGCATGCCTGATATGTAATTATGATACCGAGCCTTTGCATCGACTCCCCAAGCCGTGTCTATCGCTCATGTGCAGCGCACTGATGCCGCCGGTGCTGCGCGCTGGCTTAAATAGGATGGATAAGGGAAATGGCGGCCCGGCCATACACCGCTCACTGTCACAGTGTGAACGATCTCAGTACGGCTAGAACCTTATATCAGTCTCCATCGATCGCGTCAACATACGAATATGACGGACAATGTTTAAATTCGTGCACGAATAAAGATGCGCATGTGTGTACGTATCCGGCACCGTTTCAAGCGCAGCGTATTGAACTAAGTTAGCTTGCCCATGATCAATTGACGGTCAACAATGAAAAGGCGGCTGCGCGCCCACTATGGATTGAGCTAGTCGGGTATAACACCTCTGCAATAACCTAACGTCAGCTAGACGCCGGTTACAACTGTCCGTGCCAAAGCAAGTTTTTTCCATACGTACAAAGCCTGGTGACTAGGTTCTGGAGTAGCTTACTTAGTCGGGCTAGAGTCCGTGATGATCCACTGAACAAGGCACGAGACATGACCCAGGTCTGAAAAATACTCTCAATGACGACTCTTACTGAGCCATATCAACAAATTTTATCTCCTAACTAGCTGGCTCTACTTTTACAATCTGTCCGGTGTTTCGGCCAGTCCTTCCGTTGACAATCAACCCCACAATAGTACACCACCTTGCAACCCGAACACCGCTTAGCGAAGCTTGTTCTTGTTCTACACTTTGCACACGCCTTTTCCGGAGCATCTGAGGCGCTATCCTGTGTGGCGTGTGCGGTTCGTGTGCTAACGCTCAACTTTTGAAGGTCCTCCATGATAGCTTCAACATGCCTATGATGTTCCGCATCCAGGCTCCTACCCGCCAAGGAGGTTTTGATCTGCCTTGCAAAGCTTTCAACCACCTCGAACTTGTTGGATCCCCAATCGTATACGATCTTCACGCTTGAGGTACCCGTCCGGGTTTGAATGCCCCCATATTTCAAAATTTTCCGGTCTGTCCGAATATCCTCCGTCAGCAGCTTCAACACCCGCTCGCGCTTTTCAACGGCCCCGGGGTCATCCTCTTGAAGTTTCTCAAACTTCGCAACCGACAACGGCCCCACTAACGCCTCCGCGAGACTCCTCCGCAACTCCTCCCGCTGACCTATGGCACTCATGGCGAGCACGGAGCACAAGTCGTACACTCGCCGCACGAACACCGAGCGAAACAGCTGTGTCAGCAAAGCAGGCACCTTTTTGGCGACTATCAACGTCACCAACCTAGGCAGCTCGTTCATTGGGAGTTCCGTCGCTTCCTCCGCGTCGCTCGGCGGAACGAACCTCCCGTCCCGCGAGACCGTCGGCACCGCGTACCGGAACGCCAGTACGAGAAAGTCCAGCATGTTGGCGAGCCAGTAGAGCTCCTCAACCATTACCGTTGCCGGCGCTGCTTGCACGATCTTGCACTTGACCGCATCTAAGAATTCGGGGAACAAGTGCGCGAAGAGTTGGTCCACCGACAATCTGCCCGCGTGATATGCGTGGGCGATAGCCGAGCGCGCGCGCTCGTAGAGGCGCTCGTCGATGGCGGTGCCCATGAGGTGGCACGCGGTCTCGAGTACCGGCGCAGGGACGTCGCCCGAGTGCTCGACCGATAGAAGGTAGGCTAGCTCGATGAAGCACATTTGGAGGTGCTGCATGGGGGGAAGAAGGAAGCAAGTTGGAAACTGAACTCGGTCGCTTGGTGATGTTTTGGTATGTAATTTAGGGCGAAAGAGTCCCTCAAATTGTGCAGCTTTTCTCGATGCGAACAAGAGAGATCAGTTCAAAGGGGGATGGAAAGCGCCGCTAGTTTGATCCTTCTCGGACTACTTAGAATTACCAAGAGAAACACAAAGAGCGTCTGCTGGTTCTGTATCACTAGGAAGCCACCCTCTTTCTCGTGCCGTTTCGTTCAGCTCTTGCCAAGGATCAAAATAACAAAGCAACGGTTTTGGAGAAGGTTGGTAGGGCGTTGACGGTTCTGGTGTGAAAAGGCGGCGAAATACGTCGTGGAGATTGCTGGCTCGGTTTCAGAAAGGGCCAGCAGCGCATGCGAACCAGACTGAAGGGCCTTCTCTGGGGTCACCGTTTGCATAGCACGCGCACGAAAAGAAGACTGTGAAGCAAAAGACTTACCCCGACACCCGCGTGCAGATTCGGTGCCCCGTGCTCGACTAACTTCTGCAGAGCGAGCGCAACGTTCAAAGCGTCGTTATGCCTCGCCAGCTTCTTCCTTGCATTGCGGTACAGAGCCGCTTGGGGGCTGTCCGATCTGCGACGAAAACGAGAGTCGAAAGTTTTAATCCTTTCAAAGAGAAGGCAGCCAGGTTTTGGAGGATCTACCTGTTCAGTCATTCACTTTCTCACACGTTTCGAACTAGATGCGCAAGACTGGGCTTCGAGGGCTTCAGAGGACGGAGTTCCTGGCAGCGCCAACCGATTGAAAGTATGCTCTGCCCTCAAGGCAAATTTACTTAGAGCCGGTATTTTCCGTTTCAAATCTTGCCTGTCCTGTGTCCAAGTATCTTCCTTGAATTTGGTGGAAACATTCCCCCTTGGCAATCTTAGCAGACCTTCAGAGCCTTGGCTTTGTTTAAATCAAGCGTGGGCGCACGGAGGTCCACGGAGTTTTGTTTTAGGAAGGGCAATCAATATCTGGATAGTAAGTTAAGTTGGCAACATGATTCTTACACACACCTGGCAGCATGCCTACCCAATTGCAGTTTAGGAAGAGAAAGCAATGAAAGGGTGTGTATGGCCTTGCAGAGCTCGATGACAACGCCCCAAAAAAGGGGCTTTCAACAGGGAGTCGAACCTTGGCGGATATATACTTGATGGTGAAACACGACCTGGACAGGACGGTCCTACGTTCCTGGTTCTCCAACTTTCCTCGCTACCCAAGTTGGAGCTCTTCAAAAAATGCAAGCAAAAGAGAGGTTTACAAATGTGCAGGTATCTTTTAGAAATTGGTGGGATAATGTTCGTACAACCCCACGGCACCCAGAGAAGAAGAATGCAGTCTGCCCCATGCGATGCTAGCGCAAGCCAAGAAGGCCACTGGTTCCAGACATAACTGATAAAACAGTAGAGCCTAGCAGAACAAAGTTCACCTGTCCTCCAGCCACAGCGTTCCCAGGACGCTCAGAGCGTTGAAGTGTGCAGAGCTCAGATCCTCGGACATGGCGGAGGTCTCTCCCAGCAGGTACGGGCACACAGCGTCGAGGAGACCTGCAGAGGACAGAGAAGAGAAAGTCAATTTAGGCAATTGTTTGGAAGAAATCTCTTGTCTCGGTCCTTATCAGACGCCCATCTCTTATCAGAAAGGCGTCCCTTTTCCCATAGAATCCAGAAGTATGTTGTCAACCTCAATGCAGGGTTTGGCCCTGCTTGAATCTCTCCCTAAACAAGCAGTGACCCTAACTGATAGTTGGACCCCCAGACCACGTTTTACTGCTGTACACCTACTTTGTATTCTGATCTGGTTCGAATCTGCACTCTTACCTTTGCCCGACCAGGAACAGAATCCAACAGATGTGATCATTCAAAGCAATCAGAGGTATAGGAGTCCCCTCCAAATCAACATCCGGCTTCCCTTTAAAACCACAACGGTCAAGTACTGGCATGTTAACTCCCCCTATCTTGTACTATGACAGAACACCCCAGCGAATCTATTGCGAGGGGTTTGCCATGCTGTGAACCAAGTTTTGACAAACCGGTAGCCAACTTTCGAGGTGCTTCCTGACCCAAGATTCCACTCTTACCTGGCATAGTGACCAGGTCCTCATTTTGCAACTCCAGACTCACTGCCGCGTGCACAATCGCCGACGCATTGAACGACAGCGAGTCAAAGATTTTCTGCTCCATCGGATTACTCAAATGTGGCCCCAGCGCTGATAGCGCCAACCAAGCCTTCGCCGCTAGCAGCACAAACCCTTCTTTTGCCAGCCATTTGTACGTTTTCACAGTGGCTCTGTAAGGGGGATCCCCCGGCCGATGGCTCTGCAGGGGCTTCCCCATGACCGACAGGAAGCAGAGGGCCCCGCGCAACAGCTGTGCTCCCAACAGGGCCCTGTTTTGCTTCTCTGTTTGTGACTGAATCCCAGCTCTGCCGAAGAGGCCCTGTTTATCAGCATCTTTGACTATCCCTGCAATCGGTTTCACTGCGCCGAATTCCCATCCCTTTGCCACCAATTCCGGCACACGCTCCATCAAGTTTACCATGTTGGCCAGAGTATTGAGGGTAGCCTTCTCGTCTTCTAGACTGCGTAGATTCTGGCACAGAATCTTGAAGACTCCCTTCTTCACAAAGTCCTGCGCTTTAGCTACACTCGCGACCTGCATGTGGATCGTAAACGCATCCGACGTGGAGAGCCGTCTCAATCTCTCGCGCTTGCTTCCAGAAACGTCACTGCTAGGACTCTCGTCAGACAGAGTTGCACAGAATGCTAGAGCCTCCTCCACTTCTCGCATTGTCAGCATAACCAGCCCCGAGCTTCTGTCGTCCTCCAGCTGCCCTGGCGCTGCCATTTGTACAGGCTACACTGACAACGGAGTATAAGATTTTGATTAGCTGTGCACAGCAAGCCAATGCCAATGGTGAGAGCTACAATGACAATGTAGGCTACATTTATTAGTACATTGTAGGAACAGTCGCCTCGCAAGTTGCCCAATGCGAAGAAGAACCCTCCGAGGAGCCCTCTGTTCGAGGCTCCTTCACAAACCATTGGCATCAGTCGACATCAAGAGCTACATCAAGAGCTGAGATTGGCACCTTCGCAGTCGCCACGCATGCACGCAGCTGCGCGCCTGATCGATGAGTTGCAAAGTTTCGACTTCGTAGGGGGCGCTTGCAGATATTTGCAGCCGGCCGGAATGTGAAACGGTCGCGATACGTACACGCCCGATCTCAATTTTCTTTCGGGGGGGTCCTCACCAGGTTACCGGTAGATGTCCTAGAGTGCTGTATATAGCTGTACTCGGCGGCCCACGTGGTGGACGTGGGCGTGCTCGCTCAGTGCTGTCGACACTGAACGCTCAGTGCATGAATGTGATTGCCGCCTATGATACTACTGATAGGAAACTTCAATCTTCGAAGGCAAGAAAGAAGCCGACATTCGCTGATTGGTAAAGCTTCCTGTGAGTAATGTAATTGAAGAGGGCTCAGCCAATCAGTGTTATTTGCAACTGTCGTCTATACTCAGCTTGATTGATCCGCCATGCTACTATTCGAGGGCGATCAACGTTGATAATACCTACACCTGCTGATGACGCAAAGTTTCTAGCCTAGAACACCTTTAACAGACCCTTCTACGAATCATTGTACTTAGTGACGTCCAAGTCTAGTTCGTTGCAGCGCGCACTCATAACGAGACTGGTTGCCTGTCACAGATCTATGCATATCAAATACATTGGCAGGTCGACGGGTCTTGCAGCCCGAGGTCTTCGACCAGTGTCAAATCGTCCTCCATTGTCGGCGTGAACGCCATTATCGACGACGCTTCTATCAAACTATGAGCGGTCCAACACAGCAAATCCTCTTGCTTTAAATCTAGCATGGCCGTCAGCTGGGCTTCCCGCGCTATGCACTTCATGTCTGCGTCTCGCCGCTTCGCATCCTCTACCACGTCGAACAAGTCTGCCAGCATGTCTTCCGTCATCCGGACGTTGCGCCCGTCTTCTAAGAGGTACTGCCAATACCTGCACAAGCTTTTGACCATCGTTCATAAGGGTAATCTGTATTCCAACTGAAGATAAGAGGAGATTAGGGTTAGGATAGGATAAGATAAGATACGATTTGGATCTGCTCTACACTTCGTTTTCTGACCAGCTTCGAAACCAAAGTAGAGAGGATGCGGCTGACGACCTCATGTGTTCGCACACGTTGTTTCTTCCTGCTCTTTCCCGCACTGATGCATAAGCCTAGCCGTCCCTCTTTTGTAGCAAAAATTCCCCTGCAACCAAAGTCTCAATCGAATCCTACGAGTGCAAGATATCAGCAGAATTTACAACTAGTGCAAGAAACGAGCAGACTCACATCAAAGTGCAAAATAGCGGTCCAGGACCAAATCTCGTCCTTAGGTCTCTTGCGAGAATTCAGAACCCCAAAGAGAAAAACATCGCTGAAGGTGCATTGAGTACAACACTTTTGCAAAGGCACTCTTTGCGAATATTATAGAACAGTAATTGCATCTGACACTGCCCACGAGAAGCGACTCGAAGACACAACAGTCACCTGCTGCTTCATCCAATGGTCAAATCGGGGCGTCTTTGTCGTTACAAAGTCAGAGGAGAAACACTCTGGAGGGTGCATTCAACAGACATTGAAAGGACAGCTGGATGCCGACCCAGGACTCGCAACGTTCCCGGATTGATGTTGTCAAAAATTACACACAGCTGGATGATCCGACGGAAAACGAGGCGGGTTTGAAGACGGTTCTGAGCTTACGTGTAGTACGGCGTCCGGCTTTTGATGGTCACCGCCCCAAACCCAAGGTTAAACGATAACCGCCACGCCGCCGAGTTTCCCGGCAGATCGAGGTTGTACTTGAATTCGTTTTGCCGCGATTCTTGGAAGCGGGTCTCGAGCAGCCCGCTCTTGACCAGTTTTTCCAGCACCGGGAAGCTGCTGACGTCAGTCCCGGAGTCCTTGTCCGCCGTCACCATGGCGTCTAGTAGATCGGGTCTGCACGAAGAAATGTTCCGCGTCTAGTTTTCCATCCAAAGGATACCAGGTCTCCCTTTCTAGAGAAAGTCCTGCCACACTTCTGGCAACCAATGACCCGGCTTTTCGGTTCTTTTACGATCCTCGGGTTCTTAGTGGACCGTTACCATGGCGTCTAGCAGGTCGGGCCTGCCGAAAATTGTTCCGCGTCTAGTTCTCCGGCAGAAGACGTTCCCCCCTTCAGGATGGCTTTAGAGAACGTCCTGCGAAGAGTTTCTGAACAGGAAACTCTTTTTGAATTTTTCTTGCCTAAAACTTCTCGAGCTCTTGTCCGCCGTCATCATGGCGTCTAGGAGATCGGACCTGAAGGGATAATCATCCGCGTCTAGTTTTCTTTTCAAGGTCTCCGTCGTCTCTGTAGAACGTGTCCTGCGACGGGTTTTTGGCCAGGCACTGTCCCGCTTTTCGATGATGCCTTGCTCAAATCATTCTCGGGTCTTGTCGGACCGTTACACTGGCGTCTAGCTGGTCGGGGCTGCAAGAGAAAGGTTTTCACTGCCTTGCGAAACGGTCCTCGAGTTCCTGTCGACCGTTTACGATGCCGTTCAACGAACTGGGCATGCAAGGAGAACGCTTCGCGTCTGGTTCTGTGCAGAAGAACTCCAGCCGCAACCTCTAAATAAAAAGTACCTGCCTTCAGTCAAGGAGAATATCGCTCTAGTTGCTGGTCTGCACCGCGAGATGTCGAACTCGTGAGCTTGACCGTAGCGACCAGCATCTTAGACCAATCTCCGCAGAAAGAAAGAGACAGGTTTTCGCTATCTTGTTTTTGGCCGAAACTCTTCCGTCGGCCTTGGTAGTAGCGTCAAGACGGTCGAGCTTGCATGTGATCGTTCTCCCGTCCAACTCGTGCCCGCATCTGATTTTCGACGTGATACGTCCAGTCGATTATCAGAATCGATACCCGCTGGAACGTTCGGGGACTCCTATGGGTGTTGCCTCTTGGGACCTCTTGACTTCAACGCTCGTTTTTGCCGTGGGCTTACGACTGAGTATAGACACGGACTGGGGTCCGAAGCATTCGCCTTTTAAACGTGGCCTTGGTTAAATCAGGTTTACACAAGAAGCAGCAAAGGGAGGAGTGGGCGTACCTTTCGCGTGACAATTCTACTGCGTGCAGTCGCGGGTGTAGCCTATGTGCGCCGGTTGCATGTAACAGGTAATGGTACGGGCCCCCCGTTGGCCGCCCTATGAAATACGCTTTCGCTTTCCGCTCCTCCCATGCAGCCCCCGCGATCGCCGACTTGAGATCTTCCCCGGAACTTTTCCACGCAGACATGTACGGGTCCGGTAGGAGAAAGTCTGCAGGATAAGTAGAATCAGTAATTGTCAGTATTCAGGTTTGATGGCGAAAAGGAAGTCTCACGAGACGGCGGGTTAGCGTGGGGTGGGGTGGACAGTGCGTCATATTGCGTTCAAGGTCTTAGTGTCGACTGAATCCTTTGTTCCATCCTTGTTACTGACTTATTGGTTCAATGCATCATCAGATGCGGTCAAGGTTTTTTAACACCTCGGTGCGGATCCTTTAGTAACTTCTCCATGGCGCCTTGCGCTGCGGATTTGTTAAACATGGAACTTACACCATACCACTTTATAGAATGAACGTCTTGTACGATCATTTCGCAGACGCGTAGGAGTCCGGTAGAAAATAACCGTGCAACGCCGTCGTTGAGTCAACGAAGCGCTTCCGTATGTTACTGACTTTACGATGGATTAGGAACCACGTTTGCATAATCCCTGCCCAAGGAATGGGTAGGGCTGTTTTTCGGTTCGGGCGAATTTGGAGCATGTTAGATTGAATCCAGGTTTTTGGGTTGCGCATGCCCAAGGCACTCTTGCAAATCACCGTGAGCCGAACCTAACGCAAAATTGAGACCCGGTCATCAACACTTCATTTCAGATCTTGCAAGCTGCTCCTTACACACGTTCCTGTTTTTTGTGTCATCTCAAACCCTTTAAACTTGACTGACGATCTTGAAAAGCAACCATTTGTTATTTTGCAAACCCAGCCCCAGAGGAGTCCAGCTTTCGTGAACCAAAACACTGGCGAGGAGATAAGAGTCGGTAACCAGATTGGCGACCCCCAAGCACCCGCACACTACGGGCAATCACTGATTGCTCGTAGACCAAACAGGGACTCCTGCTGACCTGTTTCACACTCCATCAGGCACTACGCAACCAGTGTCGAGGGTTATAAGTGTCGGGGGTCATAAGCGGAAACAAAGTATAACAGCGAGGCCTACACGTGCTGTCAGCAAAGGCCCGTAGCTGACTAAAACCTTACTTGGCTTCCCTGCTTTGAAGTCGAGAGTTAGCGAGAGGGTTAAGGATAACCTCGACCGAAACCTGTGCCAGCTTCTGATGAGGTGCTAACCTGGCACGAGTGGCCTATTGGCCGTTGTTCGAAAAGCTGGTTGTGAAGTCGGGTTAGCTGAGAGTTCAGAGCTAAATTCAGGTGAAGAATACGGGGTTAGGAGAGGGGTTAGAGCTAACCTCGGTTGAAGGCTGTGCCTGCCGGAGAGAATAAGGGGTGCACTGCGTAAGGAGGCAGGAGTGGCCCGTCGTCCAAGTTCCAGGTAAACCACATGTCAGGAACCTTAACCCTCCGTAGAACACGCTGAATATGCAGGACGATGTCGCTTGCTCTGCCATCGTCCCTGCAAAAACAACGTGATGTACAGAGACACGTCAGGTTTTACAAATAGCTTCAGGTCCTGAGAGTCTGGTTAGCGAGTCGGTGACACCGTCAAGTCTTTCCTATTCTGAAGCTTGTCTGTTTCTGAACCCTTTCAACATCGTTCTTATGAACGGGAGGAACTTGGAATGCGCCAAAGCATTTTGAGGAGAAGAGAAGGAAGATATGGTCCGGCAAAGATAAACAGGGGAGGAAGAAAAGTGGCGGCCGTAATCACAGCAGGAAGGGGTCAGTCCACCTCTAAGAGCCACAGAGGCAGAGCCTATGCAGCGAGGCTCCAACAATAGGAAGAGCAACTAAGAAGTGGTTGAACAAACTGGGAGAGAAAAATCAAGTCGCCCTAGTTCGGTCCATGTACGAAAGAATCTACGGGGCTATTCTTTTCAGCTTCAATTTCAGTGTCTGCTGATCTGTCTTTGTTGACATTGAATTGCCTCGCTAAGGAATAATAGCCACTCCAAGGGGCTCAAAGCGGATGCAGGCCCCATGCTGATAGGAGGAACAGATACTGTGACCTTCCAAAATGATCTCCACAAGGAACAACACCCTGAGAATAAGGGTAATATCAAGCAAGCTGCAGTAAGAAGAGGAACTATCTTTGCAAGGGAGCTTTTCAACATGTTCTCAACTTCACAGCCCTGATGTGTTGAACGACGATGAGAGGGGCAAAGGGAACCAACCTTGGCGGGGGGCACTTTTGAAAGTGGACCTTCTTGCAGTACAGCTTGTTCGCGACGATTGCAAAGTGGATCGTGATGTTGTTTCCGTAGAACGGAACCTGCTGAAACAGCTCCCGCGTGATCGACTTCTTTGGACAGCGTGCGATCGACTTCTTAACCACCTGTATTGCCCTTTCAGAACACTTGTAGCGTTCTGAGAATTGCGGGAGGCTCTCGGGGCACGAGCACTGATGGGGGTAGAGCTGAAAAGTAGAGATGGGGGAATCGCCATCGCCTATGAAGAGCTGATGTTCGCCAACGTCTCTTGTCGGGGGAAGTACGTATATCTTCTGATCGACAAGCGGAAGAGTTCCAAGCTCCTGAAGGGGGATCGTATTGCCTTTGGGGCCTCTCAGGGTGATTTGTGTTGCGGAGGAATGAAGCGCTAGCCACTGGAAGTCAAGGGTGGGGGTCTCGGTTCTCAAATGAACGTAGGGTGGGTAGCTCGAGTTGCAGTAAGATGGCCAGACTCTTTCCAAAAAGTTTGCTATTTGCGCAGTCGGATCAGGTTGTGGAACTGAGGTTCCACAATCAGACAGCGTTCTGGCTGTTTCCGAAGGGGTCGGACAGACACTAAACCCCCAGTCACCGCCGTCTATGTACACTCTGTATTGAAACAGCCCGATGCAGGCAAGCGTGACGCACAGAAATGCGGCGAGAGTCGCACTCGTTCTATGCTTCAGCCCTGATCTTGGCTGGAAAAGCGATGTAGACATTTTGCGCCTCTATCTAGATTACACCCAGGATTGCCCTCATGTTGCCAACAGTCCCCGCATGAGCCTGCTTTGCCTGAACCTGGTTGACAGGCATCAACCACTCTCCTCCAATAAAGACCGATTGACGAACCGCTACCAGGTCTCAATGAGCGCGCTATCTGCTGATGCTACTAGACGAAGGCAGGAGATCTGTACAGGAGAAGTGCTGCATGACGCAACGCTGAATGGCTCAAAGCGTTCCGTAGGTTTCTCTAGACGGCCAGTCTCTATGAATGCCTGAACCACTTCTCAAGCTTGCAATGATCTCTGTATCGTGTCACCGGCGCATTGTTGATGAACAAACGTCGCTCCTTCAGAGCCAGACGCTCAACGTCCCCAATGTCTGCCCCTGATCACGGCTCAAGCACGGATGCGTGCCAAAGGGCGTTTGCCACTGAAAAGTGTGGGACAGACAGCATAATACTTGCATGCTGATCATGGGGGCGTCTACACTCTTCACACCGCTCAATCAGAATCACATTGGCCCAATGCAGAAGTTAGAAGAAAGGGACAGCACTACTAGTACTAGTACAAGGAGTCCAAGGAGTCAAAACGTCCTTGGACGTTCCGCCGGAATCCAACCAGCCTGCTTTGTTCCGTTCGATAGCGCGCGTTCCGTAGAGGTTGAACAGAGCAAAATTCCGTTGTCGATCCGGTGACTCTCTCCGTTCCGGTGCGCACAGTTCCGTTCTCGGCCCAGCTGACCGTGCTTCCAGAATCCAAGCCAGATCCCTTTCTTGAAAGTTCTGCATGGCGCCAGCTAGTACAAATTACAAATTCAATCCTGGTATTCCAGATTGAAGCTTCTTCAGCAGAAGCCATTCCGCGTTCCTTCTTCCTCAATTTGTCATGGCATGCAGTGCCGCCCTTGGTGGGAGCGGCCTCTTTACAGCATCTCTGCAGCGAGCGTGCGGGGCGATTCCTCTGCAAAGCACCCGCTCGAGCTTTCTTTACTGCCCAGCATTGCTCTTCCGCAACAATCTCCCCTGCTCCAGTTGCAGACCACTCGCTGGGATTGCAAGTGCTAAGCACGACCCTATTTTGCACCAGTTTGCAAATAAGAGGGACGTCAGGTCTAGTGCTGTGAGCAGCGAGGCAGCGCCACTTGTTGCGATGGGAGTGGAGACCGACCAGCATGGCCCTGGGGAAACCCTCAGGAAACTCGAGGAACTAGAGTGGGACAACTCTTTTGTGCGGGAGCTCCCTGCGGACCCGAGCCGGAATGGGCCGATTCGGCAGGTCCGAAAAGCGCTATTTAGTTACGTGGAACCGCAGGCAGACGTGAAGGAACCAGCCATGGTTGCGTATTCAGACGACGCGGCGAAAGAACTCCTGGGTTTGGATCCGGAAGAGTGAGGGCCAACTCCTCTAATCTGCTTGAGTTAGCTTGACCACCGACGGAAGGTTCTTTCGGTTGCGGCTCATGTGTCGAAGTCATGGCCGTGTTGTAAAGTACAGCATGGGGGGCGTCAAGCTTTGGTTACGTCTCACACCAACTCATCTTGCTTTTGCAAGGATTGAAAAGTTGGTCAGACTGTTGCTTCACAGCCTTATTAACCTGTGAGCCATGCGCTTACGTTTGTCGCCAAATATGAGATTGAGGGGCACAGAAAGTGTGCCATGCTAAGACCAAAAGTTTCCGCATGTGTCGTGATTGCACCACCAGCTCCTGTGATGCCGTCATTTCAGTTGACATGCTGTCGGTTCACTTGAGATGCCGTAAATCCAACTGAGCTGTCGAAGGTTTGACATTGGAGAAAGGAACAAGTTTCTAAAACGTTCTCTTTTGATTGAACCTGCAGGCTAGAGCGACCAGAGGCCCCGCTTATCTTCTCTGGAGCCGCTCGCATGGAAGGGTCGTAAGTTGACTCGCTTCTTCGTGTGTCATATACCCCAAGCTTGTCACCAATCTTTGCCATGTCACATATACAGAAAGGCTTACATGTACATTACGTCTTCTCCTTACGTTGCTTTCCCCTTGTCAGCACACAAACCTCGTAACACTGCATGCGGTTGAAGACAGCCGCATGCGGGTAGCCGAGACTTCATACGACGTGAAATTTCCTTGTAACATCACTAACTAGTGCTTCGCTTGTCTTATTATTGAGGGCACAAGTCATCTGCCGGTTTTCCAACCATCTCCCAACTATCCGAAACGAACGACACTAACCCACACTCACTTCCTGCAGCGTCACCTACGCCCAAAACTACGGCGGCCATCAGTTTGGTTCCTGGGCGGGCCAGCTTGGCGACGGGCGCGCGATTACGCTCGGCGAACTTTTGAACCCCCGGGGGGAGCGCTGGGAGCTGCAACTGAAGGGCGCCGGAAAGACGCCCTACAGGTAGATGCCGCGTTCTGTTGCACCTTATCTTCGTTTTGTTTGCTAGATTCGACTGCAGTGCCTTTAGTCTGCCCGGTTCGGCCTTTTCTGATCCTGGACAGAGGCTTTGCTCCCAGTTCTTGGTGTTGGGGTTACTGACGATTTGCACTGCTCGAAAAGGTGTTGACAACGTGATTGGACGGCCAAGGATTTTGTCCCTTGTACCTCAATCACTTTTTCCAAATCGTAGCAACCTACCGCGGTACTTGTCGACATCACTTGTCGACTTGAGCAGAAAGGAGTTTTTCCAATCCGCCCAAACGTTTCGACGCCAAGCGTCGCCCACTATTTCAAAGCCAGCTACCTTCCTTTCCTTGCTCTTTTTACCCCGGAGAAAAGCAATCAAAGAAATGAAATACGGCATCTTATGCAGCCGGCACGCGGACGGGCAAGCGGTGCTCCGCAGCTCGGTCCGCGAGTTCCTCTGCAGCGAGACGATGCATGGGCTCGGCGTGCCAACCACTCGCGCGCTAACACTTGTCACTACCGGGCGCGGCGTCTGGCGCGACATGTTCTACGACGGGGATCCGAAGCAGGAGCCGGGCGCAGGTGAATCGCCACCTTTTGCAGCATTCTATCGGCTTTTTCAATGGCTCGTGTCTAGATTAAGAACCCTAACAGCAAGGCAAATATTTACCATCAGAAAAAGCAAAGGAGAAGGTCGGCTAAGGTTCTTTGAGTGCCTCTAGCTATTCTGCATCTCTCAATTTGCTTTCAACTTGGACAGTTTTGCTCCTCTCCTCCAATCCAGATTGCTCAGATTGTGATGACCATGCAATCGGACGGCCATGAAAGGATATTTCCTGTCCCGCACGCTTTCTCAATTGTGGCGATCTATCTTTGATGCAGTCGTCTGCCGTATCGCGCCGTCGTTTGTCCGCTTTGGAACGTTCCAGCTGCCCGCGAGCCGGGGCGAGGCCGAGCGGCCGCTCGTGAAGCAGCTCGCGGATTACGTCATCAAGCATCATTACCCGCATCTAGAGCGGGGGGAAGCGGCCGAGCGGGATGCGGGGGCGGAGGCGAGTAGCTCGGGGGAAGGTGCACCGGCGGGGGGGTATAACAAGTACGGGGCGCTGTTCAAGGAGGTGGCGGAGCGGACGGCACGGCTGGCTGCCAAGTGGCAGGGGGTGAGTGGTGGAAGAGCGCCCATGATTTTTATTCTGTGACCGACAAAAGTGAGGCGAAAGAAAGAGTTTGATTGGTAATGGAAGATTACTTGTAGTTAACAGCAAAGACGTGACACTTCTTAACCAAGCGGGTTTCATGCGATACTTGTGAACAGGCGAATACGGGTTCGACTGTTGAACAAGCTCTCGAGGTTACTCCGCGTCAAGAGGAAAGTCTTTTTCGCGTTCCAACAAACTCTACAGGATAGGATATCCAAATTTGAAACCTGGTACTTCGATTCTGTGAATCACATACCCGAAAGGCCGAACAAAAGACCGAAACGCGGATGAGTTACCTCGAGAAGAACCGGTGGTTTCTGAAACCTCAAAAACGTTTATCCTGAAAACGGTTCTACACTTGGCAAAACCCTCCAACACGTGGATTGTGGAGGAGATAGGTCGACTTCGTTGATCCCGTTCGGAAGTTTCCGCAAGGGAGTGGAACTGGAATTCTTGTCTATTAACATTGGCGCATTGGTGGAAGGTCTACAATCCCCTCCTCCAGATCACTATAATCTAAGCAAGGGTTCTAGCGCCTATCTCTCTGATTGATGCAGGTCGGCTTTGCGCATGGGGTTCTGAACACGGACAGACATGAGCATTCTAGGCCTGACAATCGACTACAGGCCGTTTCATCCACGCTTCTCAAGAATGAAGTTAGCTGACGAAAATGGTTATGAAAAAATTTACCAATGAAAGACCCCAATACACTATTTTTTCGGCAGCGCATGTCAGCTTCGCGCATGGGTGTTGAACACGAACACTACGCTCGTCCTGGGCTTGACACGATCAGGAGTCATTTGCTTTCGAGAACATCACTTAACAAAACGGCACTGCAAACCCTACTGCTTAAAGATGAAGAGCGGTTCTCTTTTGACAACGCAGGTCGGCTTTGCGCATGGGGTTCTCAACACGGACAACATGAGCATCCTGGGCCTGACGATCGACTACGGGCCGTTTGCCTTCGTCGACGCTTTCGACGACCAGTTTACGCCCAACACAAGCGACCCGACGCGGCGCTACGCATTCGGCAACCAGCCTGACGTCATCCTATGGAACATGGTGCAGGTACGTTGTCGCGAAGAACTATACCTTTTCAGGATCTGTTTGTTTGCTATAGTTCATTGAAAAAATGTCTACTCCTGAGGCAGTCTGAGGTCGTATTATCTTAGGATATGTCGTTCTATTGCCGCCTGGTACTTCAAGCTGCTACAAATGGACCGTAAGAGGGCGCAAGTGTAGCGTCCAGTTTGCGGTGGTTAGAAACATCAGTACAGCCGTAAGTGTTCCCTTTCTCTTCCCTTACTTCGACTTCTACTACCTCTCTTGTGACTTTCAATTGGGCTTTCTGCTCGAGAACGATTGCTCGACCACTCCGCCCAAATCCACATGGATTGTCAAGCTCACCTACTTGTGCTCTTTTTAATTCGCAGTTGGCGAATGCGTTTATTGAAGGGGAGCTCCTCACCACCCCTGAGGCGCAGGAGCTTCTCTTCGCTTACGTGCTCGCATTTGGAACCGAATACCGACCACTTATGGCCGCCCATAATAAACAAACGTAACCTGGCAGTCTTCGAAGTCCATCAATCCTCTTCCTTTCGTCTCGCAGTTGGCGAACGCGTTCATTGAAGGGGAGCTTCTCACCACCCCCGAGGCGCAAGAGCTGCTCCCTGCTTACCCGCTCGCGTTCGGAACCGAGTACCGGGCACTCATGGCCGCCAAGATGGGACTCCCCGAGTACGATGCCGATCTCACGACCACCATGTTCCAGCTCATGAAACGTGACTCGGTAGATTTCACCAACCACTTCCGGGCGCTTGGTGACGTCACTACCGGGCTGGATGAGCAAAGCGCGTCCGAGGAGGAGCTGCTGGCGCCGCTCGAGGGAGTGCTCGGGAGGAGCGAGAAGCGGTCGGACTGGGCGGACTGGATGCGGGCGTATCTGGGGAAGGTGAAAACAAGCTTGTTTTTCTAGGACTGTGTTATTTATTTGTTTCATTTGTGGACTACGAAATTCGTACCATGCTTGAGCGGAGGGAGAAGCGATCGGACTGGGCGGACTGGATGCGGGCGTATTTGGGGATGCTGAGAATATTTTGGGTTTGGGAATTGTGTTGTTGATCTGTTCAATCGTATTAGTGAAACCTTAGGTTCGCTCGAGAATGTATTATGCTCTGGAAACCTGAAAAGCGAGCGGCCTGAATGCTGGCGTACCTGGGAAAGGTGAGGGGAAGTTGCTTTTGTAACGTGCTGTTTGGTTGTGATTTGTGGCTTTTCGGGTGTGGGTTGTGTCTTTTCATCGTAAGCAGGACAGTCTTGACTTGGTGAAACATTCTATTCTTACACTCATCGAAAAAATGTACAGGGATTGTTGATAATGAGGACAAAGGTTTGGATGTCCTCGAAGACTGCACAGGTTTGCGTCTGGTCGTTTGATTTTTCTATGCGATTTGGGCCGATGGCGATACATGAGTCGTCGGGGGTAGTTGCGGGTGGTTGAGCTGACGGCGAGTTGGGATTGACGGCAAGTTTTGTCCACGCGTCGACACACCGTGTCTGAACCACATAAACTGGTTCCTATCGAGTTCTTAGCAAGAACAGATGCATTAGGTATGCAACGCCTCCATTTTTACTTTGATGTCTGACAACGAAAGGTGCATGAGTGCTTAACGGCGGCCTTTTTGTAGTCCGCTGACACGCAATCTGCAAAAAAAAGAGTATAGAGGCCAACCGGAAGGCGATAATGAAATGCATGAATTGTACTACATCACACAAATGCTGCAAGGTGTCGAAATTTATTTTAGGGCAGCCAATCAAAGAATTCTATGTGTTCGCTTCTTTGCCTTTTCGCCGGTAACTCAGACGCAATTTGCAAGGTGCATGAATCGCGTGAACCCGCATTCATTCTGCGCAAGTACACGCTGCAAAACACGAAGATGCGCAGAAGCCAACAGTTTTCGCCGTTGAAGGACGCCGGTGACTCCGACGCGGATCACAAGGCGGCCTTGACTCGGGTCAACCCGCTCTACATACTGCGCAACTACATGCTTGCAAACCCGATCGATGCAGGAAAAGATGTAAAGGAAGCTAAAAGCTTTTCTTAATCCCTTCTTTGCAGCTGAAGGACGCCGGTGACTCTGACTCGGATCGCAAGAAGGCCATGAACCGGGTCAACCCGCGGTACGTACTGCGCAACTACATGCTGCAGAACGCGATCGCCGCGGCAGAGACGGGCGACTACGGCGAGGTGCGGACGCTGCTGCGCCTTATGCGGACGCCATACGAAGACCAGCCGGGAATGGAGAGGTAATGGGCTTTTCCACCTGTGTTATCTTGCCTTTTAGCCTTTCCTTTCGAAAGTAGTGCACTTTCGTGTCATGGTTTCCTGAAACTCCTGGAATCTAACATCCCCCTTAAGGGGCTGTGGAGGGTAAGAAGACCAGCCGGGGATGGAGAGGTGACGGGCTTTCCTGCTTTTGCTTGTTTGTTGTAACCCTTCTTTCACAAACATGCACTTTCGTGCTATCATTTTTTTTAATTCTTGGAGCCTGACGTACTCTTTAAGGGGCTCCGGACCTGCCAAATACCAGACGGGAATGGAGAGGTGACTACGCTTTCTGCTTATGAGGATTTAACGATACCATATTTGCTTAGGATGATTGGGAAGTCTGCTTTGAAAGTAGGTCTGCGCTTTGAAGACAGACGACACAGGTGTCCAGGAACGATGGCGTTGATGGCGAAGGTCTGCCTGCCTTTCTGCCATGATAATGCGTCTCTAGCGCCGAACATGTTGCAACGAGCGACTGAAGGAAGAGTCACGAGCATGTCATGTAATCAGCACTGCGTCGTCCCACGTTGTGATCCGTTTCGATGGCCGCCTGCGAAGGACCGGCTGTCTTTTCCGAGAGCAGATCTTCCAGGCCGGAGTTGCGTTCTCTGATGAAAGTTTTCCATCCAATTCCCTTTCATCTGGCCGCACCTCTGATGAAAGTTCCCTACTTGATTTCCACTCAAATTATCTGCACCTCTGATAAGTTCCTTATCCAATGTCCACTTTATCTGTACGCACCTCAGCAAACCCGGAAGCAGCTGCGCCGTACTGGCAGCGGAGGCTGACACTGTCGTCAATTATAGAAAAAGATCCCGAGTGGAACAGCGACGCTTGGTTCACTTTTCACGTCTGTTTTGTAACGTCTGGTACGTTGATTGCGCTTGTGCTCCATCCTTAATGGCAATATTTGCACGTTTGACTGACCTGTGACATGTTGTTTTGCAGGTATGCAGCCCTTCCCCCCTCCTGGTCCACGAAGCGCGGAGTCTGCCAGCTTTCCTGCTCCTCTTGATTACTACCGAGCCCGTCCGTTACGGTCGTGCATCTAGTTGTTACTTGGAACATGGCTGAGCAATTTCGATGACCAGAGATTTGTACTTGCTCGCATTGGTATGCATCAGTGTAGGGTGCAAGCATCTAAGAGTAGGCGTGCACTTAGGGCAGTCGTGCTCATGAGCTCATGATATCCACGATAGAGTTCCATATCATTCTCAGGATCCTCTGAATGTAAACGCCGTATAGCCCAGCCACACCAATTGATTCACGTGCGCATCGTGAATTATACAGGTCCGTCATTGGCACACATGTGGAAACTTCATATCTATGTAGTGGGTTAATTCACGATGCGCACGTGAATCAAAGAACGGCTATAGGCCATCATTGTTGAGCCTCGTTGAAGATACTAATTTCATGAGTTTAGCTGATTTTGCGATAACTTTACGGATGGCCCAAAACATAATTTGACAAAGATTTACATGTCACATGTGCACGTAACGTCAGTGCATGCCATGGATGGGGACTTGGGCGCACACAAGAGTCAAAACGAAGGGTATGAAAGTGGCAAGGGGTTCACCCTCCGAGCGGTCGAGCTGGCCAAGCATTTCACAGTCTTCGAATGCGATCCATGAGGAACAACGCGGTCCAAACACCTGATCCAGAGCATGGACGTCAATTAATGCGTGCCCCACATAGCGTTGTTGAAGTAGCGTGCAACCCCGCCTCTAACTATGCCCGGTTGCTTGATGGAAAAGTGATCGGGGAGTTTGGGCCGAGATTCGTTTTGAGGATAAGGCTAATCAAAAGTCGACACCTGTCCGGGGTCGAAACCTGGTGCCAACTAGAAGCATCAATGATTGGTACTTTCAAGAAGTATGATCTGCCCGGTTGATGTGTATATTTTAACCGGGTAGCCCGGTCGCGCCCTATTCAGCACACTGCCGGCAGATTTTAAGTTGTAGACTCGTCTGCGGTAAGGTATAGTGTCAAAGATCCCGGGCCTCGGCTGAGTTGACCCCCGTACCCGGTGGATGGGAAAATTGAGTTAGAAGTTGAACCTATTGAGGTCTGTCTACCCAAGAACCACAGACCGGACCAGATCTACCTACTGTGAGTGACGTCATGTATAGGTCTACCGTCCGCGTGAAGGTATGTACCAGTAGACTTACACTACTACAAAAGTAGGCCTAGGCTACCTAGGCTACATAAGTAGTACCTAGCCAGTGTGCAGTGTTCGAGTTTTTACCAACGGTTTCATACCGCAGACCGCGCGGTACGGCCGGCGGCCCAAATAAGTAGTACCGGGTACGCATCATACGGGTACCATGTCAGAACTGTCAGGACCGGCCCCTTTAACTTGATTTTGGAGCCAGACTGTGTCAGATTCCGGTCCAAACTGCGAGCGATTTGCTGTGGTGGCTTCTACGGCCTCCGAGTTACAGGCGGGGTCGCGGGCTTCTTCAACAACGCTATGTCACTCCCTCACGCTCCGAGCAAGTGCAGTGTCTACAAACTGTGGGAATGGGCCGATGGCTTGGGGATATACATACGCCGTTGATTAGAGTATGTGTACTGGTGCCAAAGGCCGGGCGCGCCTCTCCAACGGACATCCGAGATGTCTTCTTTGACTACAAAACAGAACCTCTACTTATCACCCCCGTCAGACTGCATAAGCAATGTGACCACTGACCGCAACTTACGCTATCCAGGTCTGCTTTACCTGCTTCATTCGAGGACATGACTCTATCACTCTAGATACTCAAAGCGAGCCACCTAATTGATCACGGACAAGCCAAAATGTTGCCACTTACATCGCCTTCTGCTTGATATATCTTGCTGGGACGGGGGGCATGTCCACCGGTTGGATCCTCAACGGCTTAATTAGCGAAGCCCACCACCCGCGGCGCTCTTTGGCATTCCCACTTGCTGACGTGGCTGCTTGCGTGGCAAGTATCTCCTCCATCTCGCGCTCTAATCTGTCCACCAAAGGGTCCACCAGTCGGGCCACCGCAAGGTACTCTTTCCGCAACATGTCATCCACAAGTTCTGCCATGAGCTCAGCTTTGCCCTTATCCTCATTGACGTCCACGTCATGTGTTCCGCTAGTCTATCCTCCTGACTAGTCTCATCAATTTGTACAGTGGCTGGGAGTACGGGGGGCTTATCCAACGGTTGGGAATGTTTGGAAGGTCTGAAACAATTCCACCACCCGTGCCACTCTTCTGCTTTTCCACTTGCTGACGTGGCTGCCTATGCTGCTTTCGTGGCAAGGAGCTCCTCCATCTCGCGCTCTAGTTTGTCAACGAGAGGATTCACCTGTCGGGCCGCCACCGCAAGGTACTGTTTTCGCATCAAGTCATCCACCAGTTCTGCGATGAGCTCAGCTTTGCGATTTTCGGCACTAACGCCTATGTCATGCTGTTTCCACATATCCTCCTGACTCTTCTCCTCAATCTGTAGAGCTGGGACAGAGGGCGCGTCAAACGGTTGGAATCTTTGAAAGGTTTCGAGACAAGTTTACCACTTGGTCCAACTGTCCAACACGTCACGTGCCGCTCGTTTGCTGACGTGGCTGCCCTCAGTCAGCAAGGCACCAATGGCCTGCTGAGTGATTC